TTAAAAAAGCAAGGTTAACCCCTTTCAATCTGCAATTTTCCAGAATCATCTGATTTTGCCCTAATTTGGCAAGGTTAACATCTTACAATTTTAGATTTTTCATACAAATCTTTGCCCAATTATGCTAAAAATGCAAAGTTAACCCCTTACAATCTGACATTTTCCATAAACACCTGATTTTGCCCTATTTTGCTAAAAAAAAAAAAGAAGGTTAACCCCTTACAATCTGAAATTTTCCAGAAAGATTTTATTTTGCCCAATTTCGCTAAAAAAAAATGCAAGGTTCACCCCCTACTATTTGAAATGTTTCATAAACATCTAAATTTTACTAAAAATGCAAGGTTAACCCCTTACAAGCTGCAATTTTCCAGAAACATCTGATTTTTCCCAATTTTGCTAAAATGTAAGGCTAACTCCTTGCAAACTGTTAAATCAATGAAGTGTCCCATTTGACATTTTTAAAACAAATTATTTTTCCAGTTTTTAGGGTAAAGGAATTTTCTCTTTTTCCTTTCTCTTTTGTTGTTGCTATATTTTGCGAATTAACTCTTTCGTATGGAATGCTCATAGTCAATCAAAGAATATTTCACACATAGGGGCCTAAATTATATTTTTTTTAATTTAATAGAGACGCATTGATCGTGCTATCATATACCATTCTATTACTATTGCGAATTACTGTATTGTTTGGAATGCTCTCAATTAAAGACACGTTATTTGAAAGATGTATAAATAATATTTATATTACGATGTACATCTTTATTCTTTCCCGGTATAATTTATGGCGTTTCTTACGTCAATTGGCAATCGCGTAATTATATAATGATAGTCAAATTGATCAAACGAAACTCCGTTTTGATTATAGTCAATTATGAAATATTCATTGATTTATGACATACACCTCTGTTTCAATTTTGATACTACCCGTAGACCTGCCGAGCAGCTGTAGATATCAAACTAAACCATAGTATAAAAGATAGAGGGTAAAAAAAAATCAAAAAGTTATGTGCTAGTCAAGCTTTCAGGGATCGGTCTGAGCCATAACAATGCCCCAGCCGATCCCTTAGTTCTCTTCCGGGGTCTCGGCGTCCCCGACCAATACACACTTCCTTCCCTATCCATCCATATAACCCCGGAGGGCCAGGCACCATGTAAAAGCAAGAGCTAAGGGAGGAACAGGGCGGCCCCTAAGCCCTGATCCTCCGAGTGGACCACATGCCCTGAACCTGTACGAAGGCGCCAACCTGGAATTCGCGGACAGTACCAGCAGCAGTGCTTACCGATTAAGCTAAGGTACTGTTGGTACTTTACGACGGGAAATTAAATCTCTTATAGTGAATAATTGAACTCATTCGTTAAAAACCAAAAAGACACCAGCGGGATTCGAACCCGGGACCCCGCTAACCGTGGACGACGAGTCTAACCACTCGGCCATTTCGTTACCTTAGAATTTTCCTTAAACTGAGAAAAGCTGTCTTTATAAGTGAGCAAACGTGCCAGGAAGATTACTGGGTCCATTTGCTTTACCTTAATGGGTAAAAACAAGCCGATATAATGAGCCCAGTGTGTTTGGTTTGTTAGGAAGCTGCATAACACAGCCTAATGTGCAAAACAGTCGCGTGCTAGGCGGATCATTACGCAACAATGAACACCGCAATTGTATATTTTCAAAAGGCAGATCCGTAGATTTTTACTCTTTGTATCTGGGCACATATAGATTCTCACCTCCCTCTTCAGCTATTTCGACTTTCTTAAAAAGAAAAATAGAGACTGTCAGCGAATCTCCGGGGGTTGAAATAAGGATCGTCCCCTCGATAGACCTAAGACTCAGTAAAGTTCAACATTGGGCTCTTTTTCAACAGCTGTGTTTGTGGAAACTTTACATCTGGATTTTTTAGAAGCATCTGATTTTGCCCAATTTTAGTAAAATATGCTCCTAATTTTGCTAAAAAAAAACAAGGTTAACCCCTTACCATTTAAGATTTTTCATACAAATCTGATTTTGCCAAATTTTACTAAATATACAAGGTACACCTCTTACAATTTAAAATTTTTCATAAACATTTCTTTTTGCCCAATTTTGCTAGAAATACAAGGTTAAGCCCTAACAATCTGCAATTTTCCAGAATCATCTGATTGTGCCCAATTTCGCTAAAATATGCAATGTTCACCCCTTACAATTTGAAATGTTTCATAAACATCTAACTTGCAAAATTTCACTAAAAAAGCAAGGTTAGGCCAAAAAAAAAAGTTTCCGGTTTCTGGTATGGAGCTTGCCCAAAAAGGGGTGCGGCGACGCGGCTTTTTTTTTTTTTTACCTGTTTATTTTTGCTTCAAATGTCGGCTGATGACTGCAAATGGTTCCCGACTAAACTTAGTGCAAATATTATGGGGGACCAGAGGGGCCACATAAAGCTTATTCTCGATCATAACCCCATCTAAAAACACGTTAAAATTTTGCAGCAGCAGGATTCCAGTCAAACCAGTGAGTTTGGCGGTTTTGAGACATCATCGTTCATTGAAAAATGGCTACGGCGACGCGCGCACATACCAGAAACCGGAGACTTTTTTTTTGACTTAATCCCTTACATCTGAAATTTTTCGGAAACATCTGATTTTGCCCAATTTCGCTAAAATATGCAATGTTCACTCCTCACAATTTGAAATGTTTCATAAGCATCTAACCCCATACAATCTGCAATTTTCCAGAAACATCTGATTTTTCCCGAATTTGCTTTAAAAATGCATTACAATTTGATTTTTTTTCATAAACATCTAAGTTTGCCCAATTTTACATCAGCTTATACTAACAAATTATCAGGTAACTGGATCATTAAACGGGACAGGTGCACATCGGCCCTGGAGCTCAGACCATGTGTCATGCACTCCTCAATGCATAGATGATGCACATAACACTATGGGTAGTACAGGCACAGCTGGGGGTACTGCCCAAACAATGATGAACGCATTGCGTATGCTTAAAGAATTACCCACAATTCCGGTTTTTACCGTTTAGGTCTGGCTCTAATCACTTTACGCGATCCCCTGACGTCTCATACACTGACTTTAGGCAAAATAGTCAGACTTTCGCGGTCTAGTAACCAGACTTTAGGAAATATCAAATGCATATTGCAAAAGATCGAATGCAAACATACCGATTAAACATCGAATACAAATAGCTCGAAATGTCAAACATATGTGTGAAACATTGCTCACATATTTGAGAATATCGCAAATATATTGTAAAACGACACACACAATTGTATCGAAAAACATCGCACATTTAATGCAAAAAATCGAACATAATATTGAAAACATCGCACATATATATCGTCAAAAACATGGCACATATAAATTGAAAATCGCATATAAATGTAAAACATCGCACACATATATTGAACATCGCACATATATTGTAAAACATCGCACAAATATATTAAACATCACGCAAATAATGAAAAACATCGCACACTTATATTGAACATCGCACATAAATGTAAAAGATAACATATATTGAATATCCAACATATATATTGCAAAATATTGAAAATTGCAACGTTTGACACGCCATAGTGTGCAGAGCCCATTAAAGCCTTCATATCCATCTAAACTAATGACATTAAACAAATGTTATATAAATTAATGTAATGTAAACAAAGCATTATTATGTATGACACATAGATCATTATTAACGTGGTCTGCGTTGAATTTCAGCGCAACATTAACATAGCGGGCGACCGGGGCATGCTGCGCTGCGGCCGGTCACGTCTGGGATTTAGGCTTATGTTCTGTAACTTCTGTTGTCGATTCCTGACTTCCTTGAGACGCATGTGTTTCACTCTGGCGCACTGGGTCATGTATACAGGTACGCCTGGGTGTAAATTGGGGGGGGGGGGGGGGGGGGGGGTGCTGCTGGAATAACACCCCCGCCACACACTTTTTGACCGGAAGATATGGGCTTTTGGACCCCACCCCCCCCCCCCCCCCACACACACACACACATTTTTGTCAGTGGTGAGAAACAAAGAAATGCCAATTTAAAGTTATCTTGTAACATTCCGAGAGTCAATTCATTACATAGTTCAGAGAAATGCAGCATTCAGCATATTACGTAATGCCTACATAAGTTTGCATAAGATGTACATTTGTATTATTATGAACGACGACCCCTATGCCTATAGGGTTCTTCGATTACTATAGCTTGCTTGTGACGCGTGTGTTTTACCAATATATATATACATGTATAGGCACACCTGGGCGTAAATCCGGGGGGGGGGGAGTGAAATATTTTATATTACGTGTTACCACCCCCACCCCCTACTCCCCCCCCCCCGCTCCTCCCGTCCCTCTTCCCCGCTTTACGATTTTCCACGGCGAGACAATTCGCAAAACAAGTAAGGATTTTTGGTCATCCACCACTGCACTCAATCAGTCCCCCATGCATTCGCTGACACGGATTTACCCCACTGACGAGTATGGCAAGCCTATGATACAACTAACAAAAATTGAAATGTCCTCGACGATCAAATATGACTGCAGTAATTATGTCCCGTAGGCCCCCAAGCCCATCCGATCACTGTGACGATTTCATTTTTGGCCGCCTACTAAGTACCGTAGTGCAGCTGTAGTAGGCCTGGCACTTAGTGCGGGTTTGTAGCTACGATAGGTCCCAGCTCTGGACTTATTGTTTCTGAGAATTTTAACGTCCCCCCTGGCGCCAAAGAAAAACGCAAAATACCCAGAAATAGTTACCCCACAAAATTTCACCCAACAAATGCAACGTTAATCAAGACTTTATATGATGTACGTCTCGGAGAGTTGTGAGTATTTTTTCGAATTTTGTAAATGAGAATAAATCATTGACATTCTTTCGAAATTCTGCACGGTGCGTCCGTGGAAAAGTTCACGTGAAAAAGTTTTAACAACACCGCCCTCTGTAGTTTTTAATTGACCAATAAAACAGGCACCCTGTATCCATTACGCATAATTGACATTCGGTCTTGAATCTACACCCGACTGGGTCGTACTGCACTGTGCAGTACGACTGTGACTTTGATTGGGAGTGCAAAATGGCCGGAATTTGCCTATTTCGTTCAACAATTAATACATCGAAGAGATTCCACAAAGATGTACTTTTGAAGAGACTCAAGGTGAAAGCTATTTTTCGGGAAATCATATCTTTCGTTGTCAATGTACATGATGTGGTTAGCCATGGTGTAGTCCGAAAATTTGGGACTCTACTTTCAACTGTCATGACTGTGTATGACTGAGAGTCCCTAAACTTGGTAATCCTTACTTTTAGTAAATAAAACATTTCCCAAATCAGTTTCTTGGGTCCCCTTTTGATACACTTGGGAGAATTAATTTGTGTGTCAATATAGAAGTAAATCATTATTTTGTCTAGTTAAACCATATTGAAGACTAGTCCGAAAATTTGGGACTCTCAATACTGTGTATGAGAGTCCCAAAACTTAAGGTATCCATATCATGCAAAAGTTTGTGCTGCATAATAAAACCAGTGTGAATCAAATTTGCAAGCTTCTTACTCACTACAGTTTCTTCAATAATCCCCGAAACTTCTGCCTCGCAAAGTTGCTGTTGTGAGCATTGCATCACCAAAAATTCAGCTTTTAATTCTAATTTTGCAGAGAGTTATCGAAATCCAAACGTGAGACATCACGTTGATGTGTACTGCAATGCATTGTGCAAAAAAAACTCCCTAGCTAGAACATTTTCATCTTGTAGATAAAGCAGCGCCCTCTTGTTGATCTGAGTGAATGTAGAATGTTTCATTTTTTAACAGAGGGCGCTGTGTTCATTTGGCTATCAATTAAAAAACAAGTAAGCTGCAGGGCACTTCCTACACCTACCCAGGTTACATTGGGAATCACACACCCATTTCCAGAGCATGGAGATTGACGTGGATGGTTTTTGAACTGCCAAAAACTTGCCTTAAAATTGGATTTAAGGTCTCAAATTTCGCAGATGACATGCTTGCAACTTTATCAGTTTGATGTATGTGTTGTGTGGGCATTAATTAGCCTAATGGTGAGTAAAAAAACGTCAGTAGTAATTTTGCACGTTTTTATGCACTCACGGTCCCAGTCTGATTGAAGACCTGACATGCCTGAACTTATACTTTAACAAGCTGATTTACCCGATCATAGATCGGGTAGGGCGTACAGTGTTGGGGATGAAAAGTTGGGGAGTTAAATGTAAATGGGGATATAGTTAAGGAGACATGCAGTTGTAGAAAAGCAATTTCTGTGGTGTGATCTGAGGCAAGTTCTGACCACTAAAACCAATTTTAGCAAAAGATTATCTTTTAAAGTTTTGAGTTTGGAGTAATTGAATCAGCTACATGTATTCTGAGCAATAGAATCATTGTTGTAGGCTACAATTTTTATTCGGGGAAGAAAAAGTGGGGGGGGGGGGATCCAAACACTGTCCCCCGCTTTAAAATGGGGAGGGGGGGGGGGGTTCCCCCTGTCCCCCGTCGATTTAGGCACATGATAGTTATGTACCATGGCAACTGTCTGTAAATGTTCCCGTTGGTCTGTTAAATTGGCATTTTGTGAGGCAGTTGCATTTGGAAAACGCAGTGAAAAGGTTACCGTAGTACACAGGCGAAGCTAGGCTGATTGTACAGTTTCGACAATAAATCATAATGCAATAAAACGTAAAGGTGTCATTTGAAATGAAAATGTTGAGTGTTACCATAAAATTACAAACGGTCTGAATCATGGACGAAGGTCATAATTCAGTTTCAGTATTGGACTCTTCAACAAACGTAAACTTGACCTTCTTACAATTTGCGAGACCGTCTGCGAGGAAAAAGTCGATTTAACTTTTATTGAAGTTGGTTCAAACATCTATATAAGAGCAAGTTTTACTCGGCCTCTGAGAAATGTTTGCTCCTGAAAGGATCCGAGACCGCGGTCTCCCTCGAAACCAAAATGCCGGCTCCACGTCCGTGGAAAAATGTGGGTGTCTTCCGCCGGGTCGGACACTTTTTTCGTCGATTTTTTTGTGAATGCATCGATCCTTCGTTGACCCCAAACAGGCCCCCAAAATTATAACACGACACTGAATTATACGTGGCGGGCAGCGAACTCACAACGCTCAGCCTTGGTGATGGAAGCATGGAGCTGTAAACACATAATGGAAGCAACAGCATTCTATCACGCGACGTCACATGCTTGTGCTTCAAATAGCGAGCACCGTAGACTCAACCTCGTTTCCAGGGTGAAGCCCAAGCCGTAATTTTTTGACCCACTTTTTGGGGGGGACCAAAATTTCTTTGTCCCCCCCCCCCCCCAAATTGTGTTCTGGATCCGCCCTTGCGTGATGATGTGTCACTCATGTTGATTGCAATTAAAGAAATGTTGTTCTTCGTAACGAGCAATTCGTGATGATATGGGCGGATCCAGGGGGGGGGGCCAAAAGGGGCCATGCCCCCTCCCCCCAAAAAAAAAACATTCGAAACCGTTTTTTTTTTAATGTGACGTAATAAAGGCAGGCAATGAGTACACCACCATCTTTTCCTCAAAAAAACATTGGTAAAAATGGTCAGAAATTGCCTCAAATCGCACCACAGAGCATATCTCGAGGACAAAAATTTTTCGGGGCCCTTAAGCGGGCCCCTAAGCCCAAGTCGTAATTTTTTGACCCACTTTTTTTTTTGGGGGGGGGACCAAAATTTCTTTGCCCCCCCCCCCCAAATTGTGTTCTGGATCCGCCCTTGCGTGATGACGTGTCACTCATGTGACTATAATTAGTTCTATATCAGTGGTCATTTCATAAAACAGGGCCTTGGCCTTGGCCCTGGCCTTGAGGGTTAAGCCTTGGCCTTGGCCTCGAGGCTTGAGGGTCAAAGCCTTGGCCTTGAGGGTCAAAGCCTTGGCCTTGGCCTTGGCCTTGAGGGTCAAAGCCTTTGTTCCAACACTGCACTGTCATTCACTAACAGTCCAGCAAGGTATTTCAAAATGATTTGGTAGTTTTATTTTTTGATGTTTGCAAATGTTGTATTTTCCCTTTAAACATGTTAAATGTGCTGATGTGTAATGTTCATTTTCTGTTTGATTTGGTCAAAATAGATTCATGTACCATCATCAGCATCATGTTTTGGGGGACATCATGGGAACAAGTTTTACAGGTAAGACTTGTTTTCACAGATAAACCTAGTCTGAACTAGGACTCTACGAATCGCCTTTTTTAACATTTGGAGATGGTCGGGCGATAGTAGGGTCCTAGGATCTTAGAGTACATGGCAATACCAATATCCCTTTTGCGACCATTTTCACCTGTACCCCCTATCAAAATCTGCAGATTTCACCCCAAAAACAGTCCTCAAACATAGGCCACACATCCACATGTACAAAAACTTGTCGCACTTTGCCGAATTGTTTAGTTTGTACATGTAGGGTGTTTTTGCTTTAGAAGCATACTCACCCTCTTTTGAGGCTAACCAGAAAGTGCTGCCTTTTTCAGATTGCTAATTTTTGTGAAATTTCGTGTTGAAATTTTGATATGCAAACGTGTGCAAATGAATCCGGAAATTTCACGAAAAATAGACATCTGAAAAAGGCAGCACTTTCTGATTAGGCTATATAGAGGGTGAGTATGCTTCTAAAGCAAAAAAACCCTACAAACTAAGCCTAAATGTGAAAATCAAAATTTGGCAAAGTGCGACACGTTTTTGTACATGTGGATGTGTGGCCTATGTTTACGGAGGCAGTCCAGTAAATAGGTCACATTTATGGGGCAAGATGTGCCCCTGTAGGCTTCAGTGGGAAGTGAAAATACAAATGGTGATGGTTAGGTTCACATACCTTTGGGAAGAAAAGAGAAATTTCACCTTCAATTCGGGAAACATCCTTGTCACTCACGCCTTGTTGGAGGCTGCCATTTTGAATCCAGGAAAAAATTGACTGGCATCAGACAGACCAATCACAGGGCACTTTGATTGGTCACCCGGATTGGTGACCAATCAAAGTGCCATGTGATAGGTCAGGTGACCAATCAAATAAATTGAAAATGTTTCTGAACTGTTTTTGTTTTACTGAAAGAACGCACACCTTTTCTGTGATCCATGGACAGAACTTTAAAACGGTGGTTGTGTTTACAATTCCATAAATTGAAAAGTACATTTTATTAATGATTCTTGTACTAAGATAGCCTTGGTCAAGGCGCTAGTTGTTATTTATCCGGCCGTAACACGGTAAACGATATCTTCGCAAGCGCTATGCATGCAGTCATATGTCTATGCATGCAGTGCATTAAAAATACAGCGCGAACAACGACCTCACACGGCCACTATTTTTATGCAAATCAGTTGGACCCAATCTAGCGCCTTGGTTCAATCGTCCATGTGAGGTTTTTGGGGTGGTGCTCATTATGTTAATAGCCTTAAATGTCGTTTTCTTATTGGTCGATCGTTGCGTGGAAACTTGCAGAGTGAAACGTGGCACCGTACATACATTGTAATCCATACACGTACACATTGTGTGTGTCTCTGCACACGGCACCAATGCACAAAAACTGTGGTTCCTGTCACGTCCGCAAAAGGCGAATGGCTGCAAATAATTTGATGACGTCCGGATTTACCAAGGTGTGATTGGACACTCCACATATTAGCCCCGCCTACACTTATCTGTATTCGCATACGAGGTCGCGCGCTAGAAATCCAGCGCAAAATAAAGAAAAACATAAGCTTTTGCCGACGATTGAACCAAGGCGCCCTATTGGGTCCAACTGATTTGCATAGAAATGGTGGCCGCGTGAGGTTGCTGTTCGCGCTGTACTTAGCACCGCATGCATAGCGCTAGCGAGGATATCGTTTACCACGCTACGGCCGGGATTAATAACAACTAGCGCCTTGACAAAGGCAAGTACTAAGAGGAAGCTTGAATGTATTGGGCTTACATATCCTATATTTTAAAAGTGCTGCATGCAGAAATTCACTAAAACAATAGTCCCGACATTTCGTTTTGTTTTTACTCGCCCTGTTTAACCGACAAGGGGCTTTACCCAGCTAAAATTATTGGACCAATAAAAAGCTGTCAACAAAAAGTTACCGTCGACAAAAAAGTGGGTTCTGACAATGAAATAACAAAACAACTTTACGATTATTTAAAGCATCACAGTCATGTGCTGTGCATACCTGTAGTTTTATCCTTTTGAAAAAGCTATTTGAATTTTCGGTTGATGACTGAATATTCAAATTTTCTGTATATTCGGGACAGCCCTAGTGAATGGTCACTTTGAATCAGTTGAATAGAATGCTGTGTACTCTGGGACCAGCTCTTTACTAGGTTTACCGCCTCTCGTTCTAAAGTTATTGCGACTTGAAAAATAACGAAAAGTATGCTGGTATGTGTACACCAACTAAATATAAATTCGGAACATTTTCATGCATTGACTAGCTCATCTTCCGATGCCGAATTCCTGCACGAGTCCATCATTCCCACAATGCACTTCCAGAAGAGTTTACCCCGGTTGCCCATCCCCAAGCTGCGTGATACATGCCGTCGCTACCTGGCCTCTCAGAAGCCCCTGCTGACGGGGGACCAGTATGCCCGCACCGGCGCCATCGTTGATTCCTTCCAGAAGAATGAAGGTCTTGGTGAGTACCAGAGTTGCTGACTCGAGTCATGTGACTTGGACTCGAGTCGGACTCGAGTCGCTATTTTTGTGACTTGTGACTTGACTTGTAAATACCAGCTGTGACTTGTGACTTGACTTGGACTTGCAAACAATGACTTGTGACTTGACTTGGGATTGCAAAAAATGACTTGTTACCAACCCAAGTCAGACGCTACTCGAGCGACTTAATACACTTTAATTAAGCTATTATACTTTTAATTAGCCTTTTCATTCCAGAAAATAGACCTCGGTGACTGAATCCAGTAAAATGAATAGTTCCCACTAGTTTCAAAAGTTTTCAATAAGACTGTCACAACACACTACAGTTTTCAATGACCAATTGTCTCTTGCTTAATGTATTGGTTGAACAAACTTTGAAAGGAACCTTTCATGAAAAGAAAGCAGGCCTTTGTCAATTGCATGTAAAATACCGGATAGCCTAACCCATTGGTAGGCGTTTAGTATACATGTACATGAAAATTGAACAATAAAGTGTTGGTATACAACATGTAATCGAGTGAGGAAGTCTTATTTTCACGGTCATCTTAACATTTATTTCTACAATGTAAAGTAAATTTATTAAAGTATACAAAGGGCTAATATATCCGACAGATATGTGATAAACTACAAGAATAGTAATTGCAACACATTGAAAAAGGGGAATTAAGGAGGCATGTTCAAAATAACTCGTAAGTTCACGCCAGGTTAATTCTTTTAGCTTATTACAGCTGGACAAAATAATGTGCAACTTGGACAAAGATACATGTACTTGTGACTTTACTTGTTTTTAGACCAAATGACTTGTGACTTGACTTGTGACTGGACCTAATGACTTGTGACTTGACTTGTGACTGGACCTAATGACTTGTGACTTGACTTGGACTTGCAAACAATGACTTGTGACTTGACTTGGACTTGCAAAAAATGACTTGCTGCCACCTCTGGTGGGTACAGCGCAGGGATTAACCCTAAAAGGGCCGTCCCTCCCCCTCAGATCTCATCCATCGAGTTACGAAAAATTATGAAACTCGAGACATGCATACAACAACAAAATATGAACATACCCAAAAAGTCAGGCAGCTCGGGTCGCAATTTTTTTTTTTTAAGGGGTATCGGGGAAAAACTTGAGGGGGTTTAAGGAACTTGAGACTAATTTTTTGAATCTGCCAAGCACAAAATACCCTTGCCAACTGTAGTGGAAATTCTGCACTAATGCTTAGCATATTTCAAGGATTAGCGAGGAATTTTGGCTTGTACATGTATAGATGCTGTAACCAAGGATTCTGTGCTTACAGGGTTAGCACAGTAAGTGTGCTAAGTCTGTAAGCACAGATTTCATGAAATAGTGCGTAAATTACACCATGCATTGGGCTTACGTATCAGTGCGCAGCTGCGCAGTAAACTTATGATAAATTTCACGGAATTTGGCGTAGCTGCACAAAGTTTTTAATAATTTAGAGATTTTGGATGAGGATACTAAAAAAGAAAGAAAAAAAAGTAACAGCTTTTACGGCAGTTGTTTGTGTACAAGCCATATTTCTAGAGCTATATTAAATTACTAGAGCGCTGACTTGATGTACAAAGTGATGCCAGCTAAGAGCATATATTGGCGCGTTATTGAAGCTGATATGTCCAAAACTGAAACGCACGATCAGTAAATGAGCATTTCATTTTGCTCCGTGCAAACAACGCAAATGCGTGCCCCTATATCCGCTGCAGATGATTTTGCAACGACATCTTTGTACTGTCATGAAGCGCTTAAGACAGTTGCTTAGGTATATTGTACTTGCGCATTGCATTTACAAAATGTAGAGTACAATTGCAAACTTCACTGCATCTAATTTCATTATGTTCTACAAACACGCACACAGATTCAAAATGTCTGCGCCCAGGACGGCTTCAAAGTATCTCAGCGTGTATTAAGAATGAGGAGTTAGCGCTCTAGTAATTTAATATAGCTCTATGATAGGGGCCAAAGCGTATGTACCCTCCCTGTTGAGGGCAGTGTTGGATTCTCAGCAGAAGACCGCGGTCGGGAAAACTGAACTCTGTGTACTTGTATGTTCTTAAAGCTATAGTTCATCATTCTCCAGCCATCCTCAAAAGTAACTGTCGTATTATTGTTGAAAAACATACTTGGTTGAAAGATAGTAAGGGGACTAAACTCCCTGTGAAATGATTCTTTCTGGCAAGCTATCATTTTGAAGTAATCAACGAAAGAAGGCCTTTCCAACGGTGCGTCTTAAGACGGACCGTAGGAAAATTTAAATTAGTAGTTTGTTTTATTATTTGGCGCAGCGTGCGCAAGCACTTGCACGACGCACAGGCGTGCGCGGTTGCTATAATACGTCGGATCAGTGCGCGACATCGCATATAGCTGCAATTCAAAACAATTCAAAACATGATTCAGCTACTTTTGATTTGAAATTGAGATCCTAGAATGCTGTTTTTCTCAGAATATACAGCTGAAGCTTAGCTGAAACTTCATCAGGTTAGTTGCTCAGTACCCTTCATTAGATTTTGAACACTTGTGTTGCTTGAAACGAACAAAATGCACAAATTACAAATGATGGACTATATCTTTAATGTGAACTCTCCAACTTCCCAGCATGATCACAACTAGTGCAAAGTGTTCCATCTTGCACGTACATTTGCCTGAGGACTCCATCAGTTCCTTCCTATCCCTACTCGCAACCAATTTCAATTTGCATCAGTTGAGTCATGTGGTTTCTGTAGTGAGATTTAGATGTTTGCTTGGCTTCTTTGCAGATTTGGATGTGATCCTAAGGAGACAGGACAAAGAGAACAAGCACACCAACTACATCTCAGGTAAAATTAAAACCAAGAATTACGCTCAAATATTTCATTGGTCCCCTTGCATGCTTGGGTTGAAAAAGATAGGATGAAAAAGTATCTGCAGCTACTTAAACTAGGTTGGTGTACACTTAAACTAGGTTGGTGTGGCACCTTGAAAAATAGAGTTTCAAATTGAATTGATAATTTTTAGCATTACATTAGTTATGAGCTTTCCAATGAGACATCGCACACACAAAATTGGCTAATGACGGGTAATCAATTCATTAATTGCAATTTTTGAATTAAGAGCAGGACACTCCTACATTCGTTCTGAATAGTATGTGCAATTTTAGTCATTATTTATTGTATGCAGGGCCCCAATGGAAACCAGTTCTAAACTGTTTGGGCATACGCTTTGTAAATAAATGTAAAAAATAAATAAACAAATAAACTGGAGTGCGCCATTTAAAACCAATTTTTTAAACTGTGTAAAGGCCTGCAAAAACAAACAAGCCCATTTTTTTGTTAGAGGACATTATATTCCGTTAAATTTTGTTCGGAAAAGAAAATAGAAATTTAGAAAAAGGACGTATACCAACGTTAAATTCGCCATCACCCAGATGAATCAAAGGCAGTCTTTGGAATCTTGGCACTCAGAAAAGAGACGTTCCGAGCATACCTCATACGTGCTACATTCTTGCCAATGCCCATGTCTGAGGTATACTCAGAATTTCATGGGTCTGGGTGCAGAGATTTTTCAAAATGGGATTTATTTCATCCTGTTGATAGCGCCCTCTATTGACCTGATGCTTGGTGCATATATTGGGCGAGTATAACCTGTGCGGATCCACTCTTGGACCAACACTAAGCATACTCCTTGGCACAATTGCAGAATACTTCGACACTCGTTCTATCCACCTTGTAGCTGGCTACAGAGTCACGGTTGATTGCCCTCAATAAACCTCAGTGCGACTTGTACAAAATGTATTGCCGAGTGACAGGGTATTCTGCAAGTACTTTTACTCTTTTTAGTAAAGCAACTCACACAGACATTTTATTGACTGGCTCCAAATTTAGAGATCACCAGCGGGTCACAGTTTGTGTGTGAGTGAATGATACCCAGCTTCTGTGTGAACTTTGAATTGTCCATGTATGTCTCTTACAGGGGCCTGGTTTGATATGTACCTGAAGGACAGGCAGTCCATAGTGCTCAACTATAACCCGTTCATCACTTACAACAATGACCCCAGGCCAGAGAATATGGACCAGGTAAGACCATCTATGGCCAAGTTCGGGCAAGGACCATTAGTCGACTAGTGGTTGATTTGTGACGTACCTTACGCCTGCGCACTGACAGCAACGTGCAAACGTCTCTAGTCAAACGCTGGTCAAAATGTCATCGCAAAACTTCTGGATCCTGGCTCTCTGCTAGCGTTATGAATGCGCGTGGCTATTGGTTACCAGCGAAGCAACCAACCCCAGTACATGTAGGCTGGTTCCAAATAGTCGACTAGCGTAGTCAACCACCGTCGACTAGACAGAGTTCGGGCAAATGTTAGTTAACCATTGGTCAACTATAGTCCTTGCGCGAACTTGACCTATAATGATCATATTGACTGGAAAGGAGTGCACTAATGGCCAATCATTGACTGTGACTGTTAGACCAATGGGCTCTGTGCACCAACAAAAGAGGGCGCTTTTTTTTCACTTTTGAAAGCCCCATGGACAGGACACAAATGCGTGTGCGTACTGGTTCTAATGCGTGTAGTGTGAAGTGCACACGACTTTGTTTGTTCTGAATGTTCACAAATCCTTTCTTAGCGTGACTGTCGGGTGTTGTCGGGTGGCCTTCCCTAACTCTCCCTTTCTTGCCGGTGAGGGGGTAACTTTGTGCAAGGAGCCCATAGTACTTCAAGTCTCAGATCAGGTGACAAGCTATGGACTGAACGGTGACAAAGGCAGCAGTCATTAGACATGTGATTTGACTTGTGATCGACTTGTGATCGACTTGTGATCGACTTGTGATTGACTTACGATTGACTTCTGATTAACTTGTGATTGACTTGTTATTGACTTATGATTGACTTGTGGCTGACTTACTATTGACTTCTGATTAACTTGTGATTGACTTACGATTGACTTCTGATTAACTTGTGATTGACTTTGGATTGACTTGTGATTATTTGAGAATAACTTACAGGTATGATATACTTATGATGGACTTGTGTTTTGACTTGCAGTTGACTTGTGAATTTACGTGCAATTTTAAGACTTGTTCTGTGATAACCTTATGATAGAAGTTTGAGTTGCGATTGACTTGTGGCTGACCTGCGATTGATTGAATTCGGCTTTTGATCGACTTGTTGTTTGACTTGTGATTGAACTGTGAATAACGTCTGATTGACTTCTGATTAACTTGTGGTTGAAGTTGTGATTGACTTTTGATTTACTTGTGATGGACTTCTTATCTCCTTGTGATTGAATTGTGACTTGACTTATGAAAGACTCTGCACTTTTTTGTTCTTTGATATTCCATTCCTCAGTTAATACGAGCGACAAACATGGTAGTCTCTGCTACCAGGCTCATGAAGACACTGAGAGCTAGTGTACTGGAGCCTGAACTCTTTCATCTGAATCCTAAGAAGACGGAAACAGACAGCTTCAAGAAGATGGCGAGGTGAACTAAGTTGTTTTTGTTTTCGGGGTTTTGCTAAGTTTCACGGAGCGATTATGCAGAATTATGCTGAATATTGCTTCGCATGCTTTATGTACTATTTAGAAATCAGCTAAATATAATTGGTCATAAGCTGAAGAGAGCAAGCAAGTCTCGCCAGTCCACGTTCACGTTTTATGTCAATGTCTTGGTACCAAACACTGACGAGTGTAGTCACAAACTCCTGTGAATTTATTACCCAATTGTTATCTGCGTGTTCAATTTCGAACGTGTTATGTCAGTGTTTGGTACCAAGCACCAATGAGTGTAGTCACTGACTCCTTTGAATTTGAAGGCGACATTTTAAATTTTGTAACCGTCATCAATTTGCAATAATTTCAACATGTTGTAAATTGAAATGAATTCTCTTCTTTCAAAGTATACATTTCTTGCCCTTGATCGGATGGGCCTAGTTAGAGCACACAATAAATGCAAAGAAATGGGACGTTTGAGATCCTGAACACATGATACGGTACATGGTGCCCGGATGTGCTAAATTTTCGTAAAATCTAGCAGGTTTTTAAGGTCAACTCGCAACATGCACTGTTGATCCCACAGCATCTTGGTTGGTAACTGGCTAGGCTGGTCTTGGTAGAGCTTGGTTGGGCTAGGCTGGTCTTGGTAGGTGTTAGGTTGGGCGAGGCTGGTCTTGGTAGGTGCTGGGTTGGGCGAGGCTGGTCTTGGTCAGGGTGGGTTGGGCTAGTCTAGTCTTGGTCAGGGTGGGTTGGGCTAGGCTGGTCTTGGTCAGGGTGGGTTGGGCTAGGCTGGTCTTGGTCAGGGTGGATTGGGCTAGGCTGGTCTTGGTCAGGGTGGGTTGGGCGAGGTTGGTCTTGGTCAGGGTGGGTTGGGCTAGGCTGGTCTTGGTAGAGCTTGGTTGGGCTAGGCTGGTCTTGGTAGGTGCTGGGTTGGGCGAGGTTGGTCTTGGTCAGGGTGGGTTGGGCTAGGCTGGTCTTGGTAGGAATGGGTTGGGCTAGGCTGGTCACGGTAGGGGTGGGTTGGGCGAGGTTGGTCTTGGTCAGGGTGGGTTGGGCTAGGCTGGTCTTGGTAGGGGTGGGTTGGGCTAGGCTGGTCACGGTAGGGGTGGGTTGGGCTAGGCTGGTCACGGTTGGGACAGGTTGGGCTTGGTTGGTTTAGGTAGGGTTTTAAATACCACTCCTCATCTTTTCCTTTCCGTCATTTTTTTCCCCACTCTTCGATTTGATTCAGGAGGATGCCAGAGTCCATCGCCTCCTACTACGCTATCCTCAACAAGGCTTTCCCTCTAGACATGAGCCAGTACTTCAGACTGTTCAACTCCTCCCGGGTCCCGCTGCACGGGCGGGACGACTTTGCAACCGATCCGACGGCCAAGCACGTGCTCGTGGTCCGTAACGGCAACTTCTACACATTTGACGTCTTGGATAAGGACGGTGAGTGCTGCCTGGGATCTCATTTTGGAAGACCAGCTTGAAATCAGAGCTATGAATTGCATTGATTTCAATGCGTTCTCATTTTACATGATTGCCACGACATGCACTTTGATGACTTTGCATTGGTAATTATCTGTTGTACAGCATTTTTTTTTCCAGATCAGAGAGAAATGGTGACAGAAACAAGCTCAAAATGAGATAAACCCACACTTCACACAATATCATTATACAATTAACTTTTCTGTATTAATTATTATATGTTTTTTATTTTATCGCAAATTTCGGTTGTGAGGTGGTATTTACGGTGAGAAATGCCTAAGGTGGCTGCTAAAATTTAAGAAGCGGGGGTCTCACATTTGAATGGTCAGGAAAAACACTGTAACACTGCACCATTCACTATCCCACAGTCATGGAAAAAAGACCTAGAATTCAAAGCTATCCGCTCTGTTCACAAGTAACCCCTCACCGGCAAAGAGAGTACAGTTGGGGGTGACCTACCGACGCCATCTTGCCTGACTGAATTTCATTTGCTGCGAAGCGAGGCCAATGCGTGTGCATAGTACAAATCCCCTGGTGTACGTGCGTCACACACAAGGAACAGTGCACGTCAACCAGCTAAATGTCCCGCCCATGGGACGTCGTTGCTAGGTAAAAGGGCGCCCTCTTTCGTTGGCGCACAGAGCCCATAATGGAAAGTCGTAGAACAGTGATGGGATTTGTTATTTTACAAGGAGCTATTGCAAGTTCCATGCACCATTTCTATGCTCTGTGGTCTGTTATCAAACTGGAAGGCTGTAGAAGAGTAGCATCTCTTGTCTCAGTGTGCTGACTGGCCAGTGCACACTGGAATTCTCCGAACAAAATTAGAAGCAATTTATGAGGTGGCATCACGCTCACGTGCATGCTGTACGCATTCTTAAAGATGCGCTTGAAGTGTGTGCGAAGGAGCCCGAAGTGCGTGCATACTAGCCGAGCGCAACTCGCTCGCGAGACAGGTGCTTGCACTCCTAAAATGCCAAAACAGCGTAGGAATTGGTCATGGAAAGCCCTAGTTTTGGAAAAATCCTGGAATTACATTTTAAGATTTCTGTGTGAACCCTGATTCTTGGATTGAGTCACCGAAGGAAATTTGTCACAGTTTATTTGCTACTACATGGCTTATGTGTACTTAATTAGTACTAATTGATACTAATCAGTACATGTACTAAGTAATACTAATTAATCTACAAGACCCAAAGGAATTCCCCAGTACTGCAGTAAGAGATAATAAAAAGTTGAATGGAATTAAATGTAGAGCTTCTGAGTTGACTTGCAACTGGATAACTCGGTTGTCAACAACTGGATAACTCGGTTGTCAACAACTGGACAACTCGGTTGTCAACAACTGGACAACTCGGTTGTCAACAACTGGACAACTCGGTTGTCAACAACTGGACAACTCGGTTGTCAACAACTGGACAACTCGGTTGTCAACAACTGGACAACTCGGTTGTCAACAACTGGACAACTCGGTTGTCAACAACTGGATAACTCGGTTGTCAACAACTGGACAACTCGGTTGTCAACAACTGGATAACTCGGTTGTCAACAACTGGATAACTCGGTTGTCAACAACTGGATAACTCAGTTGTCAACAACTGGATAACTCGGTTGTCAACAACTGGATAACTCGGTTGTCAACAACTGGACAACTCGGTTGTCAACAACTGGACAACTCGGTTGTCAACAACTGGATCACTCGGTTGTCAACAACTGGACAACTCGGTTGTCAACAACTGGATAACTTGGTTGTCAACAACTGGATAACTCGGTTGTCAACAACTGGACAACTCGGTTGTCAACAACTGGATAACTCGGTTGTCAACAACTGGACAACTCGGTTGTCAACTGGACAACTCAGTTGTCAACATCTGGATAACTCGGTTGTCAACAACTGGATAACTCGGTTGTCAACAACTGGATAACTCGGTTGTCAACAACTGGATAACTCGGTCGTCAAAAACTGGACAACTCGGTTGTCAACAACTGGACAATTCGGTTGTCAACAACTGGACAACTCGGTTGTCAACAACTGGACAACTCGGTTGTCAACAACTGGATAACTCGGTTGTCAACAACTGGACAACTCGGTTGTCAACAACTGGATAACTCGGTTGTCAACAACTGGACAACTCGGTTGTCAACAACTGGACAACTCGGTTGTCAACAACTGGACAACTCGGTTGTCAACAACTGGACAACTCGGTTGTCAACAACTGGACAACTCGGTTGTCAACAACTGGATAACTCGGTTGTCAACAACTGGATAACTCGGTTGTCAACAACTGGACAACTCGGTTGTCAACAACTGGACAACTCGGTTGTCAACTGGATAACTCGGTTGTCAACAACTGGATAACTCGGTTGTCAACAACTGGACAAATCGGTTGTCAACATAAAATGTTGACAACAATACATAAAGTCGCTGAGAAAAGAAAGACACTAACAAAATGTTTGCATTTTTACATTGCCATAATATAAAATATCCTCATTTGTCCCGTAATTGACGTACAAGGACTTGAATACAAATCTGTTGTCAACATGAAGTTTTGGCGACAATGTTTAAGTCACAGAGAAAAGGAAGTCACAAAAACCTCTTTGCCAATTTTTTTTATTGCCATTAGGTAATATGCTACCACCGTCCGTCATCCACGCAAACATCCACTACATCCTCCAAGATAATGCCCCGCCCACTGAGCATCCCGTTGGGTACCTGACCAGCGAGAATCGCAACGTGTGGGCCACGCTACGCCGTCACATGGCCGGACTGAGCGCGGGCAATGCTGAGTCGCTGCGCATGATTGACAGTGCCATGCTGTGCATGTGTTTGGATGACGACTCGCCAGACACGCCAGAGAGTATGACTAGAATGATGCTGTATGGCAGTGGCAGTAACAGGTGGGTTTCAGCACAAAACAGTGTTAGGCCAAACAAAATACTCGGTCTCTGGTCAGCGCGCGCGTCGATTTTAATCATGCGCGTCAACCTTTTTTTTTTCTTTTTCAAATTAACACGGAAGCTACAACAGCCCCCTCTATTGCTGCGCCTCCTCAAATTTTTTGTACCAAGGAGCACCAAGGAATGGGGAAATTGCACCAAGGCAAATAATAAAGGGCACCAAGGCAAATTATGGAGGACACCAATGTATAATGAGGTCACAAAAAAGCAAAATAGTACCCACCTTGTCTGTACAATACAAGCTTGAAAAAAAAAAAAAAAACACCAAAAAAAAAAAAACCGTGTCGCCGCAACAATTTCGGAACTTCGGTCTGACCAGAGACCGACTTTTTTTTTTTTTGGCCTTAAGTGTAATTTATAAATACATGTACATGTACCTGAGACTGTTAACCTAGTCTATTCTAATGATGTATCCTTTCCTATGAAGACAACACCAAATTAATATACATGTACAACATATATTACCATATATAGGGTACGGCTTGCCAAGGGGCAGTCAACCAGTTGGAGCTGGCTCTTTAATTGTTTAATTTTAAACAATAATTATACAGATATTCAATGTAATCGTACAAACTCCCGAATAAACCCACTGGATTAAAAACCAGAGATAAAACTCAATGAGCAAAAACTCTGGAAAACCTTGTGGTTGCCAGCAAGACAAAACGTTTCGAACGTTTACACAAAGCTATTTTTTAAAGCTGATCCATTCTGTGTTTGTTCTTAACTGACCTGAAGTCGCAAGCTAGAATGATCCCCCACGCCTTCGCCTCACACGTTCTACGTACATTCTATGCACGTCTTTCATACATTTGTATTCAAATTTGACACACCCTTTCCACCCTTATACGCACCACCGCCTCGCGGAATTCATTCCTCAACCGATTAGACAAATTTTGCCTGCTATACAACCGTAACGCAGGCAAAGATAATTCCTGTTGGTTGAGAGCCCGTCGTGTGGGTGGGTTTAAACCGTCGCTTAAACACCACTCTGTGGTTAAACAGCGATGTTTAAAACCAATCACAAGCACCCTTGCTCCACGTCAGTATGTGCCACGCACTCTGTCGGCTTGAGAGCCGCTGACATAGCTGCCAACTATTACGATTTTGTCGTAATTATTACGAATTGTTTGTTAAATTACGAAAATACAATTTGCCACTAAAACATTACGAATTTCCCATTTTCTCCCTAACAAAAAAAAAATTACTTGTAAAGTATCGTTTTTGACCGAAAACTTCTGGCGAAATGTTGCGATAATGGATGGACTGGTGACAAGTCTAATAAGCAATGCAGTCAAGCACCTGATAGACATCAATGCAGTGTGCGCAGTGGAGTACATGAGGACCAGACTAATTGAATGTTCAATGGTGTGCCATTTGTGTGCATCTCGTGGATGTGTGGTTGTGTGTGTGTACTGTGTGTGAGTACTTTTCAGTGACAATTGTGAGCACTTTTGGTTGCTTACTGCCGGAATGAGACCATTAGGGCGAAATTTTAATCATGGAATTTAATAAGAGTATGGTTAGAATAATTGGTAACAGAGTTTGACTTTATCACAACGTCCAGAAAAGATAAATCAGCATGCGTTTGCAAGGTATGTTGGCAGGATATTTCTATCGCATACGGTGGCCCTAAATCATTGTGTGTAAAAACACGATACGAACTCGAAACTCAACATCGATAGCATGCATCTCAAAAGAAAAAAATTGCGCACATGTTATTATTGTTATTATTTATTTGACTTCAACAAACAAATACAGACATTTTTTTTAATTATCTTTTGGCCTACAGTACATTATTATTCACAACAAGAATGGTATGCACCTGTAAACCATGTACCTGTACTCGATGTTGGTAAAGCTGGTACATACACTTTTGATAATAGGAGCAGTTGAAAATGACCGCGCGGGTTGATTTACTCATTGGGATTTTGAAAAGTTGGCAGCTATGCGCTAATGTGATCTCGATATACATGTAGGAGAGGTTGATCACAACACACCCGCATTAGAAAAGTGCCGAACATGGAGTAAATTGGTAGGGAAAAAAAATCGTTGGAAGTTTGTCAACTTTTCAAGTGCTAATGAGTTGACAATTTGGACTTGTAGGTGGTTTGACAAGTCCATCCAGGTCATCCTGTGCAAGAACGGCATGATGGGAGTCAACTTTGAGCACGCCTGGGGTGATGGCGTGGCCGTCCTGCGATTCTTCAATGAGGTCTTCAAGGACAACTCCGACCAACCCGCGGTGGGACCGGACTCGCGACCGGCAACTGTCGACGCCTCGGAAAACGTTAAAAGTGTAAGCTATTTTCATTCAGTATGCACCAATTCAGTAGCCTATAGTCATGATCATATTACCTGGTTTCTCAAATTTCCGTTAAAGTTTACTCAAATTTCCGTTAAAGATTAAATAGACAATGGGCCTTATACACAAGTCGGCCATATTGAATTGCAAGTGAGGTAAAATCTTCATTTTTGGAACTTGCGAAGAGGAATGAAAGCAAGTAAATTACTAATATAACCAAGTATGCTTCAATGAATAATTTAAAATTTGTAATTAAACATTCCCTAATGTTGTAAGTTAGATTTGAAAATAAAATGACAGTAAAATAAGACTGCATAAATAGTCTGGCGCCATCCCATTCAACGGATAACATGAAAGACATTCAGGGAACTCGACAAAAATGGCCAACTCGTGCATAAGGCCTATTGGCTAGTATTTCCAAAATTTGCTGGACCACATTTTGCTAAGGGGGAAAACAACGACTTGTTTTTAACTAAACGCATTCATGGTTGTGAATGTGAAACTTCAAATTTTTTAAAAGATGTTTCGATATTTGCATGTTCTTGGAGGAGAAATTGGTATGAAACAGGGGTAACTAGTAATAAGTTATTTTTCTGGCATCAGCGGGTTTTTCTTATTTGTTCCTCTCTGATTTAGCCCAATAAAAATACAAAAATGTTTCAGAAAGTCTTGTATTCAATTTCCTTTATCGGGACCTCTCGATTACAAAATAATTTTTAACTTTCCTGCTGTGTGACCAATCACAGACAGTCAAAGGTTATTTGCAAAACGCGATAAATGTTTTTTTTGTTGCCTTTTACAATCCCGCTCTCTCCTGGTAGCTTTATACGCCTGGCACTAAACAAAAACTAAGCAGTTTTTATAATCATCCTTGTTTGGACATTTCTGTTATGTTTTTGTCACAGAAACTTTCCGGTTCAATTTGATACCTCACTTGGGAATACTGTGTAAGAAATAACGAAAGCGCAAGCGCTGAAGCTTCTGAAATCCCCAAACTAAAAGTTGTATTTAGCAAGATTTGGAGAAAAGCAATGAGTGAGAAAGTGTCTTGCCCAAGGGCACACGCACCATGACCCCAGGCTGGACTCGAACCCACAACCCGCAGCTTTACCCGCAGACCACGAATCCAGTGCCCTTAACCATGAGGCCACAGTACTCCAGGCCACAGTTGCCAGGCAGATTGGGAATCATTGATTATCAAAATGTGCAGTCAGGCAGATGCTTTATTCAGTCTTTTGTTTTAGACTCATTCCTCTACTGTTTGGCAATTTCATTCCCTCCAATGCAGATAAGCTTTGACCTGGATCCAGCTGTTGTACAAGGCATCCAGAAAGCCAAGGATAGCTTCCATACCTCGACTAGCCGGCTGAGCGTCTGTGCCAAACAGAACTTCCTCTATGGCAGGGACTACCTCAAGAGCACTGAGATCAGCCCAGATGCTCTGATGCAGCTGTCATTCCAGGTCGGCTGCCCAAAAGGGTTCTCTTAAAACCACAGGAACAAATCTTGTTTCACTCTCTTGAGAACGTTTCTAAACAGGACATTTTAGGTTTACACAAAGGTAAAGTACAACATAGACAGTTTCAATTTGCAACATTTGGGCAGTGTTCCGACTCGACTTTGTAATGGTTTTATAGCATCTTTTAAGATGATACTATTTTTAAAAGGGTGGCATGGGTGGCTTGTGCGTAAAGCACTCGCCTCTTACCAAGGTGACCACGGTTCAAATCCTGGCTGTGGATCGCATGTGAGTAGAGTTGTGCGTTGGTTCTCTCCTGTGCCATGAGGGTTTTTCTCCAGGCCCTCCGGTTTTTCTCCCCCCGGAAAAATCAAACACTTTTGATCTCAGGCTGTGCTCCGTGGTCATTATGTGGGCCGATGTGGCCGGCAGCCATAGGCGCCTTAACGTGTCAGCGGCCCAACCACGTTGTTGTCGCGTCCTTCGCAATTCAGCATACCAGCTGCGAGTAAGGATGATTAGCCTCCCAAATTATTAATATCATGACCAAAAGTAATGGCTGTGCTTTATGTAAGCATACAATTTTACTAAATACCGTAAAGACTCTGCCATTTAAAAAAGGAGATAAATGTACCTAGCCTTACGGAGAATATGCAAAAGTCAGTAGCTGCCTTGTGCCTGTTAATAGATGTAGTATTTGAAAAATACATTGCTTTCCAACAATGGTCTGGTCCAACCATTGTTGGTAAATGATGGTAATGGTTCTTTTCTTGAAAATACCAGGTGCAGCTACTTCACATGATGCTTGATACTATCATTATCTTACAAGCTATTTCATAATATTTTGGCAGTTTTGTGTTAAATGTTTGCAGAGGTAAAAATATCTGTAACCATCATCTACAACTCTCCTCTCCTCAGATTGGGTTTTACAGACTGACTGGGCAGACAGCCCCGACGTACGAGTCCTGCAGCACAGCGGCCTTCAAGCACGGCCGGACGGAGACGCTACGGCCGGCCACGCTGGAGACCAAGCGATGCGCTGAGGCGTTCCAAAAGGACTCGGGTGTCAGCGCGCAAGAGAAGCGGCATCTGATGAAAGCGTGCTCCGACAAGCATTACGATTTGACTAAGGAGGCTCTCATGGGTAGGCTCAATCGGGGAAATTTCTCCCTGTCTGTGAATAGTATTCACCTCCCGCCCCCCCCCCCCCCCCCACCCCTCTTAAAACATTTTAAAATGTGTTAACTGCTGGGTTATCTTCATCCTTCTCGCAATGTTCAGAGTTGTACTGCACTAGTCATTGACTCCCTACAAGTCTGATTCAAGTTGTAATTTCCAGTGACTCAACTGACAGGCATGCAACTTGTCCTCAGATCGGCTGATTTCCTCGTTTTTCACTTCACACTGTGCCATTCCAAACTGAAAAACACACTGTATAAAGTCTTGTAAAGGTTAGAGTTTCCTCGTTTTTAGGTTCTTCCAAGTTGCATGCCTGAACCGACTCAACCATTGTCAACTCAAGACATTGCAAGCAAATGACTCCTTCTGAGGCTCTTCACTATTTAGTCAAAGGCTCATAAACTTTTATTCTACTGTATGCTGTAATAGGGCCACAGATTTTGCTAACTGCATCCACATTAGCGCGACATATAACTGTCGCCCTTTTTTGAAAACGACCCTTAGGACAAGGAATTTTTAAGTTGCAAACCATCTAGATTGATTTCTCGTGTCCCAATTAGTAAAAACACCGAATTTTGCGGAGAAAGGATAAGGTCAACTTGGGTTTGGTGACAGTTTAGGTTTACCATATTTAATTAGTCCACATTTTGTTTGCAATTGATTACACACCTATGAACGGGTACAATGAAGCCAGCTACACTGATTCAGCAGGAGCATCAGTCCATTATTGTTTTAAGTTCCGTCTAATTAAGGATCAGTTCCCTACTCAGAGACAAGGGCGGATCCAGGGGGGGCCAAAGGGGGCCATGGCCCCCCCCCCCCCAAACGAAACCAATTTTTTTTTTAATGTGACATCGCAATAAAGGCAGGCAATGAGTACACCACCATCCTTTCCTCAAAAGAAATTGGTTAAATGGGTTAGAAATTGCCTCAGATCGCACCACAGAGCATCTAGAATCCAAAAATTTTTCGGGGCCCTTAAGCGGGCCCCGAACCCCACGCCGTATTTTTTTAGACCCACTTTTTAGGGGGACCAAAATTTGTTTGGGCCCCCCAAAAAAATTGTGTTCTGGATCCGCCCTTGCTCAGAGAGTTAACCCTCCCCCTCTCCCCTTAAATAAACTGTTTATAATATAAATACTTGATGTATATAAATACCTTGGTTTACTATTTTTTTCTTATCGAATCATATATTTTCTTATTTTAGTCGTCGTACACGTATACACACTGTTTGTGTTCTTGTTATAGGTGTTGTTATGTTTATTCGTTTATTGTGAAGCTGTTACTTTGTTTTGTTTTTTGTAAACAGGCTGTTCCTTGACAAGCCCCGCTTTTTTGGAACGTGCCTCCACATTTGTCTATATTTATTGTACTTTTCTTTATGATCATGTGGAAATAAATGTTACTTTGAATTGAATTGAATGTACTTGGTGTTCTTTCACTCTGAAGGCAAAGGCTGGGACCGCCACCTCTTCGGACTCAAGAAAATCGCAGAGATGGAGTATTCACTGCCGGAGATGTTCACAGACCCCGCCTACGCCAACATCAACCAAATCATCCTCTCCACGAGCACCTTGGCCAGCCCGGCCGTTCTGATCGGCGGGTTTGCCCCCGTCACTCCAAACGGCTTCGGGATCGGGTACAACATGAGCAGCGACAATCTCGGAGTGAACATCACCAGTTACCCGGAGTCCCACAACGTGGAGGATTTTGTGGAGTGCCTCAACAGCAGCTGGGAGGACATGTATGAAATTTTGGACACCACGACGGCGCCGCCTAAGAAGTAGTGTTGCGATGTCACCTCTGTCACATCTGCCAAGTGACACGGGGAACTTTTCAGAACCACCAGTTTTGACACGCAGAATGCCTTTGCACATGAAGTTGTATGGAGAATATGGCCACATATGAATTAGTTGACTGTGGCTTGCAATTGCACATGTACCTGTGGAAACCCCTGAAGCCACTTTCCATGCACTTGTGTGCTACTGTCAGATTTAGCCAGATAATTCGGACATGGTCTGTAAATCAAATTAAATCGGTCTATTAAAACGGTTTATATAACCGACATACAGATCCCTGTAATTTGATTGGTGGAACTTACATCACGTGACATTCGTTATTACTGCCATTCACACCGGGACTCAAAAAGTCCCATTCGCCCGTGGGGAATGGGAAATACTATTGAACAGTTAGGATCATTCTTGTTCCATGATGCGGTATTTGTGTCCAAATGCATGCTAGTATGCGCGTTGAGCATCGCGCGTTGGGCGTATTGTTCCAAAGAGCCAGCGCTACGGAGTTGGGTTTCAACATTTTTGTGAAGGGGTGGTTTGGAAGAGAGAAATACATGTTCCACTTATTTCGTATTGAAATAAAAGTTCAAATATATATAATGACAAAGATCTATATGTCAGTTATATAAAACAAATATTGAGTGGCTTTTAATTGTGAAATGGGAGGAACATTATCGCTCGGTAAAATCTGGACTTTTCCAGCAACTTGCGATGATATTCCTCCCATTTCACTCTGAGCCACTCATTATTTGTATACTATTAACTCTAACGTACAGTACCTGAATCCATCAAAATCCAAACCCTCGTTCTGGAGGATTTTGGCAGATTCAGGACAGTAAGCCTAGCGGTACTGCAGGATTTTGATGGATTCAGGATACCTCCATATTGAGCAGTTGGGGGACTTTGATGGATTCAGGATCTCAACAGTCAAACTCCCTGGCTATATTTTTGGTGTGTACGAGGTATATGTACTACACTGGTGGATTCTGATGGATTCACTTGTGGATTCTGATGGACTCAGGACACCAACATTTTTGCAGGACAAAGTTGGTGGATTTTAACGGATTCATGATACTTTCTAGCAAAAGTGCTCAAGGGGTAAGGGTTAAAGGAGAAACTGAGTTCACAAATGTGAGGCGTTCTGGCAAAATGAGACAGAACTGGGCAGAGGTTTTGCGGGTATTAGGAAAGAGAATAAAATTCTCCTTACAATACTGTTTGTTGCAATTCAGGTTGAAAAAGGTTGACGCCAATGCACAAATTGTGGTTAGAAGTACATGTACATGTGTAGGAATGTTCTGTTTAATGATATGCCTACATAAACAATGATGAATGTGCAAAGAATCTCTGTTGATTTGAAACCAGCTGAAATGTACATGTGTATTGTTATTGTTTTATAGATGTAAATTTATATGAGGGGCACGATATGTATATATACACAATTTTGAAATTAGGGAGTATTTGAAACAGTGTATTCTTGCTGTTGGTGAAACACACTTTTTTCTGCTCAAGGAGGTTGTTAACATACATGTATCAGTGGATTGGTTTAGACTCAACTGATTTTTCATTGTGGAAGTTTCCCAGCATTTTTTAGTTGATTGTTTTTTTACACTCCCTCAAACATATTGTCCACAGTGCAAATGTGTGTAACTTCATCTGTGACTTATATCGAATTATTAATAAAATGTCTAATGGACATGCTTTTCAATGCATCATATTTAGCTTGTTTTTACTCTTTTTTTAGTCATTATAATGACTGGTTGTGGTATTATACAATAAAGTGCATTATTTTATGGAGGGGCTGGATGTTAAATATATAATATAGTATCTAGTATCCAAAAAATGACAAAACTATTCAAAATTTGTAATGCAAACATGGCACTTGTTTTCATAATATTCAAATGCAAATACCTTTGTATTGCTAGGAAACTAGGAATTGATTAAAACAAAAATGTGGAACTCAAGAGATAGCAAAAGGAGTACAGCTTTAAAAGGTAATTTCCAAACTACATGCGCTGTACTCTTTCAGTGACAAATATAGTTTATTTTTCTTTTATACCTTTGTTCACGAAAATCACATTTACAGAAATTGATGAAAACACAATAATTCCATTTCAAAGTACTTCGAAGAACATCATAAGTTATTCCCGTTATGTACAATCAACAAGAAAGTAAGCAGGACGGAAAATGTTAGAACGAGAAAATGAGAGACTAGTAGTTTTATCATCTTGTGTTTTGGCTCTCATGGACTAGCCAAACAGCGCAGCAGCAGATTTCACGAAAGTGTGTTTAACGAATATGCCATACGTAGGGTTTACGCAACAATGTTGTTGCACAGCTGCACAATTAACATGATCAATTTCACTAAAACTTGGCCTAGCTGCACAACATTTCAAACAATTTACACATGAGTGCGTTCGATTACTCCCCTGCGTTTACTCGTGCAAGCGCGACAGCGTTCGATTTACCTCTCACGTGACTTCTTGCGCTTACTGAGCTTGGCCCAAGTAACCGACTCGCTGAGCCAGTTACTTGGGTAAGTATCCCATAAGGCCATGTAATAAACATTGCTGCCAACGGGACGTCAGGCGGGCGCCTCAGGCCGTGTCGGAAGCAGGCTTCAAGAGCTATGGCTACATCTATTGTTAGTGCGTCCCCGTATTTTCAACGGGCGAGGACCTAGACCTAGCTCTAGACAGTTGATTTGGATGCAGCCTGTGACATGTCAAAGTTTAACTTTCCAGCTCTTGCACGAAACTTTAACTGACACGGTTCATTTATTTAGCTCCACTGCGCATGTCTGTCATCACACGAGGAGCCAGGCGCGAGTAAGCTGGGGGAAGTAATCGAACGCACTCCTTAAACAAGGGTCACAGTTTTTACAACAGCTACGTGTTTGTTTATGATTTCTGTTCACTCGCACTACAGTCGTTGAATAAATTCCGCCCGCCAAACAGTTTTTGCCGACTTCTTTGAAAACGTGCGGCAAATCTAAAATATCTGTCACAGGTAAAAATAGCTGTTCGTTTACTTCAAAAACAGAGCTGTGAATTTCTTGCATCAACCTTGAGAAGCTGAGCCATTACAGGAGCAAGACAATCATGATAAGTCATTAAAAAATAGGGAAAGATTTCCGTACTGGGCCACCACTTTATTCAAGCCCCAAAAAGTTGCATCCTTTACGGTTTATCTCCTCCACTTTCCCTCCTCTACTCTCACCCTCTCCTTTCCTTTATCCCTTTTTATTAATCAGTCACTTACTTCATCGAGATTTGAACCTCGGACTCTTGCTTGAAAGACAAGACTTTTACCACAAGACCACGCGCACGATCGCATTGCAATGATCAATCTTTGGACGGATTTGAAGAATCCATTGAAATAAAGTAAATATTCATGAGAAATTAAATATTCATGATGATGTATTGCACTATCATTGGCCGGCTCATGCGTTGTCATGGTTTTTCGATGTCATGCGTATAACGTACCGCTGTCTTCCAGACACTTCAATCAATTTGACCGGCTGCCTCCAACTTAGTTCTGCACGATGTGTGCGTCCAAAATGTGCTCTAAAAACACATTTTTCCTAAAAATATTTCGCATTTGCAAGACTTCCTCAATTAGTCTTGGGTGAAATCAAAAGGTGAGGTGACAATTGATGTGTTTGGTGGCAGGTGAGTGGTGGCCCAGTATGGAACTCTTCCCAAATGGAGTCTATTTTTAGTCGCTATACCATAATTTACGCGACCTAAAATGAATGTGCAAGAAACGCCACGGATCCGCTGATATCCTCATTTTTTTTACTTCTCATGAATGCCATTACAAATTGAAAAACACTACACAAAGTCTTGTGTGGTGTGGAGTTTCCTCGTTTGTTTTCGAAATGCCCAGTTCCATGCCTGCATAATTTGTTACTTTAAGCCACTGTCTTGTGTACCATTAAACTTTTGGGAAAGGTGTCATAATTGACACTTCAGTGCAGCTTAAGCAATACATTGTGCAGTTACACCACTGCGTCATGTTTCGTGAAATCGACTGTAGTATAGGTCCCATTTTCCTGAAATACATCAAGCTGAATCAATACTCGACGTTTACAGGCACACACATACAATTAAGGCATTCACAGTATACAAATATTGACTGCTTCGAGTGGTGTAGTAAAACTAGCCTCCCGAGTTGATCCATGGACATTCTATTTTCCTGAGGTGATGAAGCCGAGGGAAAATAGAATGCTCCATGGATCACCGAGGGAGGCTAGTTTTACTTCACCACGAGATAAAGCATTCAATATTTGTTTTATAACACTTCATCCACAGATTCTTCTTGGTTATAATATTTAAATTATTTAAATCTGAACACAGTTGAAATATTACTTCAATTTCAATACAAAACTGGGGGAAAATGTATTTCTCTCTTCCAATCTACCCCCTTTGCGAAATGTTTGAACTCAACTCTCTCTTTGGAACAAAACGCGATGCGTGCAACGCGCACACCAGCATACATTTGCACACAAATACCGCGCCGTGGAAATAGTACTTTGGTTGCTAATGGTATAGTACTTTGGTTGCTACGGGTATAGTACTTTTGGCCGTGCACAGAATGATAGCAAAAATAGAAAGCATCATGTGACTCGCTCTCGGCCAATCAAGACAAAGAATCTGTGGGTGAGGTGTTATAATACACAATATATTGAAAGAAATGGTAGTATGTACAATAATCTGTCCAAAATAAATACTATGTACAAACTTTCTACACAATCATCCAGCACAAATACTTCTATGTACATTTGACTACTCACTCGCCTCTAAGGAATTTTTTTTTTTATACATTTATAAGAGTATTCATGAACACATACTAATATTGCTTTGGCACGGAATGCTTGGTTTTACAGTACAGGCCACCAGATAATAATGAAAGTATATGGCCTGTTCTGGCACAGTGAAAGAAAAGTAGGTGGCTGCCGTGTGCTGTTAAATATCTAATTTTCAAGACAAACTTCTGTTCAACTGTTAACTCTTTCAGTGCCAAAGTCGTACATGTACGAGGTATATTTGTTTAGTTCGCAGTGCCAACCTCGTACATGTACGAGGTAATGTTCGTACTTAAAATCGCCAAATCTTGTACATGTACGAGGTAGAGTAAGCATGTTATCACAAGGGGGCGCTCTCGCTCTTTCTAATAATATCTTTCATTCAGGTACGACTTGTATTTATTTGTTTCATTCGAGTTCTTGCGAGAGGGCGCAGTACTGACACTTGTATTTTCTGCAAAAAGTGCGGAATTCCCCTGTACAGTGTTTCAGGGTGTAGCACTATTAACTACTACTGACTTTCCAATGTACCAAGGATATACCAGAGAGCAACAACAACAAATTTAGTGAGTGAAACTTATTTACTTTTTTTTTTACAGAATTTTGAACAATTAAAAAAAAACGCTTGAAGTTGGGCACTTTATGGTTAAACTTTTCAAATTTCCCGGGCACTGAAAGAGTTAAGAGACTTTCTAGAGAGGAAACCTCCCTGATAAAATGACCAAAAAAATGAGGAAACTATTAATAAAATTAGAATATGATAATTCCCAGACGCACATTCTTCCGATAAAGATAGTAAAAACATGCAACACAAGAAAATACTCTGGCACATGAAACAACCAGTCCAACACCTTTAGTACTGCATCAATCAACTGTGTGAAAAAAAAAACCCATCTGGTACCTTGTCTATATTTCTACACGTTCTCTCCATAGTCACGCCACCAGACTACTGAAGGGTCATTTAAAAAAAAAAAAGTTGGACATGTACCAGTCTAGTCTCAGGCTTCAACTTAAAACACTTGGCTTCATTCTCAGGTGCAAAATGTTGAAGAAAAGTCTCCTATTTTAAAAATTGAATTGAGACCTCAAACTTGGCTGGTGAAATAGTGAGGACCTCCTCTTTGCCTCATGAACATTTTAGAGAATTTTGTCACCCACATGTTGAGGGTGTTTTCACGAAGTGACAAAAACTTCAGTAAAATGCAGAGGCCTCACTATTTTGTCCCATTACATTGTACACACTCTTCGTCACTTCGTGAAAACAAAAAAAAGGTTCTAAGAAATTGTTACATTGCGCGTCATACGTCACTGCAGCGCGCGCGCGTCTGTTTCTTTATCAACATTGTTCGCAGCGCGCGCGCCCACTCCCATCCTAACGAGTGTGTAGAGAAATGAATTATCCCTCTGGCCCGGCTAACGAGGTAAGTTTTTGTCACTTCGTGAAAACAGCAAAACAAGGATTTCAGGCTTTTTGTCAAACGTTTGTTTACAATAATTACATCAGTAAACAATATTTTGCTTTGAAACTTGGTCAAATTCTTCTTTTTGTCAAGTGCAATAAATTGGCCAGAAAAACTCAAAATCGAACAATTATCGATTTTCCAGGTTTTCGTCACTTCGTGAAAACATCGTCGATGTAGAGAGTGAATAAAATTTGCACAAGTTTGTTTTTAAGACTGTCGGAGGACAGCTCTTGTACCTGCAACCCATTCCCATATTCATGTGACGGCCATCTTAAACTGAAAGCAGGGAAAACCCTGCCTGTCTTTTTTTAAAGGCACGTGGATCATTTTGCATGTAAAAAAGTGTGCCTGCTGACACGTTTGTTTAAAATCGTCCTCAATAATTTCCCCCCACCCCCCCCAACATCACCATTTCTCAGGGTATTGGGCGTAGCCCGACCTTCGCTTTGAGCAAGTTTTTTTCTTACTCCTAAAATTCCTAACTATTTCTCTGAAAAATGTTAACATTCCTGCAGGAAAATATTTTCAAGAGTATGGTACGAGAACTTTGCCATGAGTACCAGTATGTGTAGCCCGACCTTTGCTTTGAGCAAGTATTTTTCTTACTCCTAAAATGCCTATTTCTCTGAAAAATGGGAAAATTCCTGCAGGAAAATATTTTCAAGAGTATTGTACGAGAACTTTGCCATGAGTACCAGTATGAGTAGCCCGACCTTCGCTTTGAGCAAGTTTTTTTCTTACTCCTAAAATTCCTAACTACTTCTCTGAAAAATGTTAAAATTCCTACAGGAAAATATTTTCAAGAGTATGGTACGAGAACTTTGCCATGAGTACAAGTTTGAGTAACAGTACAGCTATTTTTGTGTGTGTGACTACGAGTACGAGTACATTCTCATGAATGTAATATAAGTACCAGAAATGTACTCGAGTACCAGTAAAACTACTACAACACTGCTCATTTGAGCTCGTAATATTTGCCCGTCCTCGGATCGTAGTAGCAGTTCAAGCAGGGATCATACAGCAAGTCCAGCTCTTCATCCTCTTCGCTCTCTGTGAACGCCCTGCCCGGGTCATCACTACTGGTGGACTTGGTCCTGGCCTTGTCTGTTCGGAAAGCTGTCAAAATAAATAAATAATGGATAAAAATATGGGAGTTTATGACCCAAAATCATTCAGTATAAGTTTTGGTTACTCATTGGCCATCTACAGTATTCAACATTTTCATGGTCATACAGAGAAAGTTTCAATGACACACATTAGGTGGTTTTCCTCCTCCATTTATGCAAATTGTTTGCAAGACTAGACTGTTATAAGATGGAATTTTGCGTCGGGTGATATAAATCAAATTAGGTTTTGCCCTTCACCGACGTTTAAACACTGTATACTCAGTGTGTTACCTCCCGAGTGAAAGCTGGAAAAAAAAAAAGACTAGACTGGTTCCCAGATCCTCTATTGTCCTTGGGACCCATATTATGGGAGAGGGAACCAGTCCATGGGCATGTAAATTAGTCTAGGTCTGATTCCCGGCCCCTGAATACAAAACCACAATGATAATGTAAGCGCGGAACCAGCCTATTGCAAAATGGCAACAAGGCTACCACTAATGTGCAGTTTGTGTGGTGATGAGCTTCGATTTTCGACAGGGCCCCAACCAATGATGAAAGCATTGTGCAGGCTATTGCACAAAGCAACTGCCTCATGATGGATTATCTGAACAATAGCTAGCGCAATGCTTTCACCATTAAAGGTATAGTCCATCATTTGTAATTTGCGCATTTTGTTCATTTGAAGCAACAAAAGTGCTCAAAATCTAAAGAAGGGTGCTGAACAACTATCCTGATGAAGTTTTATCTCAGTGAATACTGTATATTCCGAGAAAAACAACATTGTAGGATCTCGATTTCAAATCAAAAGTTGCTGAATCATGTTTTGAATTGGGCCTGAATTCAGCGTCCGAGACACGTTCTCACTAAGCCGATTGTAGCTACGCGATGTCGCGCACCCATCCGACGAATTATAGCAACTGCGCGTGCGTGTGCGTCGTGTCAACGCTTGCGCGCGCTTTGCCGAATAAAAAAACGAACTACTAACAAAAATTTACAACGGTGCTTCTTAAGACGCACCGTTGGAAAGGCCTTCTTTCGTTGATTTCTTCAAACTAACAGCATGCCAGAAAGAATAATTTCACAGGGAGTTTAGTCCCCTTGCTATTTTTCAACCAAGTATGTTTTCCATCACTAATTACGTCAGTCACTTTTTGGATAGCTGCAAATGATGGACTCTGGCTTTAAAGGGGGCCTCCGCGATAGAGTTGATAGGTGCTGGGATTGGTCTATAACGAATCGCTGGCAAATATAGCCGTACACGTACCTGTGGGCATGTCTTTGCCTGGCGATAGTATCGCTGCCTCATGATCTGCTTTGATCTTCTCACTGGGCAGTACGATGGGCGGGCTGAACAGATTGGACCAGTCCCTGGAGATAGGAAAAACCAATACATTGTTTCTCCTTCTATCCTCAACTTCAAGCACATTTTTAAAAATTTGATTAAAGGCAATGTACATCATTGGCTTTTGCTGTCATTTTCAGAAATGAACGATTTGAGGGGTTAGTAAAATAGATGAAATATTGTTACACAGATAAGTTTTGTGTTCGAAAATGCTGGAAAAACTAAGAAAAACAAAATTTTTCAAGTAGTCTGGTTCCCTGACTCCACTAAAGATGAAATGGATCAATTTATAGATGCCGGAAAACTTAAGGTAAGGGAACCAGTCTAGCTGGCCTGCACCCGTTCATGAACATGTAACCAATAGCAAACAAAATTTGGACTGAAAAAAAAAATGGTAAATTTGGAGCAGTAGTTGAAAAATAGTAAAGTTTTTCCAACAGTGATCGGCCGACCACCGCTGGAAATGTATACACAAATACCATTTTCTTGAAAATGACTTCACACCAGGTGCCATAATTTTACAGATGCTTTAGACTGTCATTTACCAACATCCTATTAAGGTATTTCGTAAAAACTTGGAAGTTTTATTTTTTCGATGTTTGCAAATGTTGTATATTCCCTTTAACCCATTAGCAATCTTGAGTAATGAAAACCTAAACACCAACGTTGATTGGCCTTAAAGGGAAAATACAACATTTGCAAACATCAAAAAATAAAACTACCAAATCATTTTGAAATACCTCGCTGGACTATTAGTGAATGACAGTGTAAAGCATCCTGTAAAATCATGGCACCTGGTATACTGTCATTTTCAAGAAAAGTGGTATTTTTGTATCAATTTCCAACGCTGGTCGGCCGACCAGCGTTGGAAAAAACTGGCTTTTTTCCAAATACTGGCCCCAACTGACCATCGCACTTGTTTGGAATTGATTACACACCTATGAACGGGTACAAGCCAGCTAGACTGGTTCCCTGACCTTACAATTCCCCAATGTATGTAAACTGCTCTGTTTCTTCTTATGTGGAGTAAGGGAACCAGACTACAGGAAAATGGTTGTTTTTCTTGGTTTTTATAGCATTTTCGAACCCAAAACCTGAAAAAAGTCAGTGTAACTATATTTGCTATATATTTCCAACCCCCCAATTCCATCCATTTCTGAAAATTACAGCAAAAGCAAATGATGTTCCCTTTAACATGATGTTACATGTCAATATGCTGACAGACTGTACCTTGGGTTGGACTGCGTGAGTGGGTTCGTATTGGATGGGAAATGCATCTCATCTTGGTAGCGGTGAGCCTTCTGTAGGGCATCCTACAAAAACGGCAAGGTGATAGAAATGGAGAGGTGATTCATCTCAACAAATGAGTTAAAAAAGCTAACTTTGCACTCTGGATGTGCTTTGCTAAACCTTTAGTATGGCAACTCATGAATTGCTCCCTTTAATGTTTATTAAAGTTTTAGCACATTTTAAGGCCTATTTCAATACACATTTGCGATTTTGTCGGAACGACTTTGTCACGCGGCAATGTCACAGACACGCGAATGTCCACAAATACTTGATATGTCACACAATTTTTGAAATTAGCTCACTAGGAAAACAATTCAGTTTAGGCAAAGATTCCAGGTTAACCACTTGACGACAGGATTATTTTTGGCCGAAAAACACAATTTTTTAAAAAGACAAAATATATCGGGCCAATTTTTAAATTCTTAAATCAAGTCTAACACCACAACTACTGACTCTTGAGAGTCATTTGTACAATATTTTGTACGATACTTTTCACCGTAACTTCATATTTTGCAACATTCATAGGCCCCGCTATGGAGCAATTTCGCTACGACAACAGGCCGTGCACAACTGCCAAGTTCAAGTTTAACACACAGTGTGTCCAAAAACAATGGGACCCACTGACACGCATACACGTCTACCGCTGGAAACTCGGGCGAAGCTTGCCGATTAAACCCGTCACCCACCCCTGCGAATTTATATTGCCAGCAGGGCCCAATTTCATAGAGCTGAAAATTTGCTTGAGCACAAAAAAAACTTGCTTTATATAATCAGGTTACCGGCCAAAACTCCATCAATGTACATTGCTTGTGACTGGTATTTAGTTGTTGTTTACTTTGCATAACAGTCGCAAAGTTTTGGTGGGTAGCCTGATTATATTAAGCAAGGCTTTTTTGTGCTTAAGCAGCTGTATGAAATTGGCCCCTGGCAGGTCCTGTATACATGTCCTCCGGCGTTTAACTTGTTAAATACGCGTGCACAGTTTTGTGTCACGCGATAAAATCACTTTGTGCGTATAACAGCGTATCTATAAAAATCCTCAACAAAGTCACGTATGTGCAATAGGCCTTTACCGGCGGCTTGAAGGTGCTGTAAGTGGTAGCCGTGTCGTCGCTGGAGCTGCTCAGGTCATCGTCGCCATAGTTATGGATGTCGAAGCTGTTATTGGCTTGCTGCCGCTCATCGTTAGGGTCTTCCTCGTACATCTCCTCCAGCTGCTGACGACGGAGACTAGCCAGCATGTTGGCCTCCAGGGAGGAGGCTAAGGAGGAGTTGTTGGATTGGTACTTCATCCAGTCATAGTCCTGTCAACGAGAGAGGAAAATTCCACATGTTATTAGATACTGTTACCCCTGATGGGCATGCTTATAATCAATCCTGGAGATTTGCCAGCATGCTGGCCTCCACGGAGGAGGCCAGGGAGTTGTTGTTGGATTGCTACTTCATCCAGTCATACTCTTGTCAGAAAGAGATTGAAAATGTTATACAGTGGAACGCTGCTATAATGAACATCGCGGGATCCACAAAAATTGTTCGTAAAAGCCATTGTTCGGTACAGGCGATTTTAAGCTGCCGGTGCTCTGGTACTCAATTTGGTCTCGGAACCAGACTATCCACCGAACAAATGAATTCTACTTTAATAAAAATAAAGAAAACTACTTTAAAAAAAGGGGGGAAAAATCTCTGAACAGTCAAATCCACTTCCGGAAGATTCGGCATAGGAGTTCCATGTTTAACCCAAATCAAGCTACCAAAGCACTCTGGTTGGAATTTTTTTTTTTTTTTGATGCCGTAACGGTAGGTTTATTCTGACAAGGGACTGGGTCTTACAAAGGGCTCCTAAAAGAGGTTTAACATGCACAAAGATGATTAACAGTGTTTAAGCGGCTAGATATCATCCATAGCAACCCGCTTTGATGTTGTATTTGCTGCCCAACTCCAACCAAACCAAGTTCAGATCAAAATTGCAGAACCAAACCCCAACTGAACCCGAACCGAACCTGCATATGAGGGCTCACTTTTAGTACTAAGTAACTATAGCCGTTGACAATTGCATAATGGTTACCGTAAAAAAAATTGCGTTAATAGCCACTACCTTAATAGCTACTGTTCACGTAAAGAGACCCTACCAGACATACTCACATCAGACAATCTTGGATCATCCTTGGGAATCTCTCGGAGTTTCTTGGAGTGGATGCTGAGTCTGGACAAGGAACCCCGGGCCGGCGAGGCGGCCGATGCCCGCGAGTGAGACTGCAGGGCGCTGGCCGTGAGTAGTGACTTCCTGGTCTGTTGCGGGGACATGCTTGCCGTGGGCTTTGGGGAGTCCACGTCATTACGCTTGTGATCTGAGAATTCTCCTTTGAAGTGAAGGGAAATAGAAAACAGTCTTGCATTTACATGTTAAACAAGGACGGTGTATTGTTATTGACACAAGAGCGGTGAACATGCGCTGTGCTTCATTTTCTAACTGTGGGGACTACACACATGTTGTCCCATGGTACTATGGGGACTGAAGATGCTGTGGGGAAGGCAGAATGTCCCCATAACTGTCACACACTAATTTGAAAATGCTCTTGGTCCTAATTTGCTTAACAATAAAAAACTTCCCTATAACCCGGTGACTGGCCGCCCCCCCCCCCCCCCCCCCCCACACACACACACACACCCACACACGCTTACACAGGCATAGAAGTCTCTCGTGTACTAAAATTTTGCATAGTCGCACACTTCAAAATGCTCTTATTTTAACCATAGTTAATTTCCTGGGCTGAAATTCGGACTTAATATCCCTTTTCTAAAACTATAGCATTTGCGACAGATCAACCCACCTTGGAAATTCCTAGTTTTTGGGTAAAATCCATATATCTATTTCGTGAAAAACTTGTGGGGTACCAAAACGGTACCCCGCAAGTCGGTGGGCATTCCTTGTGGAGTACCTCCCATTGTTCCGGTACCCCACAAGGCAGTGTTTGTACACGCACACACACACCAACATGTGTTCAACGTCGATCGTGGATGTCTTATTGTCCCTCTTTTGTTTGTACTCCTTTAGGAAGACTCCCATATGCTTTGTACACGATCCCAACACGGACGTATGCTGGGAATCGTGGACGATATTGTTCTCTTTTGTTCTCTGGTATTTTTCGTCGATGGTTTGAAAAGATGAACACGTACACACATTACAGTGAAGATTGAAAATATTTGTTATTCAAAACCCCAATAAGTGCCCTTATACAATATGAACCCCCAAGTGTCCCCTTGCAAATTGAACCCCCGTTTTGCCATTGTATAGACTTTCATATTGTCAATATTGATACATCGATGAATAGTTATACCACTTAGGCCTCCACACAGCCTACCTGATGAGCTCAGCTGAAGCGAGCGTATCTGTCTGGGGCTGGGCGTTCTCCTGAAGATGGCATTATACCGAGTCCTGCCGCCTTCTCCGTTGAGACGGTCCGATGGTGATGAGTTGCGGGGGGAGGGGCGGTCATCGTCCGCTGGTGGGGGCGTAGGTGAAATCCGGGGTGGGCCCTCCGAGATCTTTTGTAACTGGGGATGAACAAATTTTGGGTGAATACATAGCTCTTAACCAATTAGGCTTAATACCATAGACTATACAGGGTGGATTAAAAAACGAAACCGAGATATTATTGCAAACTGGAACAGAAGTAGGGCACATGCGAATCAAAGGGAGATATCCTCTGTTGGGGTTGAATGTCCTCTTGATCATTGTTGATAATGACACCCTGGTCATGTCCTTACATTCGCGGTTGACTGAGCAGTGACCAATTTTATGAAAGGGTCTATTTGGAGAATTGCGCCACTTTTCAATTGTGGTTTTTGTGGTGTCATTTGTCACAGAATGAAAGGCTATGGTTGCCAATCAAGGCAGGTGGGGAGTAAAGAGATTTCACCATGAAAAGTGGCGCAAGTCTCTTCACAGACCCTTTCATAAAAATTGGCCACTGCTCAGTCAACCGTGAATGTAAGGACATGAGCAAGGTATCATTTTAAAGAGGAGATTCAACCCTAACAGAGGATATCTCCCTTTGATTCACACGTGCCCTACTTCTGTTCCAATTAGTAAAAATATCTCGGTTTCTTTCTTTTTTTATCCACCCTGTAGTATACAGGGTGAGTCAAAAAGAAAGTGACCTGGATTGATTATTTGTTCCCCTTAAAAAATCAATTATAATTATTTGATACACCAATGAAGCAAGTATTAAACAAGCATGTTCTTCTTTGGACACTCATGTGAAACAAACAATTCCTGAAATCAAAAGTTATGCATGCCTGATAAAAAGAACTAAATTTTAGGCCAAAAAAAAATAAGTCGGTCTCTGGTCAGCGCGCGTCGATTTTAATCATGTGCGTCAATCTTTTTTTTTCCCAAAATGTTCCGCGGTAGCTCCAACAGCGCCCTCTATTGCCGCACCTCCTCAATTTTTTTTTACCAAAGAGCACCAAGGAATGGGAAATTGCACCAAGGCAAATGATCGAGAGCACCAAGGCAAATTATGGAGGACACCAAAGTACATGAGGACACCAAAAAAGCAAAATAGTACCCACCTTGTCTGTACAATCCAAGCTTGAAGAAAAAAAAAAAAAAAGCAAAAAAAAAAAAAGCCGCGTCGCTGCGTCAATTCCAGAACTTTGGTCCGACCAGAGACCGGATATTTTTTTTTTTTTGCCTTATAGCTGTCCATGGAATGCTACTAATATGTTTTACCGGGATCATCAGAGGATAGACAAAAAACTGAAAAAACTTGTGAAATAAGTCCAAATAATTGATTGACTAAACTAAACTCACATTTTGAATAATTAAATATAAGGATGACGAAGTAACAGGATGGGCGCTGTCAACAGCTCCCCTTAGACCAACTGCGCCAAGCATGGCAACGAGGCCCGTATATAAAGCCATTATTATGTAAGATAGAGGATAATCCACCACAAGATTAGGTAGGCTCACAGAGCTATCAGCTGAGTTTGGGAAATTCTATAAATGCTTCACATCACTACCTTATAAAATGCACATGAATCAGGATATGTGACAGAGGGAACCCCCCCCCCCCTTTCTTTTGTGTTGGTCATTGTGCTACCAGAATCTCAGGAATTCTTTTGAGATATCTAGGGGGATGTGTTAGGTAAAAATGGTCTAGGGTTTGTATAGGGTATAGGGAGATGGGTGGGGGGGGGGGGGGGGGGTTACCCTCTGTCACATATCGTGCTGGGTATAATGAAATGCATTGAAGCTATTGAGCTGAGTGAGAACCGGAGATTACACAAAGGCATTCAAAACAAATGAAATTATAAACATTTGAGTCGAGACTGAAACATAAGTTTTTATGTCAGATTTTGTGTCGTGTATGTGCGAAACAAATCAAGTCTTTTGTTTTCTGAAATGATGATGATGCGGTACTCTGGATGTGTTGGTACTACAGCCGCACAAGTGACCATACATGTACCTGTAGTTTCTTGGGCTCCAGATGTCTGCTTCTCTCGATGGGTCTGAGCGGGGCTGATCTGGGTGGGGAGGTGAAGGTATAGATCTTCCCATTGCCTTTGGCCAGGGGATCGTTGGAGGACTTATTCCCCTCTGCCCTGTAAAAAAGCAAATAAAAGTCAAATTGGGGGGGGGGGAGATTTACATAATAAAATGTACATAATATCCTATTCTCTTGACAGGAATGAAGTATCACTTTGAGATAAATGGAGTTTCGAGCTATACGAGTTTGACTTATCGTGATTTCACTGTATATGGAATGCAGTATAATAATAATAATAATAATAATAATAACAGGTTCTTATATAGCGCTTTTAACTAAGATCAAAGCGCTTTACATTATTATTACCCCTAATCATTGGGCCAATTAAACATTCCATATACCATCTCAGCTCCCTGGGGAGTATACAGCTCGATGCAGCCTGTTAGGCGCAAGGAAGCTAATTCAATCACAGTAACCATCACTGCCCTCATAGGTACCCATTTACTCCTGGGTGGAGAGAAGCAATGAGTGACATTTAAGGGCACACGCACCATGACCCCGCCAGGACTCGAACTCACGACCTGCAGCTTTACCCGCAGACCACGAATCAGTGCCCTTAACCATGAGGCCACAGCACTCCACAGATATACCGGATATACGAGGTTCATTTGGAATGCAGTGCATATGAAGTAAACGTTGTTTAACAGACTGAACACATGGATGTTCTAAATCACAGAAATTATAGTATCCACAACATAACAAATCAATTTATCTAAAAAATCTGGGATTATATGTACTCGTTCGCTGAATAATGTGGCCTATGCTATTTTGCCTTGTACCTTGACTGCTTGTTGCCGTGTCTTGATGTATTAGGCGGTTTGGGTCTGGTCTGGTCCCTGGACTCCTCTGCACCTCTTGACGTTGCCGCTGAATGCAAGTCTGTGACTCCAGAATCCGTGGTGGTTGAAATATCTGCAAAATAATATTCAAAACACTATGAACAAAATAACAGTTTGATCAGGTTGGACTCCAACCCACGACCTCTTGCTTTACTAGTGCAGATGTCTTGGGCCACTTGGCCACCAAGTTTGCTGCTGTCAGCCTGCCAGTTCAAATCTGATGTAAAAGCAGGTACTACAAGCAACATTTTGTTTTACATTGATTATATGTGACCTGTCATCACAAAAATGACCTTAAAGTCAGACTTTTTAAGAATAGAGATATTTATGTATCTGGATTCTGCAGAACAAGAGCTTTCCAATGGTATACAACACTAAGGGGTACCGAGTTCAGTAAGGGAAATATAGACCACCAACTTTAAAACTTGATGTGGTTAAACTGATCTTGAGAAAACTGCATTTAAAAAACATGCAGTTATATTACAGTGAATGAACAGTCTGATAGAACAAAACAAATCGAGAATGGTAGAACAGGACTTACAGATGGAGGTTCACCTGAAAACAAAAAAATTGACCGCCCCTTCAAATTTGGACTTTGCCCCACTGTCCTGCAAAGTCACAGTTTCCAATTTTAAGCTCATTTCGTAGTGACAGATCATATACATGTACACTGCATTAGAAGTACTTTGTGGGTGAAGGACAAAAAAAAACCTGTACTGAAATTTACACAATAGGGTCATTCCATGTCGAATCAACATACCTCCTTAGGTCAATCTCAATTTAATTATTCAAAGTAAGGTTCTCCTAGGGCACGTGTGGTCTAGCGGTACAGCACAGGATTCATGATCGTGAGGTTGTGGGTTCGAGCCCCACCATGGCCATGCGTGTTGTGCCCTTGCGTAACGTGCTTTACCCAAATTACTCCTCTCAACCCAGGTGTTATATGGGTACCGGCATTATGCAATGCTGGGAAGGTAACAGACTCGCTGTGGAGGAGGTGTGACGATCCCCCCACAGCAGCATATGAGTCTGGCCCAATCGTTAACGAAAGAGAGATGGGCACTCCCTTCCTGTGAATACAAGTTCGTCCCCCTTAAGGTTGGGGATTTTTCACAAATGACCAAACAATTTTAGCAGGAGGTCATGGGTTTGAGTCCCACCCAAGTGATTTTTTTTCCAACTTTCACTCGGGAGGTAACACACTGAGTATACAGTGTTTATACGTCGGTGAAGGGCAAAACCTAATTTGAATTTTAGCAAGTATACAGAAAATCTGTGAGATGAACTTCCACTACCATATCAACGTAATCATACCTGACAACTGTTCCATCCGAGATGATCCTCCACCCTCCCTCTTTTCTGGCCTCCCACTCCTAGCCACGCCCCCTCCTCCTTCCCCTCTGTCGCCGTGACTCCGCCCCTTCCCACGCTGCCTCTGGCCTTCCTCGCTCTCCGACAGGCTGTCCATGCGGCTCAGCGGCGGGGGACGATCCGCCTTCTTTTTGCGACGCTGGGTCCGCCCTTTCTGGTTACTCCTGCCGGCCAGCTCGTCGCTTTCTGAGAGGCTGTCCACGGTTGGTCGCACCCCTTGGTGGTTGCCGTTTTTATTCATGGGCTTCTCTGAGCCTTTGCTCTCGTCCCCGTTTACTATGGATGTTTAAAAAAAAAAGGGGAAATTTCAGCCTGCAATGATTTGTGGGTTTATCAATTTCCAATCAGTTGCGTTTATCTATTTACATTTTTGGGAGTTATCAAAAAAGTGGGCATCTCTTGTTCGTCTTTAGCTACTCCAGCAAAACATATTAACTCTAACCTTCTCAACTCCATCAAAATCCATACCCCCATGTTGGGGGATTTTGGTAGACAGGCCATGAGTACCAAGTCCATCAAAATCCATCAATAGCGTTGGTGGATTTGTGGTGGATTTCAGCTGATTCAGTCCTGAAGCATTATGTGAAGCAGAGTCAGTGATGGACTTTGTAGGACTTGGTATTGTCCTTAGTAAACTCAGTAGGGAGTTAGGGTCAGGCATGCAACTGGGAAATCACAAAAAAAGAGGAAATTCTAATTTTTCCCAGACTTTGTACAGTGTTTTTCTATTTTCAATGGCACACATGGGAAGCAAAAAAAGACGAAATCAGCTGATCCGAGGAAAAGTTGCATGCCTGTAGGGTTGATTCTGTTGAATAAAGGAGATCAATAAGCCAGTTCGGTGTTTCAATGACCCAAGGTCATTCGGAATAAAATTACTGATGTGATGTTACGCGATGTTAGCGCACGCCCATTCTGCTGGTAATCTACATGCAAGCATCCTGCGCCCACGTTCATGTGTCTTCAGAAAACGTTCCCATGACCCATATCATTGTGCACACGCGCAGTTGAAATACCAAACTGGCTTATTTTATACTCAAAGAGTTTAATGCAGATTCCCACTGCTTACCATTTACATCAGCGCCTGCCTTAATCCGAGAAGACGCGTACTTCAAGATAGCCGCATCTGACACCCGGCTCGGTCGGTCCGCGTCGCTGGACTCTTCGGAGTCTCTCCTCTGCGCGCCGCTGCCACCATTATCCGCGTAACGGCTTCTGTCGTAGTGGCCGCTGCGACCCGACGTGCTGGTGTCGCTGCCGGCCGACATGCTGTCCCCTCGCTCCCGCTTGCCGCTGTTTGGTCGCACCTTGACCACGCGGCGCGACTTGTCGCCGGATTTCTGGCGGGGCGGATGGGGCTGGACAAAGTTGTCTTCTTTGCTGGCCTCCAAGCCGGCGGACCAAGTGTTGCTGCCTTTGAGTGTCCCTTGGGGATTTTAAATAATATCGCAAAATTATTATGGGAATGAAATTCAATTGGAATTAGATTTCTTTTACAAATATACAATTGTTAAAAACAGTAGAATTCTCCTGAAGAAAAAAAAGTATGTAAACAAATGATACAAAATTTTCAAAATTAAGACATTTTTCAGATGAAATTTGTCATTTCAGTATTGAAGAACAAGATGAAGATTCCTAACAAGTGGTCGCGGATCACATGTCTCGCCTTTTTCCGCGGTCGATCCCTGTATGTTTTGTGTTCTTAAAAAAAGTGAAACGTTGTGCGTTTTTAACGATCTCAATTGACACTAGATGACCTTTGACCTCCAATTTCGGAAGAGTTGTGATGAACCCCCACCCATCATGTAATGTATAAAACCGAGTTTTTCAGGCCCAGCTCAACTAAGAAAACCTGGTCTTGTTTTGTTTTATTGGTTTTTATATGCTGGTTGAAACAAACTCAAGGATTTCCTGAACTTGACAGTGGTCCTTTTGGAAATTACTTGCTCTTGGCGTTTATTAAATTTTCACTTCTTCAGTACATACCTTTGTCCACCCTTGATTCTAAATCAGCTACCTCAGTGCCTGGGTCGGAGGCTTGTCGCTGACGGCTGCCCGAGTGCACAGTTAACCTATCCACTTCCTTCTTAGCGGATACGCTCCTGTCGCTCACTAGTGGATCTCCTACGATAAGATTTGTTCATATTTAATTGCATATAGGCCATTTGCATTTTACAGTTTTCCTTTAAAGCTATAGTCCATCATTCATGTCATTTGCAGCCTATCCAAAAAGTAACTGGCTTAATTATTGTTGAAACACATACTTGGTTGAAAGATAGAAAGGGGACTAAACTCCCTGTGAAATTATTCTTTCTGGCAAGCTGTCGTTCTGAGGTAATCAACGAAAGAAGGCCTTTCCAATGGTGTTTCTTAAGACGCACTGTAGGAAATTCAAATTAGTACATGTAGTTCGTTTTGTTATTCGGGGAAGTGCGTGCAAGCATTGGCACGACACACAAGCGGTTGCTATAATTCGTCGGATCAGTGTGCGACATCGCGTAGCTGCAATCGGCTCAGTGAGAACGTGTCTCGGACGCTGAATTCAGGCCCAATTCAAAACATGATTCAGCAACTTTTGATTTGAAATCGAGATCCTAGAATGCTGTTTTTCTCGGAATATACAGCTGGAGCTGAGCTGAAACTTCATCAGGTTAGTTGTTCAGCACCCTTCTTTAGATTTTGAGCACTTTTGTTGCTTCAAACGAACAAAATGCACAAATTAAAAATGATGGACTATAATCTTTTCAGTTGTCTCCCAGTCCATGTTTACTTTTTCTTTGAACATCGTGGTTCCAAACACTGGCTTGCTATCTCCCGTGTTTTAAGTTTCCCAATTGTTATCTGCACAATCGAGTGAACGGAGTTGGAGGTCAACAATTAAAATTAATATTACAGACCATTATCATGTTGCAGCCATTTGATTTTTCCCCATTCAAATCAATGTAACCAAAGCGAGGCTGGAGGGAAAATAGTCTGGTTCTTGTTTGCACAAAAACATTATCATTCAGTACTGTTATTGGATACAGGGAACATGACTAAAATGGTGGAAGCATGATATAGGTCTATAGTCATCAATTCGCAATACTTTCTTGGTTCTTGGTCGGTTCATCTCCTAAATACTCAGCATGGGAGTTTATACAGGAGACCAGAAACACAGGGGCAAACCCCTTCTCTTAGCGTTAAGTGTCACTGGGTTCTTTTACATTGTACAAGAACGTTGTACAACACACCTACGGCTTTACGTCCCATCCGAAGGACGAAAATATGTTGTAAATTTTAATGCTTTCTTTTCTTTGGGGATACCCATTTATTGCCCTTGACTGGATGGGCCCAGTCAGGACATGAAACAAATGCAAAAAAAATAGGATGTTACACATGTAGATCTTATACATGATGCCCGAATGTGCTGTATTCTCATAAAATCTTGCAGGTTTTTGAGGTCAACTTACACGCTCTATTCCAGAAACAGCATCTCTTAACAGTCTGTTTAAATAGTAATCATTTCAAAAGTTGAACAGAGAAATTTACTGGAGAGGGGTTTGAACTGTGTAATTAACTAATTAAATAATTTAAAATATCAAAACCAAGCGGAATCTGTGGGTGAAGTGTTATAATTTAAATATAGACTGCTTTATCTCATGGTGAAGTAAAACTAGCCTCCCTCTGTGATCCATGGAGCACCCATGGATCACCTCGGGAGGCTAGGTTTACTACACCCCTCGAAGCAGTCAATATTTGTATACTACAACACTGTGAGAGAGAACACGTCGTGAGTGGTGATCATCTTTCTTGCTTTGTGTCATACCAATGCTGCCCCCTACACGTTGCATTCTTATATTGTTGCATATTTCTGTTGTTTTTGTCCTAGTCCACGTACCTTCTTGTTTCAGTGCTCTGGAATGGGAGGACCGACTGCTTCTACTGCTGGCACTCTCACTGCCCTGAGACAAACACACGGCAAAACAATATTTGTATAAGCTACGTAAAATGAATTATAATAGGACTGTGAATTCTTAAATAATTTAACATTCGGTTATTCCAACCTGGACTTGAATTGAATATTCCATTTCGAAAATGCAGTGATCAAGTTAAACATGCACCATTTGCGTGCACCTGCACTTGTTGAAAACTGACAAAGACACTATGGAAATAATAATATCAAGAACGAGTAGTGGAATGGCTCATATTTGACTAATTAAAAAAAGGAAACTTAAGCTGATAAACCTCATGGAAGCTCTAAAATCATGTGATTGTTTTCTGAATGTTTGAAAAAAAAATGATATTTGGTAAAACTTTGAATATTTTGTATAAATTGAATATATTTGAATATTTGGTATAAAACTCTGCAGAATATGACATATTTGAGCCTCTTGGAAGCAGCTTTATGTTTAAGCGCTCGTATATTCAAAATACTCGGTAAAAAACAAACTAAAGGTTTCAAGAAACTTGGGGACTCTGAAAAAGAATCAAGTACAAGATTGAAAACCAATTTTTGGGGGCTAAAATCTAAATGCATACTTGGTTGTGCTTTTGTGTGTAAACCTTAGAGCTATGTATATTAAATTACTAGAGCGCTAACTCCTCATTCTTGCGCGCGGAGACGCTTTGAAGCCGCTCTGGGCGCAGACATTTTGAATTCATGTGCATGTTTGTAGAACACAATCAAAAAAGATGGACTGAATTTTCCAACGCGCAAGTAGAAGATACGCAAACAACTTAAGCGCGTCATGACGGTTCAAAAAATTTCACGGCAAAAAGCCCATGCACAGCGGAGGGACGCGCACACGTCGCGCTGTTTGCGTAGAGCAAAGTGAAACGTACATTTGCTGATCGTGCGTTTCGGTTTTGGGCGTATCGGCTTCGATGACGCACCAGTATGGAATACAAACGCAGATATGCAAATAGCTGTTCAAAAGCCGTACACAATTTCGAGTTTTCCATAGGTTTGTGCACAAAAATGGATGCACCCATCAGGCATTACTTTGTACATCAAGTTAGCGCTCTAGTAATTTAATATAGCTCTATGGTGTAAACTCACCTCTCTCTGACTGCCAGCCGACGCTGGTTTCTTGCCGGCCCCTATGGCAGGCACAGGCACTTTGCTGCCAAAGGCTATGTGCGTAGGCCGGTTCCTACGTCCCTTCATGCTGGAGTTCAGATCCACTAAACAAAGATGAAGAAGTAAAAAAATGAAGACAAAAACTAAAACATGACTCTCTTTTATTCAAAAGGTCACAATGCAGATTTGATAAATATTTTGGATTTTGCAAAGCAGAGCAGCCCCCCCCCCTTGTTTTTTTTTTGGGGGGGGGGTGTCAGGGGAAGTGTAGGGTGGGGAGCAGATACATATTTCCTTCGCTGAGAACGTCTCTCAAAGAACATAGGCGGACGGAGCCATATCATGAATAATTTAGTAGTTTCGATAAGAAAGCTGTTTATTCATGAACAATGACGTCACACTATTGTTATAGTTGCATTAACCCTAACTCCCCACTGAGTTCTACTATACAGAACAAAGTCCGCCAAAATCCATCACCAACTCTGCTTCACAGAATGCTTCAATACCAAATCCACTGAAATCCACCACTGCTATTGGTGGATTTTGATGGACTTTGTACTCATGGCCTGCCTACCACAAAATGGGGAGATGGATTTTGATGGAGTTGAAAAGGTTACGGTTAAAGTATCTTAAGGAACAGCCGACATCAAGCTGCCACAGTAGCCCAGTGGATAGCGAGATGACCTATGGATAGTCGCAAGATTCCTGGTTCAAAATCTGCCTGTGCCCATTTTTCATCGACTATTTTTCTTCTCCAAGTTTACTGTTGGGATAATTTTAATTTACGGGAAAAGAAGAGACCAAGAACCTGAAAGTGTCCTGCACCCGATTTCGCAAAGCGCTGTAACACGTCGCAACTCGCGACGCGTCGTATGATCCATTTCACGAAAGTTGCGATGTGTTGAACACGTCGTAAGTTCCTTGACAGCAGCTTAAAACACTCGCAAGTTACGACGTGTCTAGTGGTCATCGCAAAATAAGAAGAGTCCCTTTCTTAGCCAGTTTAATGCCATAAATATTACATAAATGAGATTATAATACCAAAGCAATGTGTGTAAAGTTGTAAATAGAAAATTCATTGAATAATTATGAATTAGACTGGAATAATGCAGTTGAAATTTCAAAGTAGCTACACAGTCCACTGAGAGATTGTTTTCTTCAAAATTGCATCGCACGACCCCCATTTTGTTTTACGTTTTAACAAATTTCGAGCTGAGATCCAACGACTCTTTGTTGAATATCAGACGACTATTTACTGTACGCTGACTCAATACATAAAACAGTCACCGAGTTGTGCTATTAATACACTACGACGCGTCGCACTTACGACGTGTTTCGTGAAATGGATCGCAGGGCGCGTCGCAGCTGCAACGCATCGTAAGGATATGACGCATCGCAGCGCTGCGATGCATCGTAAGTTACGAAGAGTTTGATGAAATCGGATGCTGCAGTGATTCCATCAAAAGTACTGAATAATTCAGGAAAATCGCTTCACTCGCCTACGTTTGAGAGATGTTCTCAAGGAAGGAAACATTGATTTGCAGGAGGAGAACGGCAATTGGAGTAAAGTGTCTTGCCCAAGAACATATACGCCATGTTCTCATTGGTACCCGGCATCACTACAACACTTTGATTACTTACATGGTTCCGTTGAGGAGCCAGGCCTGCTGTCTGGTTTGAGCTTGAACTCGGCGTGCCTGAGTTTGTTCATGTTGAGGACCTGCGTCTGACACGACACGTCGGCGCTGAACTGGCAAGATCTGGGGATGCTGTCTAGCTCCATGTTGTTGGTGGGTGGGTTGCAGTCGTACTGATCTGGATTTTAAAGAAATAGCAGTACATGAGGTGTTCTGGCAAAATGAGACGAAACTGGGCACAGGCCATAGTGAGAAAAATGTACCAAACAACGAATGGGGTGATATTTTCTCCAATTTTCAGATTTACTGACATTTGTAACCTTTGATACATGTAGGTCTGCTAAGCATATTCTAACCCTTTCATTACCACATTGTTTATTGACTTGGCTCTCCCCAGGACCAAATTATTTGCTCAGTCATTAGAGCATAAAACATGGACCACAAGATGAAAACTCACTTTTTTTTTAACCCAAATTTTCACAGCCAAGGAGTGATTAAAATCAAAGGTGGTGTGTGTAAGTTTGTTCCTTGAACTTTCCTCTTTTATGTGATGTAAAAGTCAAGGCCATTATGTGCAAAAATAAGACATTTATGCCTGTTTGTCGATCTGGTCCCAGTTATCAAACGGCAAGCCATTTCACCACATGACCAAGTGGCACGTCATACCTGAAATTGTGCGTGGATACTTCTTCTCTTATTATTTAGAAATGGTAACACTATAAATAAACTGAACCATTAGAACGATCCAAAGCACTCTTTCAGCTGGTACATGTATATGGTTGATGTATGGGCAGCCAAACCTACATGTACCAACATACCAACATGCCAGCTTGCTGAAAAGCAGTGAATAAATCTGTGTTGAGGGTGTTCTGTGCGTGGTTTCCTGGTCGACAAAAGTCACCCATAGTAAGGAAAGGGTTAAAGAAATAGTATAAAAATTGGGGGAAAAAAACGTTTTTAAGGAAAAATAATTGGCATCTTTTCAAAACCACGACTACAAAACAAGAACGTTAAAGACCTGTTTCTCAGTATTTTACTCTTTTGACATGCCAATACATACAAACTTTAACAGCCCTAACTTGTCAACGGAGTGTCCAATTGGAGTCCAACAAACAGTATTATAAGGAGAATTTTCTTCTCTTTCCTAATACCAGAAACCCACATTTTGAATTCTGCTGAGACTGTCTCATATTGCCAGAATGCTTCATATATATAAGAGCAACCAATTTTTATTGGAAGGCAAATTTTATGGAGCGAGATTCATCAGCTTTGTGCAAGAGGGTGAGATATAAACGCCACAAAAAAAAAATGGTCTCTTTCAGAATGTTGATACAGCGCTGGAGACGGTGGCGGAAGGCGCGTGCTGCGGCCGACAGCTTCTGAAGAAATGCAGGATCACCCCGATCAACCTCGATCGTGTGTAGCACCAAACGATCAAGGAGGTGTGCTTTCTGAAAGTGATTTGTTTTCTTTGTAGGGCGTTTAAATCTCCCCCTCTCGTTCAATGCTGATGAAACTCGCTCCATATAATTTGCCATGTCTTGTTTACATGATCTAAAATTTTGGTTGGATTCCATTGGTAAACAACAGAGTTATTCACGATCAAATGTAAGACATGCATTTTCGGACACATAGTGCTTGTGCATGGAGTCCACAAGAATACTATTAGGAGCACCACACCACTGAAATTATTATCTGACAGCCTTATCCTCACCATCATCATCCGTATCGTCCGGTGGCTGGGTCTTCATGGTGAATACCTTACGCAGGTGGCAGCTGGCGCAGACGATGAGGCTGTCTAAGGACTTGTAGGTCTGCAATCGAAACGCCTCACTGACCATGGAGACCAGGTCAATGCATAGGTTCAGCCACTGTGGAGGAATAATTGGTGTAGGCATTCAATAATTGTCTATGGAAGATTTATGACACCTCACCCACAGATTTTGTATCTTGACTGGCCGAGAGCGAGTCACATGCCATTCGCTATTCTTGCTATCTTGCTGCGCAAGGCCAAAAGTACTAAACAGGGTGAGTAAAAAAAGCTAAAACCCAAATGTCGGGACCATTGTTTTAGTGAAGTTCTGCATGTAGCACTTTCAAAATCTACGATAGGAAAGCCCAAGTTTTCTTTTATTACAAGAATCATTCAAATCACTTATGTACAATTAAAGTTACGGAATTTTAAACACAACCATCGTTTTAAAGTTCTGTCCACAGATCACACGAAGGTAAGTGTTCTTTCAGCAAAATGAAAACAAATCACAGAGGGATGTGTGTAAGTTGTGTTTGTTTTGCTGAAAAAACTCACACCTTTTTTTTGTGATCCGTGGACAGAACTTTAAAACGGTGGTTGTGTTTAAAATTCAGTAACTTTAAAAATACATCATGAGTGATTTGAATGATTCTTGTACTAAGATAAAGCTTAAGAACTGGGCTTTCATATCCTAGATTTAAAAAGTGTTACATGCAGAACTTCACTAAAACAATGGTCCCGACATTTGGGTTTCGTTTTTTTTTACTCACCCTGTATAATACCCGTAGCAACCAAAGTACATGTACTATACCCATATTAACCAAAGTACTACACAACACAATCCGTATTGTGTAGAAATGCATAGGGGTGTATGTGTTCATCTTTTCAAACCGTGGACGAAAAATACCACAGAACAAAAGAGAATATCGTCCACGATTCCCAGCATACGTCCGCAATTGGGGTCGTGTACAAAACCTCTTCCTAAAAAGTTAGAGGGACAATAGGACGTCCACGATCAATGGTGAACAAACGTTTGCGTACATTGTTCCTAAGCGCTTGCACTAAAGAACTGGGTTCAAACATATCATGAAGGTGTATTTTGGAAAAGTGCAAGTAAAGTTTGAACTAATTATGTATTCAAAGAGAAGTACAATTTAATTGCATTTAGGTTAAATTAATCAGATATCACTTAAAATCAAGCAGAATCTGTGGGAGAGGTGTCATAAAACAAATATTGACTGCTTTATCTCATGGTGTAGTAAAACTAGCCTCCCTTGGTGATCCATGTGGCATTCTTTTTTCCTTCGGATTCGCCTCGGGGAAAAATAGAGCACTTCATAGATCACCTCAGGAGGCTAGTTTTATTACACCACTCGAAGCAGTCAATATTTGTATACTATGCAATCAGGAGTGGAAATATTTAGAGAGGATCAGGGCATTTATTTCAACTTTCAATTCTTTAACTAACTTGGGGATTCATGGCGGAAACAATTCTAGCAACAATGTCTGCCGATTTTACCAAGATACCTTTAATACCCAACAGACACTGTTGCTAGAAATTATTGGTCTCGAGCATTTCCCACTGTCCCTACATACAACACCTTGGCCATTCAAGCCAGAGTCCATCATTTGCAGCTATCCGAAAAGTAACTGGTGTAATTATTGTTGAAAAACATACTTGGTTGAAAGATAGTAAGGGGACTAAACTCCCTGTGAAATTATTCTTTCTGGCAAGCTGTCATTATGAACGAAAGAAGGCCTTTCCAACGGTGCGTCTTAAGAAGCACCGTAGGAAAAATTAAATTAGTAGTTCGTTTTGTTATTCGGCGAAGCACGCGCAAGCATTGGCACGACGCACACGCGTGTGCAGTTTGATATAATTCGTCGGATCAGTGCGCGACATCGCGTATAGCTGCAACCGGCTAAGTGAGAACGTGTCTCGGACGCTGAATTCAGGCCCAATTCAAAACATGATTCAGCAACTTTTGATTTGAAATTGAGATCCTAGAATGTTGTTTTTCTCGGAATATACAGCTGAAGCTGAGCTGAAACTTCATCAGGTTAGTTGTTCAGTATCCTTCATTAGATTTTGAACACTTTTGTTGCTTCAAACGAACAAAATGCACAAATTACAAATGATGGACTATAGCTTTAAATGTTCAGTGGCTAGGGCTACCTACCATGGCTCTCCTCACGACAGTCAGTGGGATCTTGGCATGCAGTGGTGTGGCTGCGATTTCCTTCTGAGCCGTTGAGAACAACAACCGTCGCTTGTTGTTGCCCATGTCGCTCACACTGGGAAAAAAAACAACAAACAAATTCACAATTGAAATTTGTTATCACCTTTATGTGCTTTGCGGGGGAGGCAGGTGCGGTTCTAGAACCAATATTTTTTGGGGGGGGGGGGGGCTAGCAGGGTGGATCCAGAATTTTTTTCAGGGAGGCGTGCTGAAATGTAGACCGGTTATTTTCTCCAGATACTTAGGCCTCCGAAAATCAATAGGTGGGGGAAGGGGGGGGCCCACTTATGCCATATTTTCAATGGGGAGCGCCAATAAAATCCTAAAATCATTCCACTATATTAACTACAAATGCACCCTTTTTCTTTAGGGGGAGACCGTTCGCGATCGCATGTATCACAATCCTTCTTTTTGCTAATGCAATTTATTTTACGGAATCTATTTTGGGGGGGCTACACAAAATTTTGGGGGAGGCTTAAGCCCCCCCAGCCCCCCCATAGAACCGCGCCTGAGGCTACCGACACCTGTCGCTAGCTTCAGAGGAATCCAATACATGAACCAATTTATTTTTGCATGTATTTCAGCTTTTAGGGGAAACAATCCCTCTGTGTAAAGTGGTACTGGATTGGCTGTACTTTCCCCAATCCTGCATCTTAATCCAGAACCACCTTGGGATAGGTTCAATGTAAATCAACCAAATCAAGAAATCTTTGTTTTCAAAATGTATAAAGACATGGCTGGCTGGTCTTAAACACTTTTCCAGTGTCACATGAAATTTGGACTCCCATGAAATCCGATGCCTTTTAAAGTCTCATTGGTTGAAAGTTCACATTCCTCACATATATACATGTGCAATAATACCAGTGAATCAGCATTTCATATAGTCCGAAATTCACACTACACCAGCCCAGCTGCGTTTTGCGCGACACCACGCAACGCGCACGCCAATCTAAGGTAAGGAGTTTTAGAGGGACATTCCATATTACAGTCAGAGGGGTGTTTCATAAAAAATGAAGTAAAATTGTTGAACAAAATGGTTGGCAACGTCTACTTTTTGGCTTGTTTCGATTTTTGGACTGAACAGATTTGGTTTTTTTACCGAAAAAGGTATTATGAATGGGAATAAATATGTGTTTGGTTGGCATTAAACACTCTGTTTAAGACCAGTTGGAGTCTAGGTGTTATACATGTACCTCTCGAACACACATTTATTCCCTTAGTATTATTTAAATCTTTGGAACTTTGGCAGCTTTCAAGCAGACCCAGGTGAAAAAGTAGTCAAATAGTAGGACCAAAATTTCAACATCAACAATATGACAAAAGTAGGACTTTGGAGGACAAAAGTAGGACTTTTGTGGGCTTTCAGGAGTAGTTTTCGTTGATACTCACCCATGACCACATTATCATAAGCCTCATTTTGTATGTTCTGTACTCACACACTGTTCTGTATGTTCCATCCTCAACTACATGTACGCTCCTGGAAGTACAGTTGCAGTACTACTTCTGTGCCCAAGCCCTTCATTGGGTGATTTACATGACAGTGTGTATTAACACTGTTATGAAAAATAGTCAATAAGATTTCATTTTCGGAGTATACCAGTACCAAGTATTCACTTCGGTATGCCTTGACGGTTATGACTTTTGGTGGTCGTCATCAGAAAATGCGAAGCCACGATACCTCACAACATATTACCACTCCTTCGTGTTTATTCTACAAGGGAGCTGCCTTACCCAAGTTCAATGGAGAAATCCTGGCCAAGGGGAACGAAGACTTGGAGCACCAGAAATCGCTGGACCAAGGCCACTGTCAACAAAAAATGTATTTGTTAAAGCTGTGTTTCCCGTGCTCTTCAACAAATGCAAGCTTTTTCCACTTGTACATGTAAGCAATATTCCAACAAACATGACACCCCCCTCCCATTTTTTTTCTCCCCATTTTGGATTTCTGCAACCTCCTGAATTTTTTTTTTCTTCAGATTTAGGCACAAACAGCTCCACTTTGCGAGCAGACTGGCTCCTGGTCTGTACATTATCCATACTGATTGTGGGGCGGAAACCAGCCTACCCACGAGAACAGCATTATTGTCTGGCAGCCAATAATTTGAAATGGTAAAGTATGAATTTCAAACCAAGCATGGGCCGATTGTTTCGGTCAATGTCTCTTTCAAAGAGAATTTATACATGTAACTAGAATAACTATTCAAAAGTGAATGCTAGAAAAATAGCAATTTAGAATCCAATCTATTTTTCGGGATGAAACTCAAAAATAGCATCTGTACTGAAACACTGGGCTATACAGAAGCCCTGGGGTATACAGGCGCAATGGGGTATTGTACATTCCTCCAATGCAACTCCATTCGTAGCCTTTAGTCAAGTCCCACGCGCTTACCCCAAAACGTGACGCATCCCGGATGCTGACACGTAAAAAGACTAGCACGAGCGGCGAAGCTGTGAGGGCCTTTACCATCTCGTGGAGAACGCGTATGTTTTTCTTTACATTTGTCTACCAATTTGGTAGACATGCATAATGCATTATCCGTTGTGAATTGACCAATGAAAATGCAGAATTACTAACGTAAATCAGCCGCCGTCTGGCGCCAGACAGCACACGTGTCATGTGCTGTTGCTGGTAACCGCAAACCCCCGTTAGATGATTGGTTTATATTGCTTGATTTATATTACGTGAATAAATGAATAAGTGATTAGTTCCACGAGATAGTAAAGGCCCTCGCGGCTTTGCCGCTCGTGCTAGTCTTTTAACGTGCCAGCATCGGGGGTGCGTTACGTGTCCGGATGGTCCGGGTATAGGCGTGTGGGACTTGACTAAAGGCTACTCCATTCGAGGCTAAAATGTTGTTTATGGACTGTTCTGGATTCAGCAACAAGCCCCGCCCACTTTGAATATACACCACAACATTTGCGTCAGCCTTAAACTGCACTGCATTTTACAGCTGTTCACATCAGGCATACATGTATGTAGATGCATACTGGGCTTTGGTTGGTCTTTTGGTTAATGCAGTCATAGCTATGATTGGTCAAACCATCACAGGGTGGGGCTTATCAAAAAACATTGTGTATACTCTCTGAGTGATCCCTGTTTGTTAATTCCCAGGTTTGCAGCATTGCTAATGTTGTTAGCCTCGTGACTTTGGGTGTGATTCCTGGCTACATGTCATATGGGTTTATGGCTTCTGACTAGCGCCCCTTAAACAAAGACTTTGACTAAATGGGAGACCCTCAACACAGGGCTAGATAGCTCAGTTGGTAGAGCACCGGAACGGCAATCCGGAGGTCGCAGGTTCAAACCCGCTCCAGTCAAGTTCTGTGTTCAACTGTTTAAACAAAAACAATTTAACACCGAAGTTGTTACACTTACAAGTCTGCTTGACATCCTTAGGCAGCTGTATCTTAGTGCTGGTCCCCGCACCCTCCAAAACATGCACAAAACTCTTGGCTTCTTTTTCGTAGACCTGTAAACAAACGTAGACAACAAATTTGAATGATTTCACCCTTCACTGATGTCATTTAGCACTGAAGTGATGTGCATTCTTTTATAATACATGTATTTGATTATTGGATTTAGGATTTGATCAAATATATTTGAAATATATTCAAACATTGAGATTGAGGCTAAAAACTTAATTAACCCTAACCAACGCCAACTCTTCAAACTCCCACTGCATGTTTTGTTGGAATCGGTTGGAGTGAGTACTGCACTAGTAAACTGATTATGCTTTACATGGGATCAGGCATACCACCAATAATGGAGTCCAACAGTTTGAATGTTGAGTTGCCACATGGTGTTGGATTTTGCAGGAGTGAGGAAGGCTCCTAGTAAATCACTCATGGGGGTTAGGGTTAATTTCATGTACATGTATGTCTTGATACATTTTTTTGAGATAGCTGGCTAGCTGATATTTGACGGAATTTAAAGATGCAAATTTGGGCTCGGATTCCTCCTGGAAGATCTGATACACGGTAACCTGTGGAGACATGTGTATAATAAGGAACAACATATTGTATGTCCACACGGCAACTTGTATGGGTGAAAACGTCTCCACAAGGTTATCACGAAATGGATTGTACTCAAAAACTAGGAATTTCCAAGGTGTGTTGATGTGTCGCAAATTGAAGTATTCTATGTAAGGGATATTAAGTTCGAATTTCTGCCCAGGAAATTAATTCTGGTGTAAATACCGGTAGGAGCATTTCGGACTAGATTTTCAAACTCAAAATTTTAGTACAGAACACAGAAATGACTCCACAAGGATACAAATTCCAGTATGCGCCCTCAAATGATGCGTTTAAAGTGACTGTCAACCAAAAAATGTGGCATTTGACAAACAATAAAACCACACACCTTCAAATTACATCACGGACGTGTTTTGTCGTCTTCTTAAGACTATTCATGCTTTTCAAATACATGCAAACCGGTATTTGGAAAATGCAACTTCGATATTTGGTGGATTAACGGATTCCTTTCAACTTTCCGAGCAAACCAAGTCTTAGGAAAATGTTACTTGGGCATTTGGTGGATCAACGGATATCTTTTGACTTTCCTTGCAAACCAAGTCTTAGTAACTTCTACTAAGATGTTTGGTGAGGGGCAATTCCACAGTAACGGAAGGACGTTTTCACTCATTTAACAAAATTTCAAATGTGTGTATCACAGACACTGTTCAAAGTTACAGCAAACAAATGTCACAATTGTATTGCTATAATGCTACTTTCATTTTCCACACTTTTTGGGGGCATGAATGCCTCCCGTTTATGAATTATGAATATTAATGAGGTCGGTAACGGAAGGACGGTAAAACGGACAAGGGTTTTCCAACTTACTCGCGTTTTGCGTAAACTCTGTGAATTTTATGGGGCAATAATTTTCTAAAGGTAGCAAATGGAATCCCTGAAGCTTTATCTATACTATACCGCCTTTCATTTGACTTTAAGTGTTTCGGTAATATAATTACAACGTTTTAAGCAGATTATAATTTGGTAACGGAAGGACGGTAACGGAAGGACAAAAGGTTTACTCAATTATAGCATGAACAAAATGTGAATTTACACTAATTATACAAGTGAAACAAATTGCTGAAATGTGTAACTGAATGTGAAATCAACAATATGCAGACCTGGCATAAATAATTATACCCAAGAAACTATTGAGATAAAGATAGAAGCCTGCTAATTAATGATAACAAAAGAAAAAGGAAACAACCCAAAACACATAATTCACGAACACAGGACTACTACAGAAATAGACTTCAAACCCATCACCTCAATCCTTAAAAGTTTAAATACACAGTATTTGAACTCTTGAGTATATTGGTTACATGTTCACTAACAACTTTTAATAATAATACCGGTAGGTTCAAAGGTTTACCTAAAGGGTGGGGGGGGGGGGGGGGCGACCAGCCTACATGTACATTTAAGGTAAAAACATCTACCGGTAGAACTGATGGCTTCAGTTAGGTGTTGCTTTTAATTGAACTCTAAAATCAATGTTTGAAATCAAATTACAATGATTTAGAGTAGTAACAATTAATTTATAAACATCCAAACTGAAATTGTTAACTTGGGCATAATTTGTCAAAGATTGCACCTCACATGTCTTACACATGTAAATTGAATGAAAGTGCCCCAAAGTACCGGTACTTTCTGCCATCTCTTTTTTGACTTAATTTGCTTCTGGAATGGCTTCAAGGAATTCGTATCTTTCTCTATTGTCCATGAATGCTGATGGCAGCAACTTTATGATTTGATTTTCTGCAACAACTCTATACATGTACAAGTACTGGTACATCGGCATATATGTACATGTACATTGTACATGTTGTACATGCCTGTGCCTTCCTTTGTAATAAACACCTTGCCCTGCTTATCCCGCTTTTGTGAAGGTGGGTCACATGAATGTCCTTTCAATGCTTATTACACATGCATGTATTTGCAGTGATTTTCATTTTTCAAACATGAGCGCAAATGTCGTAACATTTCATAAAAATACGATTTGTCCTTCCGTTACCGTCCTTCCGTTACCAATTTGGTAACGGAAGGACGTGATTTAATTAATTGTAATTAGAAAACGAGAAGTTCAGCAGTGTCAGTTATAATGTCATATTGAAGGCCTACCTAAACTTGCTTTGCACAATAACTTTCAATGCATTCATACTGCAAGTTTTAAAAATAAATTAAAAATATGTATTTTTTCGGTAACGGAAGGAACTTTTTGAAGGCTGAAATATTAGAAGTCACTGAAGCGAAACAAGTTACGCAAAATGTTAAAAACAAGTTTTAGTCAGTTTTTCAAGACCAATACTTTCTCATGACAGAAACTGATGGCATTAGTACATATTTTTGTGTGTCTATTGGTAGAATACTTTCATATCACTATTAATCACATTTTTAGGATTAAAACAGGATTATTACATAATCCTATTTTTTGGTACCGAAATGTATAAAAAATTAAATTCCGACTTCAAATCTTGAAAATATAGACTTTTAGCTTTCATTTGATGCCAAATTTGTTTAAGTCACTTGTATTTGAATTTTTTGGTGTCATGTCCACTTTGGTGTGGAATTGCCCTGGATCAATGGATATCTTTTGACTTTCATGCAAACCAAGTCTTAATTTGCAGTACTCAATTCAAGGATGCTCATCTAAAGAGGACACAAGAGCTAGTAGTAGCATGGTAAAGCTACAAAACGCAGAGACAGACATGTGTAGCGTTGCCAATCAAAGTTTGTGATTTATCTTGGGGTAATTTTTACCTTGTGTATGGACGCTGCACCAGTCAGTTTCCATTTGGCTAATGGTTCCTTGCCTTGACAACTGAAGACCTCTACATATGCCCCACCCTGCAGAGCAATGTTCATTTCAGGAGCACTCAAATAGTTACTGCTTATTACATCATGCCAACTACATGTATGCCACAATGCTTAGTTTCAAGAGCACACTGGGCCTCAGTTTCTTGTAATGAAAATGAAATTTGAGAAAAAGCGTGACATTGAATTTATAGTAAGACCAAACAAAAATATTTCTGCTTCCCATTAGATGGCACTTAAAAACAGGGTACAGTAGGTACATGTAGGTAGGGATTTTTTTTCTGCAAATCCTTTTTGTGAATCGTCATACGGAGGCTTCTGCATATATGTAGTCAATGGTAAAAGGTAGAAATTGATGGTTTTGGGTTTTATTTTCTCATTACAAATATCTCATTACAAATATGCTGACCAACATCTCACCTGAAATTCACTCTTAAACATGGCAGCAGGTCGACTCAGCTACTCAGATAGAACTCAGAGATCTATACTAATGTACCTGCAGTCTATTCTTCACATGTGCATGTTTATGAACCTCGTGGGCCTGGGCCATGATCTTGGCTCATGGCTGCTTGAAATCTAGCAGGGCTGAAGAGGGAAGAAAGATTAACATCATCAATGAACAAACATGTCGAAAAGGAAAAAGTCAAACCATGGCTCAATGTTCAAAAATGCAATTTTGATAGTCTACTTGCAGTTAAATGGGCACTATGCACTAGAAAGCGCACACTAGGGCTGCAGAACGCGTTTTTAAATAAAATGATACATGTATCAGTATCACTATCAATTGGAAAAAGCATAGCAGCTTTCCGCACGCAATTCTAACCGTACTGATCATAAAGGGAACCAGTTCAAGTTGCCCTACACCAGTTCAAGTTGCCCTATGTCCGGATCGTAAGTGCAATTCCAAATTATCAGCAGCGTTTATCACGAGGTCTTGCGATAGGCTAGTCTTACGCTGCCCGCGATATGCACTATAAAGACGGTGTCTGTGGTTGGTTCCCAGACCAAAAGACTCTGAGGTCATGCCAACAACGCTTCGAGCGCACGTTAAAACGTTAAAACTCAAGCTGTAGCTTCGGTACAGAAAGGGGACTATTTTCATCATTTTTTTTGCACCATCGGGATCGATTCAACCCTAACACTTTAAAGGGAATATACAACATTTGCAAACATCGAAAAATAAAATTACCAAGTTTTTACGAAATACCTTAATAGGATGTTGGTAAATGACAGTCTAAAGCATCCTGTAAAATTATGGCACCTGGTATACTGTCATTTTCAAGAAAAGTGGTATTTTTGTATCAATTTCCAACGCTGATCGGCCGATCAGCGTTGGAAACAACTGGCTTTTTTTCAAATACTGGCCCCAATTGACCATTGCACTTGTTTGCAATCGATTACAAATCTATGAACGGGTAAGAGACAGCTAGACTGGTTCCCTGACCTTACAATTCCCCAATGTATGTAAACTGCTCCGTTTCTTCTTATATGGAGTCAGGGAACCAGACTACAGGAAAATGATTGTTTTTCTTGGTTTTTATAGCATTTTCGAACCCAAAACCTCCAAAAAATCAGTGTAACTATATTTGCTTTATATTTTCAACCCCCCAATTCCATCCATTTCTGAAAATTACAGCAAAAGCAAATGATGTATATTCCCTTTAAGCGAACAGAGCGTGAGCACATGTATGTCAAGAAGTACAGCATCGTACAGAACATTTATAGTCTTGGGGTACAAATATACAGTCACCGCTCCAAAACTCACTTTCAAATTGATATTTGTCATGTTTGTAGAGTATGCTTGTTCGTGTTGATACACATGTACCTACATGTACCTGCATGTACATGTATGTGTATTACGTACCCATAGAGAGTAGAGTAGGGGTACTTTCCCTTTTCGGTTGTTTGGAAAGGTCATTTTTGACTAGGCCTAATACTAGGCCGATACAAAACACCTTTGAGTTTTGACTCAAATTTGATCCTCACTAAACAGGGGCCCTCTTTAAACTACACGATTGCACATTGTTGCAATCTACACTTCATGCCCTACATGTAGGTTTAAAGGGACACTAGGTCCTGGAACAGCCCGATTAGGCTACAAAACGCGCTTTGAATGATATTATGTTAACCAAAAAAAAAAATTTAAAACTAGGATAGAAACATCCACACAACTACCCTTAAAAAATGGGCGATTTTTGTATTATTCCTGTATTAATGCATGCAAGAACGAATTTCACTTTTGCAACCCCATAAATTGGAGCCGTTTGGATGCTACTTACTACATTGTACTAATACTAGTTGTGATTTTATTCATACACGTAAAGTGTTTGCCTTTTACGGACGTTGTTTGACGAAACCACAATTTTTTTGGTCACCGCTGTTCCCGAGACACAACATGTAGGCCCTATATCATACACTGTATGAGAATGACAAAAAAAACGTATTCGTAGGCCTTCTCTGTCATGTCTGTCATTGTCCGTCGTTTCCGTATTCCGATGTAAAAAAACTGGTTTTTTCCCCCCGTCTTTTCTTGGGAACTGTAACATTAGGTTGATTTCCTTTCAACCACATGTTTGAAATAAGATAAGTAAACAATCCAAAACATGAAAAATTCGGGGATTTCAGGACCTAGTGCTGAGTAGTGGCCCGGCCCTTTAACGTTAAACGATCGCCGCAATATTCATGATATTACAAATAAAAAATGACAATGTTTGCGATTTGGAAAACGCACTCACCTGCTAATGCTATGCGCCTCAGTCACACTCCTACTTGGATACGTTTTTACCACAATCGCCAACTTAAAAACAAATCTTTAAGCCTACCATGGCATTAACAGTTCACCTGAACTTCGTTAACCTGTTGTAGATCTAGAAATGAGTTATTTAGTGAGCGCTAGCGTTGGACTTGTCTTGTTTACACCGTCTCCGTGCAGCTCAATCGGCCATTTTGAAACAAATTTTCAGGATCATTGAAAAGTGAGGGCGCCCTCTATTGGGGACGAGCGCGTAGGTTCTTATGTCATGCGAGCGAGCGCGTGGCCCGGCGACACCCCGGCGGTGCCAGTGGATGAATACGAGTATGCTGCACCAAACTTCCAAAAACAGCCCGACTTCCAAAAATCATCAAAAATACTCACGACTCTCCAAGCGTTTTGAGACAAACGTTAACTTAAAGCTTATTTCATTGATTTCCAATATCCCGTAACTTTTGGGGAAACCCCTCTTACAAAACTAAGTGATCATCCCTGCTCATACCCATTACTACCACGTTGTCGTAAAAGTTGGTACCTTGGTACTCTATTAACTTATTCTATAAAATGGGGCTTGCATGCGGTCGCTGCTAAAGTTGAGCGTGATGGGGAGTAATGTGGAGGGAAAGAGACGACCATTATGTGCAGGAACATGAGCGGCCAACATGCACTGGAAGAGACCTGCATAGCGACAACTGGTAGTCGACTACTCCGCGGTCCGCAGCCGATCGATGATGATGATGATGATGTATATAATCGTGTCAGCAGCAAGAGCGGATCCAGGTGGGGGGAGGGGGGGGGGGGGCAAAGGGGGCCATGCCCCCCCCCCCCCCCCCCCCCCCAAAAAAAAACGAAACCATTTTTTTTTTAATGTGACATCGCAATAGAGGCAGGCATTGAGTACAGCACCATCTTTTCCTCAAACAAAAACATTGGTTAAAGTGGTCAGAAATTGCCTCAGATCGCACCACAGAACATCTAGAATCCACATTTTTTCGGGGCCCCGAACCCACGCCGTAACCCACTTTTTGGGGGGACCAATTTTTTTTGGCCCTCCAAAATGTTGTTCTGGATCCGCCCTTGGTCAGCAGCCCATGTGTACATATACTGCCAAGTGTCTATGGCGTGTCAAACGTTGCAATATTCAATATTTTGCAATATATATGTTGGATGTTCAATATGTGTTTGTTATCTTTTACATTTATGTGCAATGTTCAATATAAGTGTGCGATGTTTTTCATTATTTGTGCGATGTTTAATATATTTGTGCGATGTTTTACAATATATGTGCGATGTTCAATATATGTGTGCGATGTTTTACATTTATATGCGATTTTCAATTTATATGTGCGATGTTTTTGACGATATATATGTGCGATGTTTTCAATATTATGTTCGATTTTTTGCATTAAATGTGCGATGTTTTTCGATACAATTGTGTGTGTTGTTCTACAATATATTTGCGATATTCTCAAATATGTGAGCAATGTTTCACACATATGTTTGACATGATTTCGAGCTATTTGTATTCGATGTTTCATCGGTATGTTTGCGTTCGATCTTTTGCAATATGCATTTGATATTTCCCTTTTCATTTGATGTTTCTTTAAGAGTCAAAGTCTGGTTACTAGACCGCGAAAGTCTGACTATTTTGCCTAAAGTCAGTGTATGAGACGTCAGGGGATCGCGTAAAGTGATAGAGCCACACCTAAACGGTAAAAACCGGAATTGTGGGTAATTATTTAAGCATACGCAATGCGTTCATCATTGTTTGGGCAGTACCCCCAGCTGTGCCTGTACTACCCATAGTGTTATGTGCATCATCTATGCATTGAGGAGTGCATGACACGTGGTCTGAGCTCCAGGGCCGATGTGCACCTATCCCGTTTAATGATCCAGTTACCTGATAATTTGTTAGCATAAGTGATGTAAAATTTTAGCAAAATCGGGAAAAATCAGATGTTTCTGGAAAATTGCAGATTGTATGGGGTTAGATGTTTATGAAACATTTCAAATTGTAAGGGGTGAACATTGCATATTTTAGCGAAATTGGGCAAAATCAGATGTTTCCGAAAAATTTCAGGTGTAAGGGATTAAGGCCAAAAAAAAGTCTTCGGTTTCTGGTATGCGCGCGCGTCGCTGTAGCCATGCGCGTCGGCAAAATGAAAAACTTTTTATTTTCAATGAACGATGATGTCTCAAAACCGCCAAACTCACTGGTTTGACTGGAATCCTGCTGCTGCAAAATTTTAACGTGTTTTTAGATGGGGTTATGGTCGAGAATAAGCTTTATGTGGCCTCTCTGGTCTCTCATAATTTTTGCACTAAGTTTAGTCGGGCACCATTTGCAGTCATCAGCGGACATTTGAAGCCAAAAAAACAGGTAAAAAAAAAAACAAGCCGCGTCGCCGCACCACTCTTTGGGCAAGCTCCATACCAGAAACCGGAGACTGTTTTTTGGCCTAACCTTGCTTTTTTAGTGAAATTTTGCAAAGTTAGATGTTACGAAAAATTTCAAATTGAAAGGGGTTAACCTCGCATTTTTTTAAAGCGAAAATCGGAAAAAATCAAATGTTTCTGGAAAATTGCACATTGTAAGGGATTAACCTTGCTTTTTGAATAAGATTGGGGAAAATTAGATGTTCATGAAAAAAATTCAAATTGTAAAGGAGTAACCTTGCATTTTTTTAAAGCAAATAGGACACAATCAGATGATTCTGGAAAATTGCAGATTGTTAGGGCGTAACCTTTTATTTCTAGCAAAATTGGGCAAAAAGAAATGTTTATGAAAAATTTTAAATTGTATATCTTGTATATTTAGTAAAATTTGACAAAAACAGATTTGTATGAAAAAATCTAAAATGGTAAGGGGTTAACCTTGCTTTTTTAGCAAAATTTGGAACATATTTTCAAATTGGGCAAAATCAGATGCTTCTCAAAAATCCAGATGTAAAGTTTCCGCAAAAACAGCTGTTGAAAAAGATCGAGCCCAATGTTGATCTTTACTGAGTCTGAGGTCTATCGAGGGGACGATCCTTATTTCAACTCCCGGAGATTCGCTGACAGTCTCTATTTTTCTTTTTAAGAAAGTCGAAATAGCTGAAGAGGGAGGTGAGAATCTACATGTGCCCAGATGCAAAGAGTAGAAATCTACGCGTCTGAAATACACAATTGCGGTGTTCATTGTTGCGTAATAATCGCCTAGCACACGACTGTTTTGCACATTAGGCTGTGTTATGCAGCTTCCTAACAAACCAAACACACTGGGCTCATTATATCGACTTGTTTTTACCCATTAAGGTTAAGCAAATGGACCCAGTAATCTTCCTGGCGCGTTTGCTCACCTATAAAGACAACTTTTCTCAGTTTAAGGAAAATTCTAAGGTAACGAAATGGCCGAGTGGTTACGATCGATTCGTCGTCCACGGTTAGCGGGGTCCCGGGTTCGAATCCCGCTGGTGTCTTTTTTGGTTTTTAACGTATGAGTTCAATTATTCACTATAAGAGATTTAATTTCCCGTCGTAAAGTACCAACAGTACCTTAGCTTAATCGGTAAGCACTGCTGCTGGTACTGTCCGCGAGTTCCAGGTTGGCGCCTTCGTACAGGTTCAGGGCATGTGGTCCACTCGGAGGATCAGGGCTTAGGGGCCGCCCTGTTCCTCCCTTAGCTCTTTGCTTTTACATGGTGCCTGGCCCTCCGGGGTTATATGGATGGATAGGGAAGGAAGTGTGTATTGGTCGGGGACGCCGAGACCCCGGAAGAGAACTAAGGGATCGGCTGGGGCATTGTTATGGCTCAGACCGATCCCTGAAAGCTTGACTAGCACATAACTTTTTGATTTTTTTGACCCTCTATCTTTTATACTTTGGTTTAGTTTGATATCTACAGCTGCTCGGCAGGTTTACGGGTAATATCAAAATTGAAACAAAGGTGTATGTCATAAATCAATGAAGATTTCATAATTGACTATAATCAAAACGGAGTTTCGTTCGATCAATTTGACTATCATTATATAATGACGCGATTGCCAATTGACGTAAGAAACGCCATAAATTATACCGGGAAAGAATAAAGATGTACATTGTAATATAAATATTATTTATACATCTTTCAAATAACGTGTCTTTAATTGTGAGCATTCCAAACAATACAGTTATTCGCAATGGTATTAGAATGGTATTTGATAGCACGATCAATGCGTCTCTATTAAATTTAAAAATATATAATTTAGGCCCCTATGTGTGAAATTTTCTGTTTATGAAACATTTCAAATAGTAAGGGGTGAACCTTGCATTTTTTTTAGCGAAATTGGGCAAAATCTGATCTTTCTGGAAAATTTCAGATTGTAAGGCAAAAAAAAAAAGTCTCCGGTTTCTGGTATGGAGCTTGCCCAAAAAGTGTTGCGGCGACGTGGCTTTTTTTTTTTTTTTACCTGACTTTTTTGCTTCAAATGTCAGCTGATGACTGCAAATGGTGCCCGACTAAACTTAATGAAAATATATGGGAGTCCAGAGAGGCCACATAAAGCTTATTCTCGATCATAACCCCATCTAAAAACACGTTAAAATTGTGCAGCAGCAGGATTCCAGTCAAACCAGTGAGTTTGGCGGTTTTGAGACATCATCTTTCATTGCAAAAAAAAAGTTTTTCATTTTGCCGACGCGCATGGCTACGGCGACGCGCGCGCATACCAGAAACCGGAGACTTTTGGGGGGGGGGGCCTAAGGGGTTAACCTTGCTTTTGTAGTAAAATTTGGCAAAATAAGATGTGTATGAAAAATTTCAAATTGTATGGGGTTAACCTTTCTTTTTTAGTAAAATTGGGAAATTTAAATATTTATGAAAAATTTCAAATTGTCAGTGGTTAACCTTGCATTTTTTAGCAAAAAAGGGCAAAATTAGGTGTTTATGGAAAAATGTCAGATTGTAAGGGGTTAACTTTGCATTTTTAGCAAAATTGGGCAAAATCAGATTTGTATGAAAAATCAAAAATTGTAAGAGGTAAACCTTGACAAATTAGGGCAAAATCGCAGATTGCAGATTGAAAGAGGTTAACCTTGCTTTTTAAGCGAAATTGTTAAAAATCAAATGTTTCTTGAAAATTGAAGATTGTAAGGGGTGAACTTGGCATTTTTGGCATAACTGGTCAAAATCAGATTGATATGAAAAATCTCAAATTGTAAGGGGTGAACCTTGTATTTTTTAGCGACATTGGGCAAAATGAGATCTTTCTGGACAATGAGATCTTTTCTGATCCTTACATCGGAATTTGTTTCAGAAACATCTGATTTTGCCCAATTTTGCTTAAAATGCAAGGTTAACCCCTTTCAATCTGCAATTTTCAAGAAACATCTGATTTTGCCCTAATTTGGCAAAGGTTAAACCCTTACATTTTTTGCTAAAAATGCAAGGTGAACCCTTTACAATCTGAAATTATTCATGAACACCTGGATTTGCCGTGTTTTGCTAAAAAATGCAAAGTTAACCCCTGACAATTTGAAATTTTCAGATGTAAGGGGGTTAACCTTGCTTTTATAGTGCCCTAATTTGGCAAAGGTTAACCCCTTACACTTTGAAATTTCTCATACAAATCTGATTTTTCCCAATTTTGCTAAAATGCAAGGTTACCCCCTTATATCTTAATTTTTTCAGAAACATCTGATTTTGCCCAAATTTGCTAAAAATGCAAGGTTCACCCCTTACAATTTGAGATTTTTCATAAAAATCTGATATTGCCTAGTTTTGCTAAAAATGCAAGGTTAACCCCTTTCAATCTACAATTTTCCAGAAACATTTGATTTTGCCCTAATTGGGCAAAGGTTAACCTCTTACAATTTTGGATTTTTCATACAAATCTGATTTTTCCCTATTGCCCAGTTATGCTAAATATGCCAAGTTAACCCCTTACAATCTGCAATTTTCAAGAAACATCTGATTTTTCCCAATTTCGCTTCAAAAAGCAAGTTTAACCCCTTTCAATCTGCAATTTTCCAGAAACATCTGATTTTGCCCTAATTTGGCAAGATTAACCCCTTACAATTTTTGATTTTTCATACCAATCTGATTTTGCTAAAAATGCAAAGTAAACCCCTCCATCTGAAATTTTCCATAAACACCTGATTTTGCCCTTTTTGCTAAAAAAATGCAAGGTTAACCACTGACAATTTGAAATTTTTCGTAAACATTAACATTTTCCCAATTTTACTAAAAAAGGAAGGTTAACCCCTTACACTCGGAAATTTTCCAGAAAGATCTGATTTTGCCCAATTTCGCTTGAAAAAATGCAAGGTTCACCCCTTACAATTTGAAATGTTTTATAAACATCTAAATTTTACTAAAAACGCAAGGTGAACCCCTTACAATCTGACATTTTTCATAAACACCTGATTTTTCCTAATTTTGCTAAAATGTAAGGTTAACTGCAAAGTGTTAAATCAATACATGAAGTGTCCCATTTGACTTTTTTAAAACAAATTATTTTTCCAGTTTTTAGGGTAAAGGAATTTTCTGTTTTTCCTTTCTCTTTTGTTGTTGCTATTTTTTGCGAATTAAACTCATTCGTATGAAATGCTCATAGTCAATCAAAGAATATTTCACACATAGGCGCCTAAATTATATTTTGTTTTAAATTTAATAGAGACGCATTGATCGTGCTATCATATACCATTCTATTACTATTGCGAATTACTGTATTGTTTGAAATGCTCACAATTAAAGACACGTTATTTGAAAGATGCATAAATATATTTATATTTCAATGTACATCTTTATTCTTTCCCGGTATAATTTATGGCGTTTCTTACGTCAATTGGCAATCGCGTCATTATATAATGATAGTCAAATTGATCAAACGAAACTCCGTTTTGATTATAGTCAATTATGAAATATTCATTGATTTATGACATACACCTTTGTTTCAATTTTGATTGTACCCGTAATTCTGCCGAGCAGCTGTAGATATCAAACTAAACCAAAGTATAAAAGATAGAGGGTCAAAAAAATCAAAAAATTACGTGCTAGTCAAGCTTTCAGGGATCGGTCTGAGCCATAACAATGCCCCAGCCGATCCCTTAGTTCTCTTCCGGGGTCTCGGCGTCCCCGACCAATACACACTTCCTTCCCTATAACCCCGGAGGGCCAGGCACCATGTAAAAGCAAAGAGCTAAGGGAGGAACAGGGCGGCCCCCAAGCCCTGATCCTCCGAGTGGACCACATGCCCTGAACCTGTACGAAGGCGCCAACCTGGAACTCGCGGACAGTACCAGCAGCAGTGCTTACCGATTAAGCTTGGTACTTTACGACGGGAAATTAAATCTCTTATAGTGAATAATTGAACTCATACGTTAAAAACCAAAAAGACACCAGCGGGATTCGAACCCGGGACCCCTCTATCCGTGGACGACGAATCGTAACCACTCGGCCATTTCGTTACCTTAGAATTTTCCTTAAACTGAGAAAAGTTGTCTTTATAGGTGAGCAAACGCGCCAGGAAGATTACTGGGTCCATTTGCTGTACCTCAATGGGTAAAAACAAGTCGATATAATAAATCCAGTGTGTTTGGTTTGTTAGGAAGCTGCATAACACAGCCTAATGTGCAAAACAGTTGTGTGCTAGGCGGCCGGGGTCATTACGCAACAATGAACACCGCAATTGTGTATTTTCAAAAGGCAGACGCGTAGATTTCTACTCTTTGTATCTGGGCACATATAGATTTTCACCTTCCTCTTCAGCTATTTCGACTTTCTTAAAAAGAAAAATAGAGACTGTCAGCGAATCTCCGGGAGTTGAAATAAGGATCGTCCCTTCGATAGACCTCAGACTCAGTAAAGTTCAACATTGGGCTCTTTTTCAACAGCTGTTTTTGCGGAAACTTTACATCTGGATTTTTTAGAAGCATCTGATTTGCCCAATTTTAGTAAAATATGTTCCAAATTTTGCTAAAAAAGCAAGGTTAACCCCTTACCATTTTAGATTTTTCATACAAATCTGATTTTGCCAAATTTTACTAAATATACAAGGTATACAATTTAAAATGTTTCATAAACATTTTTTTTGCCCAATTTTGCTAGAAATACAAGGTTAAGCCCTAACAATCTCCAATTTACCAGAATCATCTGATTGTGTCCTATTTTGCTTTAAAAAAATGCAAGGTTAACCCCTTACAATTTGAATTTTTTATGAACATCTAATTTTCCCCAATCTTATTCAAAAAGAAAGGTTAAATATACAAGGTATACAATTTAAAATGTTTCATAAACATTTTTTTTGCCCAATTTTGCTAGAAATACAAGGTTAAGCCCTTACAATCTGCAATTTTCCAGAAACATTTGATTCGTTCCGATTTTCGCTTTAAAAAAATGCGAGGTTAACCCCTTTCAATTTGAAATTTTTCGTAACATCTAACTTTGCAAAATTTTACTAAAAAAGCAAGGTTAGGCCAAAAAAAAGTCTCCGGTTTCTGGTATGGAGCTTGCCCAAAAAGTGGTGCGGCGACGCACCACTTTTTGAAGAACTTTTTGAAGAACTTTTGAAGAACTTTTGAAGAACTTTTTGAAGAACTCATTTTCAATAACGAAATGTATCCGACTCTTATTAACTGAAGTATTTTATTTTAGTAATTTTGAAGCGATGGAAATGCAGGCAAATTGTTAATAAAACTGTCGGATGTACAGTTACTGTAATATTTAAAGCCAGTGTTGATGTTGAACATAGTTCTCATGAAAAAAAAGGTCACTTGTGAAAAAGATGGCACTTGTGAAAAGAGACGGTCGCGGTCGAACGTAAAATAAACAGAGCACTTGTGAAAAAAAGGGCGCTCATGTGCAATTTCTTTTTAATTAGCGCCCTTTTCACGATTGCCTTTTTGTGACGAGTGTACGTCCTTTATTTTTACGACAGACCTTTTTCTAATATGGCGTGAATGCGGCAATTTAGCCGACATGACACGAAGCGCCACCTCAATCCAACGCTGTACCCATGACGTCATGCATTGCTTTTCCGTGTGCTTTCCTATGGGAGCCGTGTGGTGACGACACTTTGGTGGACCCGTAGAAAAGCACACAAGTAAACGGGAGACGTAACAGTACATACGCTTATTGTCAGATGGCGCCCATGATCGTTCGCTTTGAACAGCTAGGGCCCCATGGGACGATTGTGTCCAGCCCCCTTGACAGAAGCCAAGACTTATCAGAGACAAAAAAACCTAGCTGTCTCAGCACGGGTGATGCGAGTACCCCTTTGCACGTTTGCCCCAAACCAAATGACCTTGCTACGCCACAGTTCCTCTACGTGCTCCTGGTAAATTTCGCTTGACAGAATTAAGGAATCCTTTGAAAAAATAACCATTATTGAAGGGGCGTGACGGTTAACAAAACAACACCCAAAAAGTGCTTTAAAGTTCTCAAAATGTTTACATTTATTAGGCACTGAGCAAGAACTTCAACAGGTATTAGGTGCTATGCATATGCACGCTAGTAAAGAACAACGATTGCTTAAAAAAAGAGCAAAGAGGGGTCATATGTACATGTACATTGAATGACTATTCTATATGTTCCATATCCACTGTCACCGTCAACTGAGCCCGTCCAAGTTTGCAAAGTTTTTCAAAATAAAATTGACAGCGCTCGGTCCCTGGGCAAATTGACAAGTTTAAGCTTGGTTCACTTGGTATATGCCAAGTGCTCACATCATTGTGAAAAAGGAGGCACCAATTGGTATACAGTAAATGCTAATACAACGCATTACTTGGGGAGTGTTTTACAACCAAGTAGTGTTTTCCCGTGGCAATGTCCAACATTACTTTTTGCTGACGGATGGGTAACCGTAGATGACTGAAGTTTAATAAAACTAAATTGTCAACTAAATGGTTGATCATTATCATAATGTACCCCATGCTGTCATTATTAGGTTACCATTATATCACAGTCCACAGAATGATGCCATAAATTATTTGTTTTTGGTATGGTCCAGGTTGTTTCTTAAGGCACTACCTTTCAGTGAGAGGCATTACCGGAGTTGTAACAAATAAATTCTATCGCGGACCATTAAATGTCGTCGAAGGTTGCCCCAAATACAGAAACTTAATTTGCCACAAAATGTCACAAGCAATGGTTCCTCAAATTTAGTGTCGACTACCGTATGTCCTTGCATTTTGCTACAGCTTGAGAGGCCTTCTCCACTTAATGTCTCAAACAAACGGTTTCTATAGGCCCATTTGTATGTTGTTGGAGGCTATTTTTCTGTGAGAAGCATTTTCAACAAACGTCATGGCAACGAATAGTTTCTCATTAGTGTGGACCCTTAGTTGAAGGTTGAATTTCCGTGAGAAGTTTTGCTACAAATAACATAAACGGACGGTTTTTCGCTAATCTGGATTACCTTATGTCGTCGTATTCACTGCTGTTAGAGAAACTTTGACATAAATGCCACAAACAAAAGGTTTTACTTCAGTGCAGACCTTCTGATGTTCTTGCAAACTACCTTTATGCAAGATTTACCAAAAATCTGTGGCATTTGCCACAAGCGTCACAAATAGTTTCTCATTAGTGTGAACCATTTTATGTTGTTGTAGGTCATTTGTGTTTTAAACGCCAGTACCACAAACAGTTTCTCATTGGTGTGGATATTCTAGTGTTGCTGGCTACCAATACGAGAGAAGCATCTGCAACAAAAGTCACAAGCAAATGGTTTGGTATTTAGTGTGGACACTACGATGTCGCTGAAGAGCACTTTTCTGAAAGCTTTGCCACAAACAACACAAACAAATGTTTATTCGTAAACTTCAAGGTGGATCATCTTGTGTCGCCGTGGGTTGCTACTGCTTGATGGGAAGCATTTGCCACAAATGCCACATACAAAAATTGTTCTTCGTTGGTGTGGATCCTCTTGTATCGCCTGAGGCTGCTATTGCTTGAGAAGCCTTTCCACCGTAAATGTCCCAAGTAAAAGGTTTCTCATTGGTGTGGACAGTCTGGTGTTGTCATAGGCTGCTACTATTTGAGGAGCCTTTGCCACAAAGGTCATATGTCATAGCAAACGCTTTCTTGCTTGTGTGGATCCTCTTGTGTCGCCGTAGTTGGCTATACTTGTTGAGAAGCCTTTTTATACCACATGTTAGAATCAAATGGTTGATCATTGGTGTGCATACTCTGGTGCTGTCGTAGGTTGCCACTGCCTTAGAAGCTTGTCATAAATGTTAGAAGCAAAAGGTTTGCCATTGGGGCGATCCTGCCTGGGTCGCCGTAGGCGGCTACTGGTTGAGAAGCCTTTGCCACAAAAGTCACAAACAAATGTTTTTTTAATTTGTGTGAACTCTCTGACGCTGTTGAGGTTTAAGCTTCGTTGAGAAGGCTTTGTCACACTTAAACATATGGTTTCTCATTGGTGTGGACCCCATGATGTTGCCGAAGAGTACCTTTTTGAGAAAAGCCTTTGCCACAAATGTCACAAACAAACGGTTTCTCATCAGTGTGAACTCTCTGATGTCGTTGACAGTTGACTTTCTGAGAAAAGCCTTTGCCACACATGTCACAAGCAAATGGTTTATCATTGGTGTGGATACTCTGGTGTCGTCGTAGGCTGCTACTTCTTGAGAAGCCTTTGCAACAAATGTCACAAGCAAATGGTTTCTCAATGGTGTGGATACTCTGGTGATGTCGTAGGTTGCTACTTTTTGAGAAGCCTTTGCCACAAATGTCACAAGCAAATGGTTTATCATTGGTGTGCATACTCTGGTGTTCTCGTAGGTGGCTACTTCTTGAGAAGCCTTTGCCACAAATATCACAAGCAAATGGTTTCTCATTGGTGTGGATACTCTGGTGTTGCCGTAGGTTGCTACTTCTTGAGAAGCCTTTGCCACAAATTTCACAAGCAAATGGTTTCTCATTGGTGTGGATACTACGGTGTTGTTGTAGGTTGCTACTTCTTGAGAAGCCTTTGCCACAAATGTCACAAGCAAACGGTTTATCATTGGTGTGCATACTCTGGTGTTGTCGTAGTTGGCTACTCCTTGAGAAGCCTTTGCCACAAATGTCACAAGCAAATGGTTTCTCAATGGTGTGGATACTCTGGTGTTGTCGTAGGTTGCTACTTTTTGAGAAGCCTTTGCCACAAATGTCACAAGCAAATGGTTTATCATTGGTGTGCATACTCTGGTGTTCTCGTAGGTGGCTACTTCTTGAGAAGCCTTTGCCACAAATGTCACAAGCAAATGGTTTCTCAATGGTGTGGATACTCTGGTGTTGTCGTAGGTTGCTACTTTTTGAGAAGCCTTTGCCACAAATGTCACAAGCAAATTGTTTATCATTGGTGTGCATACTCTGGTGTTCTCGTAGGTGGCTCCTTCTTAAGAAGCCTTTGCCACAAATGTCACAAGCAAATGGTTTCTCAATGGTGTGGATACTACGGTGTTGTTGTAGGTTGCTACTTTTTGAGAAGCCTTTGCCACAAATGTCACAAGCAAATGGTTTATCATTGGTGTGCATACTCTGGTGTTGTCGTAGTTGGCTACTTCTTGAGAAACCTTTGCCACAAATGTCACATGCAAATGGTTTCTTAATGGTGTGGATACTCTGGTGTTGTCGTAGGTTGCTACTTTTTGAGAAGCCTTTGCCACAAATGTCACAAGCAAATGGTTTATCATTGGTGTGCATACTCTGGTGTTGTCGTAGGTTGCTACTTTTTGAAAAACCTTTGCCACAAAAGTCACAAACAAATGTTTTTATACTTGTGTGAGCTCTCTGATGCTGTTGAAGTTCTACCTCCGTTGAGAAGCCTTTGCCACAAATGTCAAAAGCAAATGGTTTATCATTGGTGTGCATACTCTGGTGTTGTCGTAGGTTGCTACTTCTTGAGAAGAATTTGCCACAAATGTCACAAGCAAATGGTTTATCATTGGTGTGGATCCTCTTGTGTCGCCCAACGCTGCTAGTATAAGAGAAGCCTTTGCCACAAATGTCACAAGCAAACGGTTTCTCATTGGTCATGTTGGTGTGGATCCTCTTGTGTCGCCTGAGGCTGCTAGTATAAGAGAAGCCTTTGCCACAAATGTCACAAGCAAACGGTTTCTCATTGGTCATGTTGGTGTGGATCCTCTTGTGTCGCCTGAGGCTGCTAGTATAAGAGAAGCCTTTGCCACAAATGTCACAAGCAAACGGTTTCTCATTGGTCATGTTGGTGTGGATACTCTGGTGTTGTCGTAGGTTGCTACTTTTTGAGAAGCCTTTGCCACAAATGTCACAAGCAAACGGTTTGTCATTGGTGTGCATACTCTGGTGTTCTCGTAGGTGGCTACTTCTTAAGAAGCCTTTGCCACAAAAGTCACAAACAAATGTTTTTATATTTGTGTGAACTCTCTGATGCTGCTGAAGTTTAACCTCCGTTGAGAAGCCTTTGCCACAAATGTCACAAGCAAATGGTTTATCATTGGTGTGCATACTCTGGTGTTGTCGTAGGTTGCTACTTCTTGAGAAGAATTTGCCACAAATGTCACAAGCAAATGGTTTATCATTGGTGTGGATCCTCTTGTGTCGCCTGAGGCTGCTAGTATAAGTGAAGCCTTTGCCACAAATGTCACAAGCAAACGGTTTCTCATTGGTCATGTTGGTGTGGATACTCTGGTGTTGTCGTAGGTTGCTACTTCTTGAGAAGCCTTTGCCACAAATGTCACAAGCAAATGGTTTCTCATTGGTGTGGATACTGCGGTGTTGTCGTAGGTTGCTATTTTTTGAGAAGCCTTTGCCACAAATGTCACAAGCAAACGGATTGTCATTGGTGTGCATACTCTGGTGTTGTCGCACGTTGCTACTGCTTGAGAAGCCTTTGCCACAAAAGTCACAAACGAATGGTTTCTCATCTGTGTGAACGCTGTGGTGTCGTTGAAGGTTAGCTTTCTCAGAAAAGCCTTTGCCACATATGTCACAAGCATATGGCTTCTCATTGGTGTGGACCTTGTAATGTCTTTGTAGGCTGTTTTTGTTCGAGACGCCTTTACCACAAACATGGCAAACAAATGATTTCTTTGTTGTGTGGACCATCTTAGGTTTTCGTTTGATGCTACTGGTTGAGAATCCTTCACCACAAATTAATCCAATTAGTCTGAACTGTCTGATGTATTCGTATAGGTGCGCGACATCTGGGCTAGATATCTTTGCCAAAAGTCTCACAAACTAAATGGTTTCCCATCCGTCTTGTTGGTTCTGTTGATGGCACTCATTCGGGGTTAAAGCACCGGTGGGCCCCTGTATGATGAAAAGAAACATTTAATTAATCAAGTAACAAGACATGATATACTTCCAATTCAGTAGATTTCATTTGACGGTGGCAGAAAATAAAGATTAAAATTATGATAACATTTTTCTTATTCTGGTAGAAACACTGCCCAATCATCTCACTTAACTCAGGTAAACCGTCAAGTGCGTTACACCTTTTCCTCTAAATGTCTAACTTTCAGGCGAAATTGCAGACATGCAGTTTGTTCAAAAATGATTTCAGTAGTTTCATCAAGGCCACGGACCAGGAAGCCAATCAATATAGGTAGCATTTTTTGCGCCACTCTGGCTGGACCTGTAAATATGGCGGTGTACACCACAATTCGGAAGACGCTGGAAATGCGCCCAAAAACAGTTACCTCCGTCAATGGACCGATCCAGTAAGCACCGTGCCCCATGGTGTTCTGACCAAATCACAGCAGTGATTTAAGTCCGACATGCGTGCACGCGCGTTTGATGCGCGCGGAAGGAAAATGCAGTGTGGCATTGGAGAGGAGCACGTGTTAATTTGCCCACGTGCGCACACTGGGCGGAGCCTACTGGATCGGTCCACTGCCATTTGCACGGGATCTGTCATTATCAAAAAGGAAGAGGAAACTATAACGGGTCCTGTGCAAATGGGAATTGGCATAAGGTCTCTGGTCAGCGCGCGCGTCGATTTTAATCATGCGCGTCAATTTTTTTTTGTTCCAAAATGTTCCGCGGTGGCTCCAATTTTTCCGCGGTAGCTCAATTTTGTTTTACCAAAGAGCACCAAGGAATTGGAAATTTCACCAACGCAAAGGATCGAGAGCACCAAGGCAAATTATGAGGGACACCAATGTACATGAGGATACCAAAAAGCAAAATTTCCAGATGCATTTGCACACGTTTGCATATCAAAATTTCAACATGAAATTTCACAAAAAATAGCCATCTGAAAAAGGCAGCACTTTCTGATTAGCCTATAAAGAGGGTGAGTATGCTTCTAAAGCAAAAAAAACCCCTACAAACTAAGCCTAAATGTGAAAATCAAAAATTTGGCAAAGTGCGACACGTTTTTGTACATGTGGATGTGTGGCCTATGTTTACGGAGCTGAGGTAGTCCAGTAAATAGGCCACATTTATGGGGCTAAGAAACACTCAGACCAGTCTAGGCTTTGCGCACAAGATGACAAGTATATCAAGTATATGGAAGTAATGGCCAGAAAAAAAGGAATCTTTGCCTAACTGGTTGTTTACGGTGTAAGTCTAATTTCTTGAATTGCATGATAGTTATACATGAAAGTTGTGGGGCGGGGCTCTCGTACACAGCATTACTCTCCCAAATTTTCGAAGTAGCCCCATTCTATATGACCCAGGCCACAGAGAGCACGTCACTGTACACACAAAGTGTGTTGCCATTTATAGTGTAACGTCTCTCTTGGGGGAGAGACATTATCAAATAAAGAGTCAGATACAAATATCTTACACACACACTAGTACTTTATTCAGAAATAATTACATCTCAGCTCAATAGAGGGCGCACTATATACAATGTAAAGTTAAGGCGTAGATGATTATCTGTGTACAGACGTAGGGTCTATGACCAGTGACCGGACATCTCGATAATCTACGTGTACATGTCAGGAACTCTGTCGGGGTCAGAGCCCAGATCAACAATCTAATGCATCATATGCGGGAGCTCTGTGTAGGTCAGAGCTCAGCTCAATAATCTACTGGGGAAGAGCCCAGTACAACAATGACCAGCACCCGATTTCACGAAGCGCTGCGACGCGTCGCAACTCAAGTTACGACGTGTAACACGTCGCAACTCGCGACGCGTCGTATCTTCCATTTCACTAAAGTTGTGATGTGTTGAACGCGTCGTAAGTTCCTTGACAACGGCTTAAAACACGTCGCAAGTTACGACATGTCTAGTGGTCATTGCAAAATAAGAAGTGTCATTTCTAAGCCAGTTTTATGCCACAAATATTACATTAACAAGATTATAATACCGAGGCAATGTATGTAACGTTGTAAATAGAACATTCATTGAATAATTATGAATTAGACCGGGATATTAGAGTTGAAATTTCAAAGTAGCTATACAGTCCAATGAGAGCTTGTTTTCCTTCAAAATTGCATCGCACGGCCGCCATTTTGTTATACGTTTTAACAAATTTCGAGCCGAGATCCGACGACTCTTTGCTGATTATCAGACGACTATTTACTGTACGCTGACTAAAGACATAAAACAGTCACTGAGTTGTGCTATAAATACACCTACGACGCGTCGCACTTACGACGTGTTTAGTGAAATGGATCGCAGGACGCGTCGTAGATATGACGCGTTGCAGCGCTGCGATGCATCGTAAGTTACGAAGAGTTTGATGAAATCGGGTGCTGCTATTTCTACGCGCTTTATATAGACTTTTGGGTGCGCGTCTTAGCCAATGGGAGCATTGGATTCTGGTAGTTATGAATAATGCATCCTGTACAAAGGCATGGGGAAAGTTCTCTATGGGAGATTTGTACACGACTGACTTAGACAATCTACTGGAAGAAAGTCCGGGAACAGTAGTTAGCGGGCGAAGTAGGATCACTCGCTTTACAGTACACAGAAGATGAAAATATTCCTGGTATGTTGTTTTGTGTCGACTTTGAAAAAGCCTTTGATAAGTTGGAATGGCAGTATGTGGATAAGGTTTTGTTATATTTTGGTTTGGGTGAGGACTTGAGAAAATGGGTTAAAGTTTTTTATAGTAACATTGAGAGTAATACTACTATTATTAATAATGGTTATTCCTCAGAATTTTTTCCATTGACATGAGGAGTGCGGCAAGGTTGCCCCTTATCCCCTTTTCTTTTTGTTTTAGCCGTGGAGCCTCGTGCAGTAGCCATTAGGAATAACCAGCATGTTTCTGGTCTTCAGGTAAATGGGCATACTTTAAAAATCTCTCAGTTTGCCGATGATACAACCATTTTTTTGGACGGATCAGAAAAATCCTTAGGCACAATTCTTGATATTTTGGAAGATTTCAAGCGGTGCTCAGGGTTGACCATCAACCTAAATAAATCTGAGGTTATTCACATTGGCTCTAGCAAAAATAGTGAGGTGTTTTTCCCCCCGGAACTACGCTTAAAATGGAGCAATCATTATTTTAAAGCTCTGGGTATTACCTTCTCGTTATTGAAAGAGGAGCTTTTCAATTTAAATTTTCTTCCCATTTTAACTTCTATAGAAAATAATTTAAAGATTTGGAATATGAGAAACCTGACATTACAGGGAAGAATCACTATTTTGAAGTCTTTAATAATGCCTAAGTTAACTTTTGTGTCCTCTGTTTTACCAAATCCAGACCAAGCATTTTTTTAAGAAAATTAATAAGTTAATTTTATACTTCGTATGGAATAATAAGCCGGATAAAATTAAGCGTACTGTTTTATTTAATACTATTGACTAAGGTGGGCTAAATATGGTTGATTATGAACAGCAGGTTTATGCATTAAAGGCATCTTGGGTGAAGAGGCTCCTTGATGCCAAAAATAAGGGGAGCTGGAAGCAGTTTTGTTTGCATTCGCTTCATCGAGTAGGAGGGCCGGTAATTTTTCAAGGGAATTTTTCCCTTCGTGTTGTGAAATCGTTGAAGCTGAATTCCCTCTTCCTAGAGGATATTTTGTATTCTTGGAGCCGCTTCGCTCATAAACCTCCTGTTCCAATGCAAGATTACTGTAATCAGAGCGTTTGGTCTAATTCTTTTATAAGTATTCAAGGTCAACCTTTATTTTATAGACACTGGCTTGAGGCAGGGATTTTAAAGATTAGGCATCTCATAGCTGACTCAGGCTATTTCTTTACTTTCAATGAGGTTATATTAAAGTATGATTTGAACAGTAATTTCATTGAGTATTATGGTGTTCTAAAAGCCATTCCCCGGGAGTGGAAAGACAAATCTAAGGGACAGAATTTGTGTGGTATTCAGACTACTTTGTCTTTAACAAACACCGTTTTTTTGTCAAAGAAGTTTACAATTTCCTAATGGATAAAATTAGAACTATCCCATGTAAAATTATTGATAAATGGACCGAGATGTATCAGGTACATGAGGATGATTGGAACCGTATTTTTATGCTACCTTTTAAATGTGCGTTGGATGTTAAGTGTAGAGAGTTCCAATTTAAATGTTTACTCAGGTTAAAGGTAAATAATGACTTTCTCCACAAAATTGTTCTATCTGGTACCCCTTTTTGTACCTTTTGTAAAACCGTTCTGGAGAAAAATTATCATCTTTTTTTTAATTGTCCTTTTGTTTCATGTTTTTGGAAAAAGGTGGAGGAATGGTTCACGTCAATTTGTAAAGTCAATATTGTCCTTACAGAATTTTCTATTATGTTTGGTTATAATATTTATGACCCAGACCTTTTTGTTAACTATGTAATTATCTTGGGTAAACAGTACATCTATAAAGGTAAGTATGAAGAGAAGCCTCCTCAAATTAACCATTTTATGAATCTAGTTAGAATGATGGAAAGAATTGAATTTTATAGCAACTAGAAGGGATAAATTAGCTACCCATCAAAGAAAATGGTATCCATTGATGTAACTCAATGTTTCCTTATCGCTCTGTCACCAATTTATAATTTATTTTTGCCATTTCTGAATTGTATGACTATAATATTAATTCATTTGTTTTTTAATTATTGATGCACTGATGAATAAAAAAAAAAAAAAGGATCACTCATGGGTGCCTTTTTAATACGGGGAACAGGTTTGTGTACAAGACTTAAGATTCTACACACTAACTAATGCTACCGAGTAAAACTATGAGATGAAGAACGTAACCTGACCTCTAGCTACCGTAGGTCTCGGCCAGTGGGTTAGTGGGACCATGGAGAAATAAAACTCTCCATGGTGGGACACACTCGCTGGGGTGTACGGGGTCACTGAGGGGTGAATACACGGGTAGGTTTTAGCGAGCCACATTCGCTAAATGCTTGGGGTCAATGTGGGTCGGATGCGAGGTAAGGTGTGTGAGGGGAATTCGCATCGACACCGGGGAAGGGAAGACGGGAAATGGCCGAGTCCTAAGTACATGTCCCATGGCGGTACATGTTCAATAGCAGTGAGTGCTACATGCATTGCGTGCTATACAATAGCGTACTGTACAACGCGCTGCACAAGTGTGTCTCAAGTCTTCGTGGTAAGCTTCGCGCTGTGTGAGGGCACACAGGATCGCTGCAAGCATTACGCTGTGCACGGATTGGAATGGATTGGTTGGGAAAGAAGTCAACTACGCAATTTGCGGGAACGCAACAATTGCAATAGGGTTGCTCGTTGTTTCGGCCATGTCACTGCTTCTGCTCACACTTCTGCACAATCACTACGTTCAACCTAAGAACTCACCTGCAATTCACAACTTGGTAAACTACTATTCATGTAGTTCTGTTGTCTGCAGCGTTGAACGAGTTTCGTTCGTGCACACGTTGCTCAGTCTGCGGCCATTTTAAAACAAAATTTATCTCCGCTTAGTGAGGGCGTCCTCATGGGGTCGAGAAAAGGAAAGCCTAGAGGGCATGCACCCGGACCCCATTATAGTGTAATGTGGTTCCCCCCCCCCCCCCAATTTCGAATTCCCACGACCGGGCAATTGGTTTTCTGTTGCTTTTCTTTCTTTCGTTTTCTTTTGATTTTCACCCCCATGGACCTTTTTCACGAGTTGACCATTTTTGTCGAGTTCACTGAATGTATTTCATTAATTGTTAACTGTTGAATGGGATGGCGCCAGACTTTTCATGCAGGCACAATTCTTCTTTTTTTTTTTTTAAATATGGCTTTCAACATAAGGGAATGTTTACTTACAAATGTTCCAGCGACACTCTTACAATATTTTCATTTCATTTCATTTTTTGTTTGTTTTTATTCCAACTTGGAACACAACCCTCAACCCCGGGGAGGGTTACATCAACATATTAAACCTGAATATTTAAATATACATTGGCAGGAGAAAGCAAAGTTGTCAAGAGCAATCAAACATTAAGATTTTCTATTAAGTTCATAAACAAAAAGATGAATTTGGCAACACAATTAATTGTAAATTCATCTGTTGAACTCATAAGAAATATAAATTGTTGACAGTAAGCAACTGAAAGTTTGCATGTTTTTCACTACAAAGTTAAACATTTTGTTTCAGAAGAGCACTGTATAAATATAATGGACAATGAAACTTGATCTTAGATTCAACCTGCAAATGCCAGTGAGGGCAAATTCGCTGGTTATATTGTACAAGCTGGTTTACCCGATCATAGATCGGGTAAGGCGTATAGTGTTGGGGATGAAAATGCGGGGAGTTAAATGTAAATGGGGGATATAGTTGGGGAGACATGCAGTTAAAGAATAGCAATTTCTGTGGTGTGATCTGAGGCAATTTTTGATCACTAAAACCAATTTGAGCAAAAGATCATCTGTGAAAGTTTGGAGTTTTGAGTAATTGAATCAGCTACATGTATTCTGAGCAATAGAATCATTATTGTAGGCTACAATATTTTTATTCGGGGAAGAAAAAGTGTGTGTGGGGGGGGGGGGGGGGAAGACCAAACAATGTCCCCCCTCAAAATGTGTGTGTGTGTGTGGGGGGGGGGGGGTCCCCCCTGTCCCCCGTTGATTTACGCACATGATAATTATGTACCATGGCAACTGTCTGTAAATGTTGCCGTTGGTCTGTTAAATTGGCTTTTTGTGAGGCAGTCGCATTTGGAAAACGTAGTGAAAAGGTGACTGTAGTACACAGGCGAAGGCTGGTTGTACAGTTTGACAATAAATCATAATGCAATAAAACGTGAAGGTGTCATTTAAAATGAAAATGTTGTTACCAAAAAATTGGAATCATGGAGGAAGGTCATAATTAAGTTTCAGTATTGGACTCTTCAACAAACGTAAACTTGAACTTCTTACAATTTGCGAGACCGTCTGCGATTCAACTTTTATTCAACTTCAAGTTGGTTCAACCATCTATATATAAGAGCAAGTTTTACTCGGCCTCCGAGAAATGTTTGCTTCTGAAAGGATCCGAGACCGCGGCTTCACGTCCGTGTAAAAAATGTGGGTGTCTTCCGCCGGGTCGGACACTTTTTCGTCGATTTTTTTTGTGACTTCGTTGAAGATCGCAATATTTGAAGCAATGCATCGATCCTTCGTTGACCCCAAACAGGCCCCGAAATTATAACGCGACACTGAACGCTCAGCCTTGGTGGTGGTGGAAGCATGGAGCTGTAAATACATTATGGAAGCAACAGCACTCTATCACGCGACGTCACATGCTTGCGCTTCAAATAGCGAGCACCGTAGACCCAACCTCGTTTCCAGGGTGTGGAGCAGGCTGCAGTACGCGTTGCCATCGACAGTTTTGCATAGCCCGGAAATACTACGCAGTGTAGACTTTCGATTGGTCAGACCGCGTAAGGCATACTTAATGTGTAGTCCTTCTGAGTATTCGTTGCACTCGGCGCAGGGGCGGCAAGCGAAAGCATATGAAAGAATAGGGGCACTTGGTGGCCACGCACCATGGAGAAAAAATATTTTACCAAGGTCACCCCATCCACAATTTGGTGAACGCTTTTGCAGAACGGCTGAGTAGAACACGTAAACGAAACCCCTACGTTGACCTCGCTGACCTCGCACAGTCTAGACACGCAGAAAAAGCCAGCACAGGGGGCGGCCAGGCAGTCAACGTGAAAGCGCACACGACGGCAAATTCCTGCGCAAAATGCAGTCACGAAAAATAGACGAAAAGGATCGCCGGTCCGTACGGGAAAATCAGGACGACCCGAAGTGTCCGACCCGGCGGAAGACACCCTCCGTATTTTTCCACGGACGTGGAGCGATTTTGGCGCAGCGGGAGCCCGCGGTCTCGGATCCTCTCATGAGCAAACATCGTCTCGGAGGCCGAGTTAAACTCTCTCTTATATATATAGATACCTACATACCATCCAATTTTTATAAAAAGCTTGTGTGCAGAACATCTAAACCGGGCAAGATAAGTTCGATAAGTTATACATGCTTTAGAAACGGAAACAAATTACGATAAACTTTGAAATCATGCAGTTGGTGTTACCGTGTTTTATATTTTCTCAAAATAGAAACATGTACATGTATCATCAGGCACGTGGTAGAACGTCAACAGGTAAGGTGTTAATGCGAGGAATTTGTTGCTTAAAAGGAAAACAAAATGCATAATGAGCAAAGAGGAAAAATAACATTGACGTTCCACACGCTGTCCCTTAATTGCCCTGTCCAACTAAGCATCGGTCCAAGGCTGCATCGGTCCTCATTTCGAGATAAAAATTAATAACACACGATCCTTGGGCGTTCAGGCTGGCTATGAGCTTGGGTCGTTTGGTGTATGACAGGTACAGACATTTTGGGAGGGAGGGAGCTGGTACATTGTAATTGAAAGAAATTATAATACGATACCCATTACATTGTAGTAGGGGAGTGTTTTACAACAGGGAGTCTGTTCTCATGTCAATGTAATGTACACAAACCAAACTTAACTGTTAACAGATCTGGATTCAGCCAGGGGAGGGGGTGTCAAACGGACCCCCTCCCTCCCCTCTGACACCCAATGAAAAATTATAACATAAAATATTGTGATAACACGGTCCGCCTGTCCGCAACAAGCGACCTGTATAACAAAATATGACAGGCCTTACCCCCCCCCCCCCCCCCCTGCAAAAATTTCTTGATCTGCCTCTGGCTACTGCCATGGGAGAGATTGAGGATCGGGTGTACATAACTGATGTTTCATATAACTGAAATGTGTATGGACCCTCTTGTTTTCAAGGCCACCCTCTACATAAACTGGTGTGATACGACTCAAGTCGCCTTTGATGGCCTCCACTAGTATAGCCCTTCGCCAAGGCCATCGTGGCTTAAAGCGGCGGAGCTGTAAAAGCATGCATGAAGCGACTTGTGTAATGCCGGCAAGTTAAGCCACGATGGCAAAAGGATACCCCTAGTAGAGAGGCCCTTGCCACAACAAATGTCACAAACGGATTCTCATTTGTGGACGCTCTGAATATCGTTGAAGGTTACACTTTGTTCGTAATCAAAATGTTTTTTCTTTAGTGTGGACCCTCTGATGTCTATGAAGACTACCTTGCTGCGAAAAAACATCTACCACAAACGTCACAAGCAAATGGTTTTTCATTAGTGTGAACTCTCTGATGCTGTTGAAAGTTACCTTTTTGCGAGAAGCCTTTGCCACAAATGTCACAAACAAATGGTTTTTCATTAGTGTGGACCATCTGATGTGGCTGAAGTTTCTTTTTCGCAGAGAAACCTTTGCCACAAATGTCACAAACAAATGGTTTCTCATTAGTGTGGACCCCTTGATGATCTTTAAGTCTATTTTTCTGTGAAAAACACTTCCCACAAACTTCGCAAACAAATGGTTTCTCATTAGTGTGAACTCTCAGGTGCAGTTGAAGGTTGCCTTTTTGTGAAAAGCCTTTTCCACAAATGTCACAGACAAATGGTTTCTCGCTAGTGTGGACCCTATCATGTCGCTGAAGTGTGCCTTTCTCAGAGAAACTTTTGCCACAAGTGTCACAAACAAACGGTTTCTCATTAGTGTGGCTAATCCTATGTCGTTGGAGGCTATTGTTATGAGAGAAGCATCTGCCACAAATGTTACAAACAAATGGTTTCTCATTACTGTGGACCATGTGATGTCGTTGAAGCGAACCTTTCCAAGAGAAGCCTTTGTCACAGGAAGTGACAAATGTTTTTTCTTTAGAGTGGACCCTCTGATGTTTTAAAAAACTTACTTACTGCGAAAAACATCTACCACAAACGTCACAAGCAAATGGTTTTTCATTAGTGTGAACTCTCTGATGCTGTTGAAAATTACCTTTTTGTGAGAAGCCTTTGCCACAAATGTCACAAACAAATGGTTTTTCATTAGTGTGGACTATCTGATGTAGCTGAAGTGTACTTTTCGCAGAGAAACCTTTGCCACAAATGTCACAAACAAATGGTTTCTCCTTAGTGTGGATCCTCCGATGATCTTTAAAACTACCTTTCTGCGAAAAACATTTTCCACAAACTTCGCAGACAAATGGTTTCTCATTAGTGTGAACTCTCAGATGCAGTTGAAGGTTACCTTTTTGTGAAAAGCCTTTTCCACAAATGTCACAGACAAATGGTTTCTCGCTAGTGTGGACTCTATCATGTCGCTGAAGTATGCTTTTCTCAGAGAAACTTTTGCCACAAGTGTCACAAACAAACGGTTTTTCATTAGTGTGGCTAATCCTATGTCGTTGGAGGCTATAATTATGAGAGAAGCATTTGCCACAAATGTTACAAACAAATGGTTTCTCATTACTGTGGACCATTTGATGTCGCTGAAGCGAACCTTTCCAAGAGAAGCCTTTGCCACAAATGTCACAAAAAAAGTGTTTCTCTTTAGTGTGGACCTTCTGATGATTTTGAAGACTGCCTTTCTGCGAAAAACAATAGCCACAAACTTCGCATACAAATGGTTTCTCATTGCTGTGTATTTTCCGATGCTGTAGAAGGTTCCCGTTTTGTGAGAAGCTTTTGCCACAAACGTCACAAACAAATGGTTTCTCGTTAGTGTGGACCCTCTGATGTCGCTGAAGTTCACTTTCCTTAGAGAAGCCTTTGCTACAAATGTCACAAACAAACGGGTGCTCATTAGTGTGGACACTCTGATGATATTTGAGGCTACCAGTATGAGCGAAGCGTCTGCCACAAATGTCACAAACAAATGGTTTCTCAATAGTGTGGACCCTCTGACGTCGTTGAAGCATAGTTTTCGTAGGGAAGCCTTTCCCACAAATGTTATGAACAAAAGGTTCCTTTTTTATAGTATGGAGCATCTGATGATCGTGAAAACTGCCTTTCTGCGAAAAGGTTTTGCCACAAACTTCAACAAGAAGTGGTTTCTCATGACTTTGACGTCTTTGATGGTGTAGAAGGTTCCCGTTTTGTGTGAAGCTTTTGCCACAAACGTCACAAACAAATGGTTTCTCGTTAGTGTGGACCCTCTGATGTCGCTTAAGTTCACTTTTCTTAGGGAAGCCTTTGCTACAGATGTCACAAACATACGGGTGCTCATTAGTGTGGACACTCTGATGATATTTGAGGCTACTACCATAAACGAAGCGTCTGCCACATATGTCACAAACAAATGGTTTCTCAATAGCGTGGGCCCTGTTGTGTTTCTGAAGTATACTTTTCTCTGAGAAACATTTGCCACAAATGTCACAAACAAACGGTTTCTCATTAGTGTGGCTAGTCCTATGTCGTTGGAGGCTATTATTATGAGAGAAGCATCTGCCACAAATATTACAAACAAAAACACCTTTCTGGGAGAAGCTGTTGACACACATGTCAGAAACAAATGGTTTCTCATTTGGTGTGGACCCTGGTTTGTCTTTGTTGGTTTCCATTATGCGAGAAGCCTTTAGCACAAATGTGACAAACATATGGTTTGTTTTTTAGTGTGGACCCTGTAATGTTTTTGTAGGATACTACTAGTCGAGAATCCTTTTTCCACAAATGTCACCAACAAATTGTTTCTCATTCGTTTGGACGCAGTCATGTCTTGGTTGTCTGCTTCTCTTTTGTTTGACGTTTGGATGAAGCGCTCTCTTGTTAGTTTTGTTGATGGCGCTCACTGTAGCTGATACAGGGCTTCAATGACGGAAGCACTTCCAGGGTCCTGCATGGTGAAAAGCAGGCATTTTATTAATCAAGTATGGTCTGAATGACATTGTATACTGGTACTTCCTTGTCAGCAGATATTCCATTTGAAAGTTGTACAAAATATTTTGATGGCATAATCTTATTGTGGTATCAACACTGCCCAACAATCTCACTTAATATCCATAGAAACAGGCAATTTGCACCTTGGGATAATAATTTGGGTTGAGGCTGGACCAACAAGCCATCAATTTCAGGCTCCTACATGTATCAGTCTTATGTTTTAACCCTAACTCCCAAGGCTTTTTTGCTAGGATGTAGCCTCAATCCTGTAAAATCCTTCACTTGGCCTCATGGAAAAATATGGAAAAATAGCATACAGCCTAAATCCTGCAAATTCCTCCATTATGTTTTGAATATGGTCCATGGAGAGGTTACCGGTGCCTAAATCCTGCAAAACCCTTTGGCTATGTCTGTCCATGGGCTGAGGCAGAGGCAATGACATCCTGGAGCAGTGCGGAGGATTTCAAGTATAATATACACAACAACACAAGGTCCGGCCCAAAACCTTGACACAGTGCGTCCTCCGAAATCAGCAACGCACTTTTGAAATGTAACCTCGATCCTGCAAATTCTTCCAATTTGCAAAAAGGATTTTGGAGGATTTGGGATGGTTAGGTATAAACCAGAGGAGTAGTGTCGGCATCTGTATTTCAATCAACGTTTCTCAGTCCCTTTCCCTTTATGGAATTTGTGACTTAACGTTGTATGACTACAGAGTGTACCAATGGGATGTGTGCACAAACAAGAAAGGGGGCTTTTTTACCACTTTGAGAGCCCCGTGGACGCCTGAGCATTAAGTGTCTTTGGATTGAAGCAAGGGCTGATCCAGAACACATTTTTTTTTGGGGGGGGGGGCAACAAAATGGTGGTCCCCCAAAAAGTGGGTCAAAAAGACTACCGCGTGGGGTTCCGGGCTCGCTTAAGCAACCTCGTCCCCAGTGCTTACTTTATTTCCAACATCTTTTCCAATAGTAAGCCCTGGAGTATCATCATTCGATACCGCAATGTGCTAATAATGGATTTATATCGTGTAGTTGGTGTTGTAATTTCCAACGTGCACTACGTGTTTTCAAGATCATTGTAATTATAACGTCCACACCTCCTCAATAATACTCCTTTTTTCCCCCAGTTTGCTCATATTAATATGAAATGTGACACTATTGTACATGTACATGTACATGTACATGAATATATTGGTGGGCCAGATTGTAACATTTTAAACTTAAACAAAAATGTGTTTTCATAACTCACGGCGGGATGAATTGATGTTGTTTTTACCCAAGACACCGCATACAAAAACAAACGCTAATGTAACGGACATGCAGGCACCAGACTATTCCTCATTTGCATACGTGTTAAAAATCTTGAACGTGCAAACGATCTAATCCCAGGGTGAGTGGTGGGCGCGTACTGCTCGACACCCTGGGTATGAGGTTGCCACTTAAGGGCTCCCCCAATTTTTTTGAATTCTAGATGCTCTGTGGTGCAATCTTGAGGCAGTTTCTAACCACTTTTACCAATTTTAGGAAAAGACGGCAGTGTACACAGTGCCTGCCTTTATTGTGACGTCACTTTAAAAAAAAATGTTTGGGGGGGGGGGGGGAGGCCCCTGTTTTCCCCCTGGATCCTCCCTTGTTTTGCAGTGCGTTCGAAGGTCTATTCAAGTGATATGCACCTAAACTGACAATTTTGGATGAAGTTCCAAGATACCGTAGCTGCTGCTATTGGTTCCCAACCATGCTCTGATGATGGACTATTCAGAAGATTTGGGATTTTGCGATCAACATACATGTACATGTAAATTACATACATTGTAATACATGTACATGTACATGTACATGTATGTGACCTGCCATAGCATAATGAGGAATAACCCTCACCTTTGACTTTTCACTTTGTGTACATCATGGTAAAGGGCAAATCATAAGTTGGCTTTCCAATGATAGGCCTACCAAATTTATTTCTGTAGCTTAATTTATTCCAAAGATATGACACAGGAACTTCAACAGAGAAAAAAAATGGCTTTGAAAAAAAAGAAACGTATTGCGCCGCTAATGGCAGTGAAAGACGTTCTTCAGTTTTTCCACTTTTGTGGGTATTTTTTTCCCAACTAATATGCATAGTGTGAATCTCGGATGCATGTACCTTGGCTACTCAAAAATACAAAAGAATCAATATCAATTTTCACATGATTTTTACGACTTCAGGTGTCGATAACCCAAAACAAGGTTTTGGGGGACATTCCTCATTTTGCCTTTGTAGGTCACATACATGTATACATGCAAATGTTATAGCCTTGAACACTTTCCGTGTGGCTCCATGTGCAACATCATATTAAAGTTGGAGGATTCAGGACAGTTACTGTTAGGGGTACATGGAGCTACAGGGCGATCGTGAAGTGTAGGGCCCCTGTATTGTTTTGATAAAATTAGAGTCAAAACTATTTTTGCTTGCTCAAAAATCACCTTTACAATCAAAAGCAGGCTTTTCTCAATTCTTATCGTTTTGCAATTTTGAATAGATTCTTGGTGTAGAAATCACAATTTTCCTGCGTGGTTTGTGCCTTGCTATTCAGTGAGCTGTGCGTGCTCACTGTATATGGCGCAGTGATTGCCATCGGGTACGTCGTGTGTACTCCTAGAACTATGAGGCTCCACGTATACTAGTTCTAGGAGTACGTCGCGTGTTGTCGCTGTGCTGTCATCGTCATTTTACCCCCAAATTTCCCTCAAAAATCAAAACCTGCCTTCTATCTATGACATACCTGTTTATTGAGAATGTCGCCAACTAGATTTTGTCCCCTTATATAGGAACCGGGCCCTACACTTAGTACACGATCGCCAAAACAGGCATGACAGGGGCCCTTCACTACACGATCGCTAGCCCCATAAATGTGGCTTATTTACTGGACTGCCTCCGTAAACATACATGTAGGCCACACATCCACATGTACAAAAACGTGTCGACTTTGCCAAATTTTGATTTTCACATTTAGGCTTACTAATTGTAGGTTTTTTTTGCTTTAGAAGCATTCTCACCCTCTATATAGGCTAATCAGAAAGTGCTGCCTTTTTCAGATGTCTAATTTTTGTGAAATTTCATGTTGAAATTTTGATACGCAAACGTGTGCAAATGTACATGTATCTGAAAAAGGCAGCACTTTCTGATTAGCCTATATAGAGGGTGAAAATGCTTCTAAAGCAAAAAAAACCCTACAAAGTAAGCCTAAATGTGAAAATCAAAATTTGGCAAAGTCGACACGTTTTTGTACATGTGGATGTGTGGCCTATGTTTACGGAGGCAGTCCAGTAAAGGTTTCGATCCAACTCGGACCCAAACCAAGTCGGACCCATGCCAACTCGGACCCATGCCAACTCGGACCCACTACCAACTCGGACCCACGCCAACTCGGACCCACTACCAACTCGGACCCACTACCAACTCGGACCCACTACCAACTCGGACCCACAACCAACTCGGACCCACTACCAACTCGGACCCATGCATGACCAACTCGGACCCATCGTTAACAATCATTCGACAGCGTTTTCAATCATTCGACAATTTCATAAAGTCTGTCCACTTATCTGTTAATACAGTGATGCTGTTAAGCATAAATTTTCATTGTAGTTGTCAGGTAAAATAGCTGTATTGCAGCAGTTTGTCATTGTAAAGTGCATTGATATGCTAGTTTAATTAATTATTAATTTTTATTATTTGTTTCCATTGAAACATATTGCGCTTTAACCAAAAGTAATTAAAATTAAAGTTTAACCAGTTATTCATTTTCATATTTGACATCGTTCACGCCATCTTGCTCAATTTAACAGCAATTTAATTCATTTTTAATTCAAACCAGTGTTGTGGGTCTCGAGACCGGTCTCGGTCTCGAGACCGGTCTCGAGACCACTTTTTGCTGGTCTCGGTCTCGGAAGCTGTGGTCTCGGTCTTGGGCCCAACTGGGATAAACTGCAATAGGACGTTTGCGATAATGCCCCCCTCCCTTCCCCATGATATTCTGATGCCCCCTCTGGCCCCACTAAGAAAATCCTAGCTACGCCACTGGGTGGGACTCGTGTCATGGTGTCACTGCCAACACTATTGTGCAAAAGTGAATGTGATCTGCTGGAAAATATTGACGACTTAATACAACAGAAAAAAAACAAGCAAACAAACTTGTGCTAACTCCATGAGCATCCCTTGTGCCTACTTTGTTCTTTGCAAAATGCCATAATTCAGGTTGTTGACGCGCCCAAGCAGGTGTCCATCATGGTTGAATGTTCCCGAGTCAGATTAGTCTTTCTAATTAGCAATTATCTTTCATACACTTCGATCTTTGCAGCGGTAACCTTTTTACCCGCTTCACTGAACTGATCAAGGGTTGCCGATACTGCCGAATGAACTTGCCGCTGTTTGTGTGTGAACCGGGGACCGCGCGTTGGTTCAACCGCGAAGATTAATCTCTTGGCGTTGGTGATCAGCGCTATGAATGGGGGAGAATGATTGACAGATCAATGTTACTGCATGCATTGTGTTTGACATTTTCGAACTGCATTCCTAATTTCCTTAACTTGATGATTACCTTTCTGTGACATATTGAAATCCTTCATTGGGTGTGATTTAATTTGGTTTATATATTTGGCACACACACAAAAAGCAGATGAAAAAGGAAAAACATTGCACATAGATATCCATTTCTTCATGTGAATCAGTAATAAGAGAGCAAAACCAACGAAGTATGATCAAACAACAAAACTAAAAGCCCCATTCTGACCAATATAATTACAGAATATCTTCACTATATAAGCACTGTAACATTAAGATGACCTATAAATATAATCTCTGAAACTAATGATAAAGTCATTGTTGGGTCCGAGTTGGTCGTGCTTGGGTCCGAGTTGGTAGTGGGTCCGAGTTGGTCTTGGGTCCGAGTTGGTAGTGGGTCCGAGTTGGTCTTGGGTCCGAGTTGGTAGTGGGTCCGAGTTGGTATTGGGTCCGAGTTGGCGTGGGTCCGAGTTGGCGTGGGTCCGACTTGGCATGGGTCCGACTTGGTTTGGGTCCGAGTTGACCTGATACCCCAGTAAATAGGCCACATTTATGGGGCTACGCCAGACCATGTCCGAATGTTAAAAAAGCGATAAGTTGGGTCCAAGTTACTCAGACTACAGAAAGCCTACCTTTGAAATAAGTACCTTCTACTGAAGATGGAAGTGGAAAAATCCTCAATCTTGAGCAAAACAAATCAAGGAACATGACATTGACAAACAAAATATTCATCGCAAGTTGGCCAGCATCCGTGCTAATGACGCACAGAGAGATATGCAGAGATCTTACAAATGATCAGTGCGCCCTCAATTGACGTATTTTTGAAAGGGAGTTCATTCGCAGTCAACACAAGCAGAATTACCATTAGTTCATAATGATCAATTGATTAATTCTGCAAAACTGATCACCTATATTTCTTAAAGTTAGCTATATTTAGGAAGATTAAAATCTCTTCTTTCCTCTGATACCTAGATCTTGCATATACATGCATCTTAAAGTTTCAAATTGTCAAATGAAAAAAAGGACCAACTTTAAACACGATTATCTCGAATGTTTCTTGTTCAGAAATACTAAATTCGCCTCTGCGGGGCAGCTCCTTCCCCGAGGGACCGCGGGCCGGCTGTCCGACGGGGCAGTCGGATAAACCGATCCCTGCGGTCCAATTTCAGACCTGAGCCTGGGCGTCCCCGGGCCCCGAGATCTGTGCCTTGGGTGACCCGCTCCGGCCGCGCCGTACGTCTCCCCCGGCCCACCCTGGGCACTCGGCGGCGCTTCCAGAAAACCCTTGCCTGTCACTCCCGCCTACACCCGGAAGACACGGTGGCCGCCTCCCTCCCCCCCCCCCCCCGGGAACGAGTGCTGGCCGGGCACAACCAAACCTCGGCACCTTATTTTTTCTCTCTGATCGGTAATGATCCTTCCGCAGGTTCACCTACGGAAACTTTGTTACGACCTTCACTTCCTCTGAATGATCAAGTTCGATCCGAGGGTCTCACTAAATCTGAAATGTAGACCGTTTTTTTTTTCTCCAGAAACTTTGTTATCGAAAAATCAATATGTGGGGCGCCTTTCGAATCCGATGATTATTAACGCTATACTGAGAATAGTGTACAAACACCCCCACCCAAGCTGACTCTGTTCGTGATTTTTGGCACAGGCGGCGCCGGGAATATTACAAGTACAATTGTTTGGGGTGTCCGAGCGTGGGGGTACATTCGGAGCAAAAGAAATTGCTTGAACCCCCACCACCCCCACCCACACACACCCACCCTCACCCACCCTCACCCACTCCCCCACCCCTAATCCTCAGTTTATCAATTTATTTGAAAAATTGCTGCTGCCTTGCTGGATAGATTTGTCAGTTGTCCCTTTCCGTTATTCTTAGCGCCTATTTTACCCACCTCGAGCCAGATATAACGGGGAAAGGGGGAGGGTGGTTGCAGAGTGGCAAATTGCAACCGGCTACAGATTTTAAGAGCAAGCCTGGCGGGGACGCGCGAAACCAAAATTGGGCCTGCGACAAAATTTCGCCAACTACTGTCCGAGAGTTATGTCCGCTTTTAAGGTAGCAGAACAGTAAATAAGCTGCCATATACCCCAATAATAAATGCCCCCTCTTTAGAAATTCAGAAAAAAAATACTCACAGCTCTCTAAGGTGTTCGAGAATCACTTCAAATTAAAGTGTATTTCCATCCGAAGATGATCACCCCTTAAAGAAGACCTGAAGCCCGTCGCCATTTGCAAAAACGATGCCTACACCCAAATTGTACAGAACTACAAGCTTAAAGTCCTGTGCAAGGCTTCCACCCATATTTACAAATACATGGCCCACAATATGCTCAAATAGCGAAGGATTTAAGGGCATACAAATAGCGCTTTGGCCGGCGTAGCCAAATTTGGACCGATTTACTGGCCTGCACCATTTAAAAAGCTGCAGCTATAATTATTTCTTTGTATATAGGTCACTGAGTAGAACCTTGAAAGACATCCCCACTTCATACAGAAGATTCTGTGATGCTCATCAGCCCTTCCCGGCCCAGCGCCCTAGGCCCTGTTTGCAGGGCTAGGGCGGGGGTACGAGCGAAGCGCTATGGTGCACGTCATCATGAACAGTGCCCCCTGGGTAATGTGGTGGCTTGGTTAATGTTGTTTTCGTCTACATTTTAACTCTAAAAGGGCCAGAGCTGAAATCCGCCCCCCCCCGGCTGTGAGACGGTAAAATAACCCGGCCCTTTTATAAAGAGTTAATTTATTTTTTATAGAATTGAGGATGATAATGTACTGTTGCTCAGGCCAATGAAAGACTGTTGGAAACAGCGAAGTCGAGCAGAACAGAAGCCTGATTTACAGTGTTAACAAACAAATCCGTAAACATTAGTTGCTATTTTTTTTAAAAGACGTCCATATAATGTTGAAATAGTAGTGACGGAGTTCAGAATCTGTTTCTGTAAGAGACTTACACTATAACACATAATCCCATGGGTAACTTGAAACCCTTGAACAGCTCAAATTCCTGAAAATATTTTTTTTTATTTTATATATTGCATCATGTTAACAAGAAAAAGCAAGGAAATCACCCCCTAGAAAACTTAAGATCTAAAAAAGAAAAAGAAAAAAGGAGACCATGGAACACAGGCAAAAAACCCAAACGACCGACAAACAGACCCCACCCGACAAACGTAAGACGTGCAACTGGACAAAAAACAGATTCCAAAGAGACAATCCAACAAGAAACAAATGACCCCACAGACAAAAAAAAAACACAACCTCTGAAAGGAGACAGACAAGGAGCAAAAACAGAACAAAACAGACGAGACAAAACAAAAAACAAAGGGAAAAACAACAAACCTACAAACAGACCGACTAACAGTCCGCCCACCCAGCAGAAAGACAGACGGAAGACAAACAACCCAACAGACAAACGTACTAATGAAGAAACGACCCAGGAAACAAGCAACAACGGCACAAGCAACGACGGCGCAAGCATACAAACAAAAGCCCTAAGCAAGATAAACAAACACACAAACACCCCAACAACAAGCACATTAAACAAGAACAAAACGGATTAAAGTCCCATCCGTACAAAACTTAGGGAGTCATGTAGTTCACACCAGGAGTCAGCCAGTGTACCCTCAGTTTAGCAATGAAAGTGTTCAGACCAAAGATCAGGCTACCCACAACGAAGGCGGGCAGGGTGTCCCACAAACGGGGGAATCTGACAAAAAGTGACTCATGAAAAGCTTTAGTTCTAGAATAATGGTGAATAAATTTAACATCGTCAACGTGTCTAGGATTAAGGTTGATATAGCTCTCTGATTCGATGTCGAATTTGTTATAGATGCATTTGGCTACAAAAACAACTGCCAAGAAATTCAACCTATTCGTTAAGTAGGACAAACCCAGCTTGGTACAACGGATCGAATACTCCATATTATCCCTGCTGGAATTCGGCAAATGACGTCTTGGAAGGCCCAAGCAGAAATGAGTAAATCTCCTCTGAACTCCTTCCGAGGATGTTAGTTGGGAAGGAGAACTTGAGTACCAAACTGGGACAGCAAACTCAAGAATAGGTCTGACAAGAGAGCTATAAAGTGTGACAAGAATATGAGGGTCTTTACAGTTAACAAGTCTTCTAGTAAAACTAGACATCTTAGTAGCTTTAGAGACCACTGAATTTACATGATGACTACAGGAAAGATCTCTGGAGATAACCAACCCAAGATATTTACAGTGATCAACAAAATCCAAGTTTCGAGAATCAATCTGATATGTGGGTCTATGTGGGGTTCTGGAGCGAGTAATAGACATCAGTTTACATTTGTCAATGTTAAGCTTCATATGATTGAGATTACACCAGGTAACTATGCTACATAGATCATTTTGTTATGTGAGCTCATCATTCTTCAATTCAATTCAATTCATTTTAATTCAAAATACTTTATTTATCCCTAAAAAGGCAATTACATATGGTTGGACAGCTCATTAAAGACACTTAGTAAATTACAAGTCAAGTAAATATAAATACATAAAACTTACATCAATCACAAACAACATGTCCTTATCTCAATTAAAATTGGTGTAAAATCTCATCTTATCTAAAAAATAGTATCTTATTTATTTATTTATTTTCTTATTTACCCTGGGGAAACCTCTCAGAGGTACACTGTTTTCCAGAGGTGCCCAGCAATTATACAGAACAATTCATTGAAAACTACAATTACAGAAAACACTAGAAAAAGTCAATAGTAAAATATGGGTACATAAAAACACGTAAAAAAAAAAAATAATAATAATCATGGACCATCCAGTAAAAACAAACAATAAACAGATACACACACCCAAAGAAATTGCACTAGAAATACCCAAGAGCACCCATGCACTGCCTAAAACTCTGCGTGAATAATATTAAATCGTAATTGCGCATAAATTGTCAGCATGATGAGCAGTTCTCAAAAAGCTTCAAGCAACCAAAGCCAGAGGTCAAGCAATTTGCCCCATTATAACAGACGCATTATCGATGGGTACTGCACTAGTTCATTAAAACAGCAGGTTTTCGTATGTTTAGACGATTAATGTACACATGATGAAAAAAAATAAACAGTTTCCAATTTAAAATGATGAACCTAATGGTCTAATAGCCACTGGAGTAATGAGAGCTCGATTAATGATAATGATACTGATACTGATACCCGTGATTAATGGTTGCATATAAAAATGACAAATAAAATGATGAACATAAAAACATGCAAATAATAATCAGTTGTTTATAAGTCTAATAGCCACTGGGGGGAACGAGAACTTCCTTTTGTTGGTTTTACATGGAGGGCATCTTATGCGGCGTCTCGATGGAAGAAACTCAAGCATGGTTTTCAACACATGCTACTTGCTAGAAATGGTCCTATAAATCACAGTGTCGTCCGCATACTGCCTTAAACTACCGTCACCGTACGGTGGCAGCCATGTTAGAGTATGGCCTTATGGGATACTTACCCAAGTAACCGGCTCAGGGGTCGGTTACTTGGGCCATGCTCGAGTAAGCCTAAGAAAACACGTGTGTGTTAAATCGAACGCAGTCGCTCTGACGAGTAAGTTCGTGGCAAGTAGTCGAAGACGCTAAATATATCTGAAATATCGCAGCAGTAAGAGGGGAATTATGGGTAGAAACTGGATTCCGCCAATCACAGCAAGGGCTATGGTGTAGCTACCCGTGGTGTCGTACAGCCAACCTACAGCGGAGAAAAAAGAAAGACAAAAAAGTTGCTGTTAAGTTTTATTTATCTGTTTGGCAGAAATAGTTATCTGTAAAGTTAGTGCTTGGGAAATGGAATATAGCTTATTGTGTTTGTATTGGAACGGATTTGCCGAAAAATAACATGTTTGGCTGTAACGTTATTCCCATATTCATGTCTGGTGTTATGTTCTTTTATGTGTTGTTTGTGTGTGCAACTTATATTTTTGTATGATTGTAACTGGGTATCTCTACTCGACAAGCATTGCTTTTTAGGGATCCCCATCCACATATTTTGTATACATTTAACTCTGATTGTCTTTTTTTCATGTGGAAAATAAAGTGAATTGAATTGAATTGAATTAAATTTTTATCTATGATAAAACAAACAAACATTTTCGTATTCGTTTCAGACTTAAAATCATTCACAAATCATTCCGTATCAATTTCAGTCACAAGCTATTTTAATGATCAAAATGATCTGTAATAATGGAACTTGTGACCTAATTTGATCCTTGAATTGAGACTGGTCTTCTGATTGGCTTGTGATGGACCTGCGATTGGAATTGCGATTGACTTGTGATTTGACTTGTGATTGGTTTATGATTGACTTGTGATTGACTTGTGATTGGTTTGTGATCGGCTTGTGATTGACTTGTGACTTGACTTGTGATTTGATTGTGATTTGACCTGTTATTGACTTGTGATTTGACTTGTGATTGGTTTGCGATTGACTTGTGATTTGACTTCTGATTTTTTTGTGATTGACTTGTGATTGGTTTGTGATCGGCTTGTGATTGACTTGCGATTTGACTTGTGATTGGCTTTTAATAGACTTGTGAACTGACTTGAAAATGGGTATGTGACTGAATCGTGATTGCCTTGACAACAAATTGAATTCATTCCATCATGCAAAGCTTCAACTAAAAGTGTATTTACACCAACCTGGGAAGAATCCAAGAGAGAATGCCAACAGACCAATCTTAATCCCGATCCAACCGTACGCCCCGGCTAACAACTCAACTCCTAACAACTGCTTCATGAGAACGTCATTCAAACTGGATATTATGCCGTCACCGATCAGAATAAGGCACATCGTCGTCACGAGCGGCCAATACGAAGTCAGCCATGGCGTGGCGCAATACGACACGGTACTGAACACGATAGCAATGGCCATGAGGCACCAAGCTGGTATCCATCCGCGGTCTACCAGTAACCCCTGGATGAGTTTCGTGACTAGACTCAAAATGCCGCCGATTGTGACGATAGAGGCTGCCTCCCCGACTGTCAAGCCGTTTGACTCTGCGACCGACACAAAATAGATGACAATCATGCCGCTTGCAAACTTGGTATTACAAATCATCAACGCGATGGACCAGTACCTAAGATCCTTCAGCAATCCGAGGTCCAAATTACTGGAAGCTTTCTTCACGAACTCCCCACAACAAGATGCGAGGCCGCTTCTAGCTTCTTCAGAGGCAGCGGCATCATTACCCCCCTTGAGTTGTTGGTAGTCGTTTCTCGTGCCAATGTTAGCCGTCATCATCAGAGCCCCGCAAGCCGAGAAATGAAGCAGGATTCCGCCCATGAGCAGCATGGCGCCCCTCCAGCCGTACGTGTCTAAGAAGAGTTGGACTAGGGGCGCGAAGGAGAATAAGCCGATGTTGTACCCCGTTTGTGCCCAGCCGGTGGCTGTGGCGTAGTTTGTCTGAAAAGTGCGACCGACTGCCTCTTTTGCGAGCACACCTGAAACTCCGAAGCCAGTACCTGTCGAGACATTCAAAGAAACAATAACGATTATAATATGGTATTACACAGTGGCTTATGACATTGGCTTTCCAGTCATGATTGTTTTTGGTGCTACATATTCCTTTTTTTTTTAATACGAAATGTATTGGGGGCCAGCTTTTTTTTTTACTCACCCTGTATAGTCTGGACAAGCTTAACATGTTATACAAGAAAAGCCAAAAGAGTTGCCGAAATAACCTTGCTTTTTTTCTGACACTGGGACATTTTCTTGTTAGGTTGTACTGTGTCCTTTTTGTTTTGCTCAGTGACATTAATTGAGTGTGTTTTCGGCCAGCAGAAATTTATTCAACAGGTTTCATAATTTGACCTAGCCCGATTGGACTATCTCAATACTGTTTATGAGAGTCCCAAAACTGAAGGTATTGAAAACATGCAGTACATGAAAATGGACTGGCACACGATACAACCCTTCAGTACGCACTGCATCAATCAACTGTGTCAAAAGAAACATATTACATTTCTGGTGCCACTCTCTATTTCTACCTATTTCTCCACAGTCAGCCACCAGACTAATGACAAATGAGAGGTCAGTCTTTTCAAACAGTTGGACCAAGGATAGATAATGTACCAGTCTAGCTGATAGCCTCATTTTGAAACCACTTGACTTTCCTCTCATTTGCAAAATATTACCGAAAAGTCTGCTTTAAAAATTGAATTAAGTGTTCAAACTTGGTTGGTGAAATACTGAGGACCTTTTCTTTTTCCAATAAAATTTGTGGAGGATTTTGCTGACTAAGAGACTGATATTTTTTTGCGTGCTTTGAACAAGGTCCCAGTCTGGATTCGACATAAATATTGCTCACCTGCCAACAGGATACAGAAACAAGCCAACTGGACCACACTGGTCGCATAGGAAGTTGCGATGGCGGACAGGCTAATCAGCGCACCACAAATCATGATGGAAAAACCCATGCCGAAACGCCTGCCGAGAAAACCTGCAAAAACACCTGTAGGGAGAGGGAAAAACACCAAGCTAAATGAGTCGCTTGTCGGGAATTTTCATTTGGAGACTCGGGGCAAAATAGGGCCACTTCATCACATCTCTTGGTGTTCCGACTTCCAGCATGCAGTTTTCACAACAGTAATGCTGAGATATTGTACCTTTTTCAAATCTGTAAAAAAATAAAATTGACCAGGGTCGACAAACGATTCATTTAGGTTGATCGCATCACTTAAAAATTGAAGGAAAAAACAGCTTTAATTTAGGTTTCCCCGGCTAATTTCGTGAAATGTTCATTTACTTCTGAAAATCGGTCATTCGTTTTCGTGTGAATTTGAATGCACATCTTGAATCCCATTTCAATTCAATGAAAGTTCAATCGTTTTCATTGTCCGTGCATTCGGTTTGAGAAACAGACGGCCAATTACGTTACCTGTGCGTTCATTTACGCAAGCAAACCTTTTCTAAACTGATTCAGGTACAGCTAATTTGAATGACGGTTAATGAAAACGAAGCCACTAATTGTATCTGGTGCCGATGTCATTAAATTAAAAGTAAAATAGAATGGTGAATGTTTGAAATCGCACTCTAAAAGCGAAAAAGAAGTCTTGTAAACGAATCTGAATGGACATAAACGAGAGGTGCTGCTCAATCACTTAATTGATTGAACTGAAATGGAATCGAATGCTCTGGTAGCGAAAATGAAACGCATATTCAGAGCGATTCTCAAATTCTGACGAAAATGAATTACCGATTTTCAGAAGTGAATGAACATTTTAGGAAATTGGCCGGGAAAACTTATAATAAATCGATGCGCTGAACTAGAATCCAATCTGACAATGGGATCCTGGAAAAGAAAGATTTTGGCAGGCCTGATGTGGAAGAGGTTGAGGGGGAGGGGGGGGGGTGTCAGCCCCGTTTCCTTTTCCTTACACCGTGAAGTATTCCTTTCAACTGTTACCAACTTAAGTGCACAATATCTTTATAAACAACCCTGGTTATGCAAACAATATGATTCGTAAAATCTACTTTTTAAAAAGACGGGCCTTCAAAAGGACTTTGTTAAACCGAGATTTTATCGCTGGTGATGTTTGATGACTTTGTGACGACGATTCTATCGTGAAATCGTATTTTTAGGACGAGACAGGTTTCATGGTCATTGTGTTTAAATGGTGATATTCTTTGACCGGATTGACTAATTTCAGTATTTTTGTTTCATCAAAAATTAGCTTCGGAAATTGGATTTGCAGTCATTATTATTTTTGGCGCTACATAGGGGCCTATTTTTTTTTAAATATGAAATATAATTTTTGGGGTTTGGGTTCCCTTTTTGACTCGCCCTGTTACCATAGATGTCTTTGTCGTAGATCATTTTCTTTAATTCAGTTACATTACGAAGACATAATTAAAACGCGTCCTGAGTGGTCTTCGTTAATTAACAGCTGAGCGAAAATGTCTAAAATCTAAATATTTGTCGAAATGTTCTCCCCCATTGCACTACAGTGCATTTGGCAGGAATGTGATCACTGCAGTATCTGTCATACTTGGTTGCTTGCCAATTTGAACCATTGAATTGCATATCTGTATATCGCTTTCGGTCTCCAATGGAATGAAACGTGCAGGCAATAATATAAAGCTGGCTCCTGTTTATCCAGTTATTTATTGTTTTAATATTTATGTGTGTGACTCCATGCGTGCCAAATTAAAGGGACACTACGGACTGGAATACGCCTAATTGGGCTACAGAACGAGCTTTGAACGAAATGATGTTAATCGGAAAGAATATTCAATAAAAGTAGTATATTAACATCCGCACAACTATCCTTTAAAACTGGGCGTTTTTGTTGTTACTCTTCTGTTATTTTCTGCGAGAAAAAAATTGAGGTCCACTAAGTTGCGCCCCCCAAAAATTGGGCGGTTCTGCTAGTTGTGATTCCAGTCTTTTGTGGACGCGACCACATTTTGTGCGTTGGTGCTGTGCGTGTTTAGATTATTTTATGTGACACGCAACGTGTATCGTACTTTGAATGAAAACGACACGAGAATCGTATGCGTACTCCGTCGTGTCGGATGTAAACAACCGGGTTTTGATCTCGTCTTTTCTCCAAAGTAATTAGGTTTGTTTTCTTTCAACCACATGCTTGAAATAGGCTAAGTAAACAATCCAAAACATGACATTTTCGGGGATTTCAGGCCGTATGCCCCTTTAAATTAAGAGAATGCGATGCGTGCGACATGCGTGTTGGTGTGACGCTACTATAGGTTTCCCCGTCCAATTTCGCACTTAGTGCATGTAAGAGTATAAATAGTTCATTCAATTTTGCTATAGGGCAACCAAAAATTCGAACTAGTCATTCAAAATCGCCATAGGGCAGTCCAAAAAGAAAAACAGTCATTCAGATCACCAAACGGCAGCCAAAAATTCATAATGGGCATTCAGATTCGCCATAGATCAATCAAAAGTGTAAAAACACCATTCAGATTCGTCATAGTGCGTTCAAGTTAGCACGGAAGGACACGTGACTGAAAATAGAGCATTCAATTTCGCCATAGGGTATTCATGTTCATAACTAGTGCATTCAATTTAGCACTGTATTTACATGACTTGTATACAGTAATACATTTTCAAATATTCTTTGCGCGTTTTTCCCAACCTGCAATATGTGTGCTACCAATGACCATTCATAAAAGTTCACTGGACAATTTACATTATTTTTTACAGATGCCTGGACTTCGATAGTTGTATTTGTTTTGTCTCCTAGAGGTGAAATGTAAATCATAGAAGCATTGGCCTGCTTATTAAGCAAGTTATTTTGTTCCTCACCAGCGCCTTGGCGCAAATTGTATATATATTTCTTCTATCTCCTTTGGTAATGCATCCTTTGCATTTCACCTTTTGCTTTTCACATATAATTATCAGCAGCTTGAGAATTTACATTGGCAGACATTACGCAATTAACATCAATGGCTGAAAAAAAATGACTGAGTTTTGAGCTTTGAACTTTAACATGTAAATTTCCTACCAAAGATCAGTAAAATATAACCATCTGCAGTTGCGATATCATATTAAGTATATACATTCAGTAATAATTATGTTTTAAAAAGAATATAAAAGGTTCAACAAAGAATTATTATAAGGGAAGAAAACCGTAATCAATGTCTTAAGTTGTGATGAAAAGATAGTTTCAAAAGATTAAAGTCATATGAAAACAGATACAAGATAAAAAACACAAATTAAATATATATATACAATATGAAAGAAGAAAATCATGATATTGCATACATGCTTTGATTTATGTCTCTAGTCAATGCATATAATTGAAGAGATGGTGCAAATGACCACAAGAAAATATACATTATGAAAGAAAATGTACAAAGATAAAAAAGGCATATGAATTAACAGAGGGAAATGTAAGGAAATTTCCCCACTGTTAATTCATATGGCTTTGGGCCATCCGATAAATATGATTTTTATTCGGCGACTTAATATAGACAAAGCAAGCTAATAAAGTGGAAGAAGATATAAACATGAGAAAGCTATAAAAAAAAATAGATAAAAAATTACATGTGCTAAATTGGATGCACAAATTGTATAATTGGATGCCCTATGGCAAAATTGAATGCTCTAACTTAGCTCGAGGGGGTTTCAAGGGCGAACTTGGTTGCACTATGTACGAATTCGTATGCCGATTTGCGAATTTGGTTGCCCTGAAGCAATTATGAATGCCAATTGGCCATTTTGGCTGCACTATAGCGAATTTGCATGCCGATTGGTGATTTTGGCTGCCCTATCCGCGAAATTGAATGACCTATTTATACTTTCTCATGCACTATGTGCGAAATTGAATGACCTATCTTTACTTTTGCATGCACAAAGTGCGAAATTGGACGGGAAACCTATATTAAGCCAACTGTGTGTACCTGAAATACCAGCCACAACTGTAATCAGTGAGGATATCCATCCCATAGTCCACGTCGCTGCTCCAAGCTGGTCTTGTATCGTCGGCAACATGATGCCAAGTCCCTTGAGGACTCCAGGCCACATGAAATTCCTTGTCCAAAGGGCTAGGCCGGCGATCCAGGCGACTTTACCCCCGTCGACTGGCGGGCTGGACTTGGGCGCAGCCATCGCAAACAATATGGCAGCCTTGCGCTCACTCAGTAATAACACTGCTCTGTGTATTTTACCTGGTTGAAAACCATGGTCGTTTGAGACTGGATCAAAAGACACAAAGGCACTCAGCAGGCTCATTATAATTGTTCAATGCGTGGTACCCTGCCTTTTTCAATACTTTTGTCACAGCTGAAATAGCCTATTCTCTCTTCAAGGCTATATTTATGAATATGAAACCCGGTAGCCTATAGCCTTGGTCAATGCTCTCGTCGTTATTCGTCCCGTACGCGGTCAATCGTCACGCGCTATGCACATGCATGTAAAAATACAGCGCGAACAGCGACCTCATGCGGCCACTATTTTTATATGCAAATCAGTTGGGGACGATCGAGAGCCTGCCACTTGGCATGTGGTGTAAATCGAGAATTTTCTTTTGTTCCTCTTCCCTTTACCATTTTGTTTGTATAACTTTTTCGCAACACCTCTCATTGGTTTTGTACACGTTTTCTAATCGAGGTCGTCCTCGATTTGGTTCCTGTCCTCGATTCACCGATGATGTTGCAGGTGTGTGTCCTTGATTTACACCATAAACAAGCTCAAGCACACATAGGGTTCGTGTATAGAGGAGAAAGTATTCAATGTGTTTCTTTTTTCTCTCTCTATTTTATTAATCAGGTTTGATATTTTTCTCTTTTTATTGTCTCAGTCAGGTTTTGATTTGTATAAACTTATTAATTAATTTGTCTATTCTGCAGACAACATTTGTATATCACTGATTTATTTTCATTCTGCTCCAGCATTAATTACTTGCTTCATTGATATTTAGCCTTTCTTTTTACTCGTCTTTGTTCATGTTCATGATGTTCTACGTTTCCTATGCGTCTTTTTCTTTTGCTGTACAGTGGTTGATATATGCTTTATGAATAAAAGACATGAATTAAGTCCAGAAACATGGTAGATGCACAGCGGCGGTGGAGCGGTTTTCAAACGGGGGGGGGGGGGGGGGGCATCACCAAAAATAGGCAATTGCTCAGTTAAGAGGCATCTTCCGTCGATGCAGTAGCGTATCCAGCATTGTTTTCTTTTTTAGGGGGTTGGGGGTGGGGGGTTGGGGGTGGTAAAATGTAGACACATTTTCTTCACCGGACACTTGGCCTCCGTAAACTCAAATACTGGGGGAGGGGGAAGGGAGTACCATCTTCCAAAATAGGGGGTGCTCTTCAAAACCGGCCATTATGCGAACTACAAATTAAGTGCCCATTGTCGGGGCCCATTGTAATGGTTTTGGGCCTTGCTTTTCATATTCATCGTTCATGTTACTGAAACAAAATTATAACAAAATTGAGGGCAAGTTTGGTGTTCATCTCGAGCGAGTACATTTATGATCGAGGAGCCACATTTATTTCAACAAGGGGGCACTTGGAAAAAAAGGGGGGCAAGTGCCTCAAAACATAGGAATATTCATATTAGAGTGATTTTTGAGACCGTTATTGGGTTTACAGACACTAAAGATCAATGAAAGCATTTTAAAATCTGTATGACGTCATCAAACTAGTGTTTTCCAATTGGCTATTATTGGGTATATTCAGTACCATGTATAGTTTATTAAAAACGACGAATATGGGGTACTTTAATACACGCAGTATAGCAAATTCTAGCAAATATATTTGGCATCAACGAAAAGCTTTCATAAACTACCTTTATTTGCTACCTGTGCGTTCTTTCAGCAAAACGAAAAAAATCACACACATCCCTATGTGTCTTGTTTTCGTTTTGCTGAAAGAACACTTACCGTTTTGTGATCTGTGGACAGAACTTTAAAACGGTGGTTGTGTTTAAAAGTACGTAACTTGAAAAGTACATAAGTGATTTGAATGATTCTTGTACTAAAAGAAAGCTTATGAATTGAGCATATATATATCCTAGATTTTGAAAGTGCTACATTTAGAACTTCACTAAAACAATGGTCCTAACATTTGGGTTTCGGGTTTTTTTGCTCACCCTGTATTTGTATACTTAGATATCACCCACAGTGTGTGGTATGCCGTTCGTTCTCCAGTCACGTGGCCGTCCTAGACCAATGAAATTAAAGTATCCAAGCACACGATATAACAATAAACATTCTCCCATTTCCCATTATTCCACAAATCAAATACATCAAATTACAAACGCATCAATCTTTTGCACTCGTAAAAATTCAGAATGATTATGAAGGAACATGAACAGACTAATTAAGAAATGCTTGCGATAAAGAACATAGTACAGTTAAACAACTTTGTAAAGGTTTTGTACGATGTCATTTTCTTGTTAAATAATAAACACTTTCCCACTACAAATAAGGTCACAAATCAAAATGAAAAAACAAACAAACCAACTTGTTTAATTAACATCTAAATCTCAAAAGGAACGAGGAATATTTGTTTTAGTAGAACAAAGCTGTTAATCATCATGTATAAGAGTAGTGAATTAAACGATATAAGTGAAGCGTGCTATATTAGGCCAATCATATAATAGTTCTGCTTCCAGTTACCCTACCTACCCTATTTTGACAGCCCCTACCTTAATTTTTTTTGGGACAAATGAGGAAAAAACCCGAAAATCATCAATTACTCTCTAAAGTCCAAAGAGTGAAACTTCACTCCATTTGAGTGATGATTCACTTCCACAGTCGGAAACTAGGGACAACACGTCTTAGAGTGGAATTCCTTTAATCGTAAAAATCGAGTTTTCACTCGAGCTTCGACTGAAGTGGTTCTTTTTTCAGACTATTGCAATCGAAAATGAGAGTGATTTTCACTCTAAAACGTGTAGTCCCTAATTTCACTCTTTGGAATTTAGAGAGTACTACCTTTTACCCTGGACTACAAGCAAACACCTCAATATGAGCGTATACAAAAAAAAATGCCAACAAAAAAATCCATCTTCTTATAGATTGACTTTAATGTATTTATTTTTGTGCATACAGGGCGAGTCAAGAAGAACGCTACCTAAATCAATCGTTTTATATCTTAAAAAAAGAATCAAATTTGAAACAACAATGAAGTATAAAGAACATCGGTTTCCACTCTTCTTTCCATTCTTCTATTTATAGCAGTCCATGGAAAGACATTGGAAGCTTTTGAGCAGGGTGCACTACATATTACACCGTCACGTTTCCTTGCATTCAAATGACATTCATTGGTTTGTAGAATGGTAAATGATCAACGGTGAACAGCCGAGTTTTGTAATCTTTTTATTGATAACTTGGGAATAGAATTTGCACATTACATGAAATGTTCACAGTTTTATTAGGATATACTTTATCCTGTGTGCTTTAATAAGAAATAGATCAAGCCAAATATTTTTAAAATATTTTTTTGGGGCTCACCCTGTGCTTCTGCCATTTTCTAAGCCCAAACACCTATGTGCACCTATCTCCAAAGGAAGCCAAAATACTTTTAAAATCAAAAGAAGGAAAACTTCGAAATTGCATAACAATCCTTACACCATATGAACGGCTTACTTTGGCCATTAACTGGTAAAGATTCTGTGGTTAAAAAACTTTATTACTGAGTCGGCCATATTGGATTGAAAGGAAGGTCAAATCTTCAGTTTTGGACATTAAAGTAAAAGCTAATTACAAATTAATACCAGTCTACTCTGATGAAAAATTTAAAATTTGTGATTTAACAAACCCTAATGTTTTAAGCCACATTTAATAAATATACGACAGTGAGGCTTCGAAAGCATGCATATAGTCTGACACCAGCCAATTTAGCAGTTTACAATGCATAGATTACATTCAGGGAACACGATCAAAATGTGCTTCCCGTTGAATAATATATATTAAGAGCTAAGAAATGTAGCAAGTTCTGATGGGCATGCATACAGGCCTATCTAAAGCATGACCCATTCGCGAACGGTCTCTACACTCCGTTGACCGAGGCCCCGTTTGCAGTAGGAGGGCGCTGTTTCTCTACCGTTCCACGCGAACCGTCGACAACAACAATCTCACCTAACAGACAGACAAAGAATTGAACTTGAAATGGTTGCAATAATTGAGAAAAAAGACAGTTGGAATTTTTTTAGGGGGGGAGGAGAATACAATTTGTTTACCTGATTTGATCAGAGATGTTGCTTTAGGAATGTTGACAACACACGGAATACCGTACTCGCGAGCGACGATGGCACCTGAAAATTAAACAATGGCATCCGGAAATATTAACAGGCAAAAATGTAAGGGGTAAATAGGTACAGATACTGGTAATCAGCATTAAAAATTAAATGAAAGTGTAAATTGTAATGCTTATATAGCGCTTTCCGTCGTATATTCAGGCCACGAGACCACGCTGCAGCCGGTATCAACCCACATTGGGTCTCTACCCTCACAGGTACCCATATACTCCTGGGGCCAATTTCATTTAGTTGCTTAAGCACAAAATTTGCTTAAGCACAAAAAAAATTGCTTAATATAGTCAGGTTACCGGCTAAAACTCCATGCGATTACATTGCTTGTGACTAGTATTCAGATGTTGTTTACTTAGCATAACAATCGCATGGTGTTTTGGCGGGTAACCTGATTATATTAAGCTTGTTGTTTTGTTTTGTTTTTGCTGAAGCAAATTTTGTGCTTAATAAGCAGCTCTATGAAATTGGCCCAGCTGGGTGGAGAGAGTCAATTGTAGTTAAATGTCTTGCCTAAGGGCACAAACACAATGTTTCTGCTAGGATTCAAACCCACGCATACGAGTGTATATTTGCCTGCAATCGGGGACCCACTATTGTTCCTCTTTTGTTTGTCCACCAACTTTTTAGGAAGACCTCCCATATGTTTTGTACACGAATCCAAATTGGGGACCTCTCGGGAATTAAGGATCATATTGTCCTCTATTGTTCAACGTCCCCTATTTGAATCAGAAACAAACTCATCATCGCACAAGAGTCAAACACCGCAACCACTGGACCAAATGTCATCCAAAGCTAAAACTATTTCGAAAATGTCTTCCTAACCCGACAAGTGACGACGTCGCCTTTACGTTTAACTCACCGTGGGACACAACTCCGCCAATTTCTGTCACCAGTCCGCTGAGGATCGGGAAATATGGACTCCATCCGATATCTGTGGTTCTTGTGATCAAAATGTCACCCTTCTGGAAGAGACAATCATATAGAAAAACGACATTTATAAAACCCATATCAAACACGATTCGAAAAATTGCCAACCAGCCCGTTGCTAAAACTTTAAAATCATTATCGCTGTGCGTACAGCACACATAGAGCTTGGAACAGTAATATTTTGATAACCGATTCACCTTAATCTTGGTCGCATTCTTGAGATCGATGACGACAACAGCTTGACCTCTTATGACCCCTCGGCATATCGGTGTGCCTATAGGGAATAATACACATTATCAAAGGCTTCATCTCTTAATTACAATTTCTGCAAATCACTAAGAAACAGAGCCAACAATTTTAAAGGAAAGCATGCCTATAGACGGCGAACGCGAGAGGAGGCTATTAAAACATTCTCTGGAGTCCCATCCCAAAAATCACGTACCTTCCAAAGTCGTGACGTCGCGTGAGTCGTAAGCGTCCTCTTCGTCGACAATCTTCGGAGCAAAACAAAAGTTACACAATTTTTGAAAGGGAATGTACAACATTTGCTTTTCCTGCAATTTTCAGAAATAAATGGATTTGGAGGATTAGTATGTAACAGCAAATATTGTTAAACTGACTCTCACGTTTTAGACTCGGAGATACTGGAAAATCCAAGAAAACCAACCATGTTCTTGTAGTCTGGTTCCCTGACCCCACTTAAGATAAAATGGAGCAATTTATAGACTTTGGGAATTGTAAAATCAGAGAATCAGTCTAGCAGGTTTGTACCCCTTCACAAAAGTGTATTCAATTACAAAGAAAAAACAAAGGGAATAACTAGATATGAAAACAAATAGGAGCAGTTTTTGAAAAAAGCCAGTTTTCGCTAACGACAGCATTGGAAAAATACAAGTTTTCTTGAAAATGTCAGCACACCAGGAGCCACGATTTTACAGAATGCTTTGGACTGTCATCATTTCTAACAATCCATTAAGATATTTTATGAATGATCAAAAATAATTTGATCATTTAGTTTTCTAATGTTTGCAAAAGTTGTATCTTTCCTTTAATTGCCTATTGTATTAAGATGTCACAAAATAAACGAAACCAAGAATGCATTGAACCGATGTAGGAGAATGCACATTCAGTAGGACATGAAAACTAAAGGCGATTTACTGGTTCTGGTCGGCCGTGCATCAACCGGGGAAACGTTTTGGCTTCTAACTCAGGCTCAATGCGGCGTCTTCGATGGGCTCTGTCAAAAATAAAAGGGAGTCAGTTAATGTGGAATAAATAATACAAATACACGGCTGAAAGAAAACCTCAAATAAAGCAACCTCATATTTTGCTGACAATTTGAATTGCGTACCTGGCGACAAGAGAGGGCGCTCGTTCCTTCAGTAGTTGGCCGATCTCGGTCAGGGAGAAGTAGAACAGCAACTCCTCATCTGGGATAAGACCCTGCGGTAAAAGAAGTAGATTGGTGTCTATCAAGCAAGAACAGTTTGAGGATGAAGGAATGATCTTTTACACTATACCTTTCTTTTGGGGTTTCCAGTTTGATTTTGATTAAACCTGGTTCGATGGATTATGGATCTACAGTGATGTGTATAAAAAAAAAAGGATACATTGGAAGATATTTTTTAAGTGAAAATAATATTCGATGGGTTCAATTTGCTTCATAAATTTAGAAAACACACTTTCTTCCCTATCGTAATTTTTGTTCTTTTATTTAAGTGTTCTGATGAAAAGTTATGTCGAATTTACTGAAGCAGGCCAACTTTCGCTTGGTCCACTTTCTACACCAGGAACTGATTCCATTCTCAGCCATGTAACTCTTACCATGTCAACATTACATGTATAACACTTGCAATTACATTTACCTGTTGTACTTTGCCAATCAATATTGAGTTGGAACAACCTAAACATGATCCAATGATTATGTAAACGAGTTACATAATCAATGAATCATAGGTTTCAACTAAACATTGATTGGCAAAGAACGAGAGGTAACTTGGCCAACAGAGAGATTGCTGGCAAGTTAATTTTCCTTCATCCACTTTGCTGCAAGTTGGAACACATTAATCCCTTTCAATTAACTGTCTATATCTCTGAATGTAGGTGTCCAAATGAGATAGGGACCACAGCATTGTGTTGCGAAATAACAATTCTTTAATCGTATTTAAGTTATCATATATTATTATATATTATTAAACTAAACAGGAGCTAGTATTTATTTTTCTCTACAGATGGCACCCAACTCAAAGAGGTGCCAGACTTCAAATATCTGGGTTCCTACATAGCTGACAGCAAGAAGGACTTTCTCACACGCAAGGGTCAAGCATGGAATGCGTGCAACAAACTCCACTCTATCTGGAAATCCAACATATCTCAATCCACCAAGCTTGCTTTCTTCCGATCCTCTGTCGAAAGTATCCTGCTATACGGTGCCGAGACATGGTCTGTGAAAGAGCAGCTTAAACAGAGACTAGATGGCACCTACACCCGCCTCCTCATGAGAGCGCAAAATATATCATATAAGGAACATAAGACAAAGACGGACATTAATTTTATGGCAACATCCAACCTATCTCAACTACAGTGTCACAATGCAGAGCCTGCCTTGCCGGCCATTGCTACAGAGCCAAAGAGCAAATTGTCTCTGACCTCGTCTGCTGAAGATTGCCTTGCCCCAACAGAGGAAGGAGACCCCTCAACTACGTTGACACTGTATGCAATGATGAGAGCCAACACGTTGATGACATCACCACAGCCATTGCGGACAAGAGAGTCTGGAAGAGTTTGGTTGCATCCATCTCGGCTGCGGCCGCCCAACGATGATGATGATGATTTTTTAAATTGTTTTCTCTAAATGTATCATTTTTTGGACACACACTGTAGCGTTCATCTTCTAACACGAAAACAGGGATAAACAATAACTTAAGCGTTGCCTTACCTCATTAACCATCAGCTTAGCGAGCCTCCAGTACGCTTGCTTGAAGTGATGAATGGATTTGATGTACATCGACTGCAGCAAAGATTGTACATTAGGTAAATAAAAAAAAATCAGCGTGTAATTAATTAATTAATAATTACAGCTGATCAAAACACTGATTTTTATAAAATATTTACAAAAAAATACAGGGTGGGTTAAAAAAGGAACCCAAATGTCAGGACCAATTTTTAAATGAAGTTCTGCATGCAGCACTTTCAAAATCTAGGATATGAAAGCCCCATTAATAAGCTTTCTTTTATTAGAAGAAGCATTCAAATCGCTCCGTACTTTTCAAGTTACGGAATTTTAAACCCAAGCACCGTTTAGAGTTTTGTCCACGGATCAAAAAAAGGTAAGTGTTCTTTCAGCAGAGAGAAAACAATTCACATAGGCCTACATCCCTACGTTCATTTTGCTGAAAAAAAAACTTTCCCTTTTTGTGATCCGTGGTCATAACTTTAAGACGGTGGTTGTGTTTAAGTTTTTAAACGCAAACAAGCAATGTGAATGCATACTGTGCTAAAAGAAAGCTAATTAATTGGGCTTTCACATCCCAGATTTTGAAAGTGTTACATGCAGAACTTCATTTAAAAATTGGTCCTGACATTTGGGTTGCGTTTTTTTTACGCACCCTGTACAATGGCATATATAATAAGCTGACGTACAAAACGCTGGAGACAAAATTGATGAAAATGAAAAAAGAGCCGGTACGGTGATTGCAGGTCGCAGCTTTTAAAAGAAAACCACACCTGCAGCCCAGTGTTTTCTTCATTTTGCCAAAAAAAAACACTACTGACTGATGTTCCTGTTGATCAACCCACCTTGCAAATTTCTCTTTCAGCAACAACAGATCTCGTCATGGGAACCAACCACTTCACTAGCATCCACCTGCATGAATCAATCAAAACCTCGCTTGAAATGGTATCCTTCCTTAATGTTGCAGTACTCGTACTCGGTACTCGAACTCGAGTACTACTCCAGTACTTTTTTAGAGTACTCGTACACGATTGTCAATGTACTCGTACTCGAGATAACAGTACTCGTACGCGGGTAGCAAAGTGCTCATACTCGACATGTCGAAATTGTACTAGATCATTTTAGTACTCCCACTCGAATAGCAGTACTCGGAAAAATGGTATATCTTGACTTACCACGGCCTTATTTTATTGATACTTTCAGTTTGAAATGGTTGATTGGCTTGCGGAGAAATAGAAGTTTCCTGGTTTTACTCTGTGCACGTACGGACAAACACATTTAACAGCTGGCCGTGAGAGGGTCTGTATGTGTATCGCTCTGACTGGGCCCGGGCCATTTACGCGCAATGGCCGTATTCGGATATAGAAGCATACTAGGAAGTACAAGTACTCTACTCACCTGACGACTGATGGCAGCGGCAACTCAAGCTGATCAACCAAGTCAGATACTGGCACCTCGAGTTTCTTTTTCGGCTCATCTGGTATGTGTCCTTTCAGATAGGCCTACATCAGATGGGACATTCCAAAAACTTGTATAAAATGTTATTGTATAAAAGGTCACAACTGTAAATTGATGAATCGACGCGCAAGTCTACATAGACCTTTAATGATCTGACCACATCGGACAACGGGAAGCAGGCGCCTGGTTATTAAAACTCTGGAGCAATGAATACTGATTAACTGGCAATTTCAATGAGGGCCAAAACTCTGCCTATGCAGACAGTCGTGTTTTACAATACTCTCGAGGACAACCTTTTGTGTTTTCCTTTGTCCCGACAATATAACATTCTCCCATAGACTAAGCACACAAACACACGATCGAGGACCGTTTTGAACAAAAGACCCAACTCCCGAGGACTGAAAGGATCTGTTGTTCTCCCTTTGTCCGTCTGTCCTCGGGCGTATGTAGTTTTACGCCCCAAAACGCAAACATTTATTGTCACTGGGGACTCGGAGTAAAAGAAATTACATACCGTACCTACGGATATGTGACTTTAAGTTGGTGCTCCGATATATTATGACTATGTCAACAGGCGCTGTCTTTTGTTCGGAAAACGAAACATCCAAAACAAAAGCATTTTACCTGCACGGATGGAATGAGCTGTGTCGGATCCATAGCCCACGACTTGATCTCCAAGCCGATCTGAAACACACCAAGACGAGATCTCATATTCATAACAAGATCTCTGCTTTGTTTGTCTGTGTTTAAATCAGCACCTTTAATTAGTAGTTGCTTCTGAAGAAACTGTACAGCGTCCCGCTCAACTGGTTTAAGACTCAGAGTGGAAAGGCTTCACTTGTTTTCATTAGACTGATTTGTACTCTTTGGCAAAGAATTTAGGGTAATTCGATATTTTACAAGACGTACTTCTTTCAGCGATCTGTGTCCGTGGTTTTCCAAGAAAGCTGAAAAACGTCTCCCAGCGTCTCCGCTAGGAGGCGTCCTCAGCCACCGAACTGCCTGCTCTGATGTCATCTTCAGAAACGCCTCACCCTGCCCATCTTCCTTTATCGCTCGGGCGATTTGCTGTTATTGAAATAATAATGCATGTTATTTCATTTTTACCTCACAAAATAATAAACGGTAACATTTGCTGAAAGCACCAATAATACACATTCAAACAGCGTCAATGTTTACCTCAATTTCGAATGGCGGCTTTGCAGTTTCAATAGCTGGTCCAGAAGAGAGCAATTTAACGAAGTCCGATTCGGCGTCTAAATAGAGAATGGAACCGAATTCTAGATTTCAGACATTCTAAGATGTAAAACCATATCAGAAATTATGACATTTTTGACGTAAAATCAAATTTAATTAAAAAGAAAATCTGGTAGTGACTCACGTTTACTGTATCGAGATAGAATGCCATCCAGAAGCAGTTGGGCAAAGGTAGCTTTCCAAAACGACGTCGAATAGTGTTGACAAACCTACATTGAATAGCCATTCCCCAAAGAAATAATTACAAGCTACACCGCCCTTATTAAAGAAAACACTTTTTTACACTTATGAGTACACCCTGTTTAAATAAAACCGCAAATAATAGATTGTACAATGTATTGCAACGGAATGACACTTCAGGGCAACCAATTACTTTGTGTTGATGCATGCGTGGTTGCAGCAACCTCTACTGATATAAAGAGAAAGAAAATATCACATTTTGTCAACGCCAGGGTTTCCATTTCGAAAAGAAAAAAAACCTACCCCTGGATAGTCAGCGTGGTATCGTCCATGAATGATATCGTCATACTGCTCCTGCGCAGTAGAGAACGTTTGGGTGAAATAACCCTCAACGTCTCGCAGGGAAGCCTCTACTCGTGCTTTGCAGTCCCAGAAATTCTTTTAAAAAAAATAAACAAAAGAAAATCGGTCATTAATGCCAATGACGGGTTTATCTCAGGAAGATTGGATGGCCATCATTTTACACGAACCTTCAAGATGGTTCCCAAATTCAGAATCCTCTTGAAAGCAGACGGAAGAGGTGCGTGCAGGTGCTTCATCTCATCGATGAAGGAATCGTCAAACATCTGAGAGGAAATAGCAGGCTCAGGAATAATAACATAATAGAAATATTTTTCATAAAATATTATAGAAGTTTAGCTCACCTGGGTCGACAAGAGGAAAGGCAGACGGGTCAGCCACGACAGCCGGGCTAATCGAACACTCAACCGCGGGCCATCACGATCCTCAAGTGACGCCCTTAGCCGTGGCCGTACTATAGCCACTGACAAAACGCCTGTTTGGGATTTGGTCTCAGCTTAAGATTCACTGCTTTTTACAAAACTAAGAAAAAATTGGGCTGAAATTATAGCCTCAAAAGTCGCAATGAACCCAATAAATAATTACCTTTAGACTAAAATTGACTTTTAATTCCACTATTGAGATTTCCGCTATCCGGCCGACATTATTTTGTGCGTTTCTAGGCAATGAACAACGCATGGGTGACCTACTTCGACCAGTGACTCTGCTCCACGAGCAGGGTCTGTGGTGGCTGACCCAGGTGAGCCCTGAGAATGACGTCAGAGCTAATCGAACGACACGGGACTGACCCATATCAACCCGGGTGAGCTAAACGAACGCACCCACAGAGACAAGGTGTGTGCATCCAAGAAGAATCAAAGCTATATTTCGGTGGCGAAATGGTCGCCTGGTGGCGCTTTACACTGACACTGAGCTAGCTCCTGGCAGCTACTTCTGGTCGCCTGATGTATGCGCAGCGCGTGATCACTGCGTGATCAACACATGTGCTTAAACATGTTTGGCTTGGTTATTGGAGGGGATTGTATTTTCTGTTTGGCGTGCTTCGAGACAGGATCTAAATGAAATTGTAAGCAGCGCTTGACTAACGTTTAGCTGTCAGGATCAGGTCAGTACCAAACAATTAGTTTGTGATTAAATACTAATCAGAGAGAGTAAGGAATAAACAATCCATTAAAATCAAGACAAATAGTTCATCGTCCATTTCTTTAACGTGTTGAATAAATAAAGTAACACAAACAGAACTACCGCTCACCTTACGCGGTTCACTTTTCTTCAGAAAGTCGATCCTTTTATCATCCGCAATCGAATTGATGCATGCAGTTGCAGCTCTTTCCTTATTTATTTTTGCATCGTTGGTCCCAAGCTCGAGCCCAACTTGGTTTCGAACGTTGATTTGGTTAAATGTCATGTCCTGAATAATCGCAAAACTTGTGGCTGATAAATCTCTCTCCCAAGACCGACAAGTTAAATGTTATTGAATGGGTTTGACGACCAAAAAAACTAATGCCTCGCACTTACCACTCCGATGGACTGAAGGAATGAATCTTTCTGCAGCTCCGATATTTGTAGCAAACAAGTCGACATAGCCTGTCACAATATATAATAAACAGTTCAGATTGTTACCGTTGTAGTGTTTTCTTCTTATTTTCAAAATTGTTCACATAGGCCTTACAAAAACCACTTAGTTCTTCGAGTAAAGCGCAGATGGCAGTTTTTTGAACGACGGAGATGATTAATTGTATAGGCAACATTTCATTTGATAAAAATTGAGTGCTCGCTATACGCGCGCGTTGTTTTACAGAACCGAGCGATTTTCGTTTTCACGAAGTAACACTCGTGCACGCTGTGCGCTGAATCGGTCATTTTCGTTTTCACGAAGTTACACTCATCTTGATTTCTCTAGTTTGAATGCTTCTTGTTAAAATTTTCTGTAATCCTATAAGAACAGGTATTAATGACATTCCTGTCAAGTGTTTTAAAACGCTGTAATCCAAATAGTATTTTTTGTTAGAGTGTGAAAACAAAAATAGTTCTCACCAGTGTCCGATATGCGTGCGCACGCTTGAGTGTTGCTTCGTGAAATCAACATCTGTCATTTGGCGGTTTTCACGATGTAACACTGAATAACACTGAAGTGGACTTACTTCGTGGTGCCGGTGTAGCGTGAATATCCGACTCCATGAAATGTGCACTCAATGGTAATATTGCGCATGCGTAAGTACGATAATATGCTATTTTTAGGATCACAATGGGAGAGTGACATGTCAAGTGTGAGGGATTAACCAAAAATAGGGAAAAGGAGTCAGATTTTCATAGGAGTCCGGCAGATTTTCATATGAGGCCGGTGGCGATAATATGTATACAAACCACAACACTAAGTAGCATCTGATTGCAATGGTAGTTGCAGAATTTGCAGGCGGGAAAGCTTGTCGGTATGCCATAATCGTGGTATGCAGAAACCTTCAAATGAAACAAAAAGTGGAATAAAAATATTGTTATCGTGTCTGTCTTTATATTAAGGAGTAGTTGTGAAGCTTGGTATCGAACTGAAACATTGAAAATTGGCAATAAAGATAATAAACAAAATTGTCCGCAAATGAAGTTATTGTGTACAGGAGAGATAAAGAACTCACCTGGATGCCAAAATCCAATATGTCTGTCGATGCCGACAAGCTTAGTGGAGATGAACAACCTGGACGCACTTCTCTGGGTTGAAAATCGTTTAAAAAAAGACTCAACTGAAGCTGGATTCGACAATTTATATTTTCAGTCATCTACTCAATGAAGAAACGCAGATATTTGAGAATTAATGACACACACACACCCAGCTAATGTTTACTTTGAGGACTTGCCCCTTTCGTTCATTTGTTCCCTTTTGTTTGTACTCAAACTTTTATCGACAGCTCCCATATATGGAGGTACATTTCTGTTACAAAAAACCGTGAGTTCCACATAAACCAGGTAGCAGCGACGTTGTGTGGACTTGCCCATGTCCACACAGTCTTCCCCCCTCTCTAGAAAATAAGTTCAGAGGCATTTTGTGGTTAGGTTTATCAGTAGCAAAATGACGAAAAACACCGAAGGGAACCTTAAAAAAACAATCTGGGTTGAAAGTATTTTCAAAGTGGAGTAAATGATTTTTTCACAGGTTTTTCTTAGCTACACAAAAATAAAGGAATGTCCACACTATGTAACGTAAACATGGGTGACTTACTGTGTGTTTGCTGAGGTAAGCCAAGAACTGTCAGACGGATGCCCCGAATCAAATTCGTGCATCAATTCGTACTGTGTCGGTGTGTCATAGGTAGTTATTGGACGGGCCTGAAGATAGTACAAATGTCAGAACAGAATTTCACTCAAAAGTGCCTCGTTTAAAGTTTATAAGTGGCAAATTTGGTTATGACATTTACAATCCATTTCGTAAGCGAGACGTACGTCAATTCAACTTAAACCCCGCCCACTGCACACATGCACGGAGTAGTATTGGAACCATTGGAACCGGTGTCATACGTAAATCGGACTCTATGAAAATTTGACTCTTTTTCCCTTTTATTGGTTAAACCCTCTCACGTGACCGGTCCCTCTCCTAATTATCTATGCATGAGCATGCGCAATGCCACCAAAGAGTCCGTATTTCATAAAACCTAAATTCATGCTTCACCGGCAGTAGTACAAACTATAGCGTGTTAGCCAATGGGCTCTAGTAATCATGGTGCATGCGCGTGTATGACACATCACTTACGAACCGGATTACAAACGCTGATTCAAATGAAATAAATTGTAAAAAATTATTTAAAATGTACACATTTGAAAGGTGACCCTGTTGCAGCATAATACCTGCAGCAAGTAGATTTTGTCATGGACGACTGCCCACTCGATGTCAAGACCTTCGCCAAAATACTCATCAAGCTGTGAAGGAAACAACATATCATAAGGTCATAAAAAACCCGAAAATAGTTAAAACGTTCCAAGCACAATGTAAATCGTGGGTTCCACTTGCCAAAATCATGGGTTCCGTTGTCTAAATCGTGGGTTCCATTTGTCTAAATCGTGGGTTCCACTTGTCTAAATCGTGGGTTCCACTTACCTAAATTCTGGGTTCCACTTGCCTAAATCCTGGGTTCCACTTGCCTAAATCCTGGGTTCCACTTGTCTAAATCGTGGGTTCCACTTGCCAAAACCATGGGTTCCACTTGCCAAAATGCGCAATGGGAATTGTTTGGGTCTTTTGGAGCAATTTGAAGGATCGACATGAATGTATACAATTACTTAAAAACTACGAATTGTTTGCAAGGATGTTTGAAACCCCAGTCGAAAAGGTAAGGAAACAATTCATCCAGGCGTTTTGGTTATTTGTAGAGAAAAAAAAAATGCCCAACCAAGTGTCCGCTGGTGTTTTCTCGTGTGCATTTTGTCAGATCTAGCTTGGATTTCACTAACCTCTTTGGCAATATGTCCCAGTTTGACGCACACATCTTCCGCCAATGAACAGCGTGACTTTACGTCTTTTGGCAGCGTTTTGGTCTCAGTACCTCCATCCTCTGGGAAAAGAACGGCAAACAATAACTTCCTTCAAAATAGTGGCAACGGTTACACGATTGAGTCAAGTAAAACACAATGATTATGTCGTCAGTATCTGACAAATATTAGCTGCATGCACTTTACAATTCTCGAGAAAAAAAATTTTCTTTGATATTTGATCTGTTATATTACATAAAGTCGCTTATAATGGCAAAGAAAGGGGTGGTTATAAGCTGTCAGCCTATTTGCTGTCTTTTTAAAAGTTTCTTTTTCCCTTCTTTTTCTACTGTCTTATTCGTGCTAGCCAAGGAGTCAGTCTTTTTGCTGTCAGTCTTTTTTATGTCATTGAAAAAAAAAACCTCTTTACTGGCATATTTTCGTCAATTAAAGGGCATATACAACATCTGTTTTTGCTGTAATTTTCATAAATGGATGGATTTCAGAGTTTGTGTTTAATAGTAAATATTAATACACTGACATGTTTGAAAGTTTTGTGTTGGTAGATGCAGGGAAAACCAGGGAAAACAAACATGTTTTTGTAGTCTGGTTCCCTGATCTCATTTGAACTGAAATGGAGCAATTTATAGACGTCTGGAAATTGTAGGGTCAGGGGAACTCTAGCTGGCTTGTACCTATTCATATATAGGTGTGTAATCGAAAATCAGACTAACTTAGTGTGGTAAATTGGGGGCAGTACTTGAAAAAACAAGCCAGTTTGTTTTCCCAACACTGGTCGGCTGATCAGCGTTTGAAATTGAAACTAAAATACCACTTTTCTTTAAAATGTCAGCCCTTTAACACGAAGTTAGACTGTACTTCACTAACAGTCCATTAAGGGATTTCATTAAAAAATTTGTTTTTCGATGTCCGTGTGCATGTTAATGTCGTATATTAATTCAATAAAAAGTTTATATTCTAAGCTAATTGTTATTTTCAAGGTTTCCATCTCGTATATGCTGATTGCTGTTTTTACTGTCTACTTTATTGCTTTAACACCAGGAAAAGAATTTCATGTCAGTTTGCAACTTACATGACTAATAACACATGTTTCTATCTATAGGACATAGACTTGAAATTCACGAAGTTTAAACTTACCTGAAATAAAAATGGCATGATCCTTGCTTCCTATCTTCTTTTGAAGGATGCTCAAATTCTTGGACTCGTCCATTTTCAGGGTTATCGTGTCCGCCTCAGATAATCCTGCCGCTACGGACTGAAAAAAATGTTCATCATTTTATAATACATTGAATGTTACAGTTTACAAGAATTGTGTTTATGAGCGTTGGTGGCAATTGACCAAAAACATTTAGATTCTCGCCGATACTCTAAAATATTATGTGAAGGAAAAAGCAAGATCTTGATTCTTTTTGCATGTAGGCCCACATGTACTTTAATTCTTGAACTTATTCTTAGTCGTATCCCCCCCCCCCCCTGTTTTTCTAAGCTGTCAACTTCCTACCTCTCCGAGGCCATAGTTGGCGTTGATGATGACTCTGGCCGGATTACCAGTCAGGGGATCTCGGCTGAAGATCACACCTGCAAATTCATTTACGAAGAGGTACAATACGTGTAAAAATACCCCACTTTGGATCCTTACTAACTCTGTTGTTTTCTAATTGAATTCAACCAAAATTTTAGATAATGTAACCAATGCAAGACAAAATCTATAGATTGATTTTCATCAGTTTTGTGCAAGAGGGTGAGATTTAAATGCCATCCAAAAAAACCACTCACTTTTAGAATTTACCACTTTCGACTTGATGTTCTCCAATGTCGATACAGCGCTGGAGACGCCGGGGCTAAAGCCAGGTGCTGCGGCTAGAAGCTTTTGAAGGAATTACAGGATCACCCCTGATGTCATTGCACACCTCTTCGATAATTTGATCGTTTTGATCCCTTGATCATTTGCAAGGACATCAGGAGTGCTCTTGCCTTCCTGCAGAAGCTTCAAACCTCACCACGTGGCTTTATAGCTCTGTCTCCAGCGCTGTACGACACTGGAGGGCGTCAAGTTGAAAGTGGCGAACTCTGAAAGTGAGTATTTTTTTCTGATGGCGTTTAAATCTCACCCTCTAGCACAAAACTAATGAAAATCACTCCATGAAATTTGTCATACCTCGTTTACATGATCTGAAATGTTTGGTTTAATTCAATTGGAATACAACAGAGTTTAATGATGATCAAAAGAAGATTTTTTTTCACACGTACATGCTTACAATTTTAGTTATGCCTTTAAAAATTAACACATTGTACCACATGTCGAATCAAAGATGTTTTGTTTTTGCAAAACACGCGACAAGGACATTTCGTATCAGTTAAATATCGTATGTATTGCTTACCTGCGGTTTGTGCTGGCACCATTTCTTGTATCACAACAGCCATGCTGGAATCTATCTTCTGACCATGCTGTCTGAAAACAAAATAAGATGGGAAAAATACAAATTAGTTGAATCTTGGTTGATGGAAAAAAGGTAAAACAAAATTATAATGAATCAGCTAGAAACAAGGTACTACGTGTCAAAAAAAAAACATGTCCCACTTTTGATCCTTAATAGCGCTGAAATTGAAATTAAACCAAAACTTCAGATAAAAAAACGAAGCATTTGGAGTGATTTTCCTCACTTTCAGAATTTGCCTCTTTCGACTTAACGTCCTCCAATGTCGATACAGTGCTGGAGACTGGGCTAAAGCCACTTGCTGCGGCCGGAACCTGCTGAAGGAACACAGGATCACACCTGATGTCATGGCACATCTCCTCGATCGTCCTTAATCATTTGCAATGGGTTCAGAAATGATCCTGCGTTCCCCAAGAAGCTTCAAACCTGCAGCACGCGGCTTCAGCCCATAGATATAGATCTTAAAAAACTAGATCGGACGCGCGTATGATACGCGTGTTTTGACAGGACGCTGCCATTGGTCACGTGAATAGGGTCAAACATTTAAACGCGCATTTCGATCGGCATGACGATCACTTGTACTTCATCACTGCTTGAAAACGGTGGCAATCTGTGCGGCAGCAAAGTTCAACTAAGACGGAGAAAGGGACCCTCTCAAGACGTTAACATCATGTGTGAGTAACTAAATACACAGAATTTATCTCTTGAGAGTACATTTACTCAATATAGGCTACGTTACGCAATGCCAAATGGGCATAAATCACAGGAATGGGTGTGGAGAAAAATCCCCATGTGTGATCCAAAGGATCCTCCGAATTTTGTAATAACCGCGCAAGGCCTACTTAAAATATTTTTAGTGTAATGTTTTAAAAGTTAAGATGGTACTCCTGATCCTGAACATCGAATAACAATTACTTCTGGCCTTACATCACCCTCCCCTCTCCTGCTTTTCAATAACAGTCCGACTCCGCGTTGGAACGAGGATTGGCGGTCACTTTTTGTTGTGGGATGTGGGTGATTAAAGAAAATGCACCATTCTCCTAGTTTGAACACATCAATAAAAAATATTCCAAATGGCAGCAATTGGAATCCAACAAAGCACGATCGTCTTTGCAGCGACCATTTCCCTGCAGAGTGCTTCAAGGTGGAATGGGGGGGGGGGGGGGAAACGTCTGCGTGTCGATGCCGCACCGTCAATCTTTAAAGACTACCCGACTCATTTGAAGCCTGTCAGAATTACAATGAGACTTGGGGCTAGGATAGGCTTTCGATAATTACTGTCATGTATTTAAAGGCCTATCATGTGCTTAATTTGTTTTATTTCGTAGAAAGGCTACAGTCTCGTGTATGGACTTCAGCACGAGAGAGAAAAGCTGCCAACGGCAAGGAAAGAACCGACCCAAGCCCCCGTCGAAGATATTGCTTCAGTGCATAAAACAAACATCAGCGATAGAGCATGCATACAGTCTACCACCAGAAATTGATCTACCCTCGGAAGTAGCAGGAAGGCTATATAATCTAAGCTTGAACAGGAAAACAGATGGAAACACAGTTTCCTATTCTGCAATTGGAAGTCACTTTGCCGGAGCTGGGAAAATGCGCCTTGCTCAACGAATCACAATCATAGTGAACAGATGAAGAAGTTTGCACTGCTTGACGAAAGCGTACATCTTCGTCAGAAAGAAGATTGCACTGCCGACTGTGCGTACAGTGAGGAGATAGCTGGCCACGCATGCATAACTGGGCCTCGTGTGTGGACCATAGCTAAAATTTAACAAGTTTCGCTTAGTATTTTGTTATCGTCTTATTTAATTGTTGCTCCTCAGAAATTGAAAGATTGAATAGCCCACTGTTTGCGTTCATGCATATGAGGAAGATATATTGGATTACTTGTTCTGGTTCATAAATTTATGGGAAGCAATACTCACCTGCTGGTGGTTGCATAGGCTAGACCTTCACATAAATATTCGGATGGTGACAACCAAATGTATTTTTTTCATGAGCAATGATATTCTTGACACCTTGATTAATGGATGATATGGATATGGAACTGCCATTTCATCAGATTATTTATTAGCTAACGAGTAATTTTTCATTGTATATAAATTGTTTATTACCTAAAAGTTATTTAAGTATTAGTTTGTTCAGTACTCACAACAGATGGCCAGACTTGTTTTTGTAGTCATCCATTCCTTTCAAATGTAATGTTCCTATTGAGGTTAGCAGTATTAATTGATGGCCCACTGAAAATCATCTGTCAGGTGACATGGATACTATCTGTAAATAAAGCTATTATTATTAAAGCAACGCATATTTCGAGTGCCCGTTTTTATCGTTGCTCGTTTACAAAATTATTTTCTGTTATTTCATTTTGATGTTGGTAAAATTAAAAGTTTATGTTTTGTCTGATAGGCAAGTAACGGTTGATTTTTATTGCACCTTTTAAAAAAGAGGGGAAAATCTCATGAAACAGATTGACATTTAAGTATGCTTTTGACATTTGCCTTTGTTAAAGATATAAGAACACAATGTGGCTACTTTTCGGTACAAATTAGTATTCTTGGCTGAAAATCAATTACCTTCAACACAGTCGCCAATTTGGCCCCAAATAAGACACAGAGGCAAACTCATGTGTAACTTTTCAAAGGAATATGAAATGTCACATTGTCAAAAATCGTAGTAAAAAATGTCAACCTGTTGTTAAGAACTTCAACGCATAGCTGAATTCAGGTGGGGGTGTTGGCGATATTTTTTCCGTCCAGCATTCAGCAGCTGCCCTTTGCGCGTGGCCCTATTCACGTGACTTTGCAACGCGTCCATGAAGATCCCAGAAGTTTTTTGCACAGTGAATGGCGCGTTCGAACGCGCGTCCGATCTAGTTATTTTAAGTTCTATATCTATGCTTCAGCCCAGTCTCCAGCGCTGTATCAATATTGGAAGGACGCCAAGTCGAAAGTGGCAAATTGCGAAAGTGAGTATTTTCTTTTCGGGTGACGTTGAAATCTCACAAAACTGATGAAAATCTCTACATAAAATTTGCCATGCCTTTTGTTCACGTGATTTGAAGTTTTGGGTAAATTCCATCGGAAAACAACAGAGTTAGGACATGTTGTTTTGTTAGTAGTACCTGCGATACTGAACAGCGCGAAGGGAATACTGTGAAGCCCAGCATTTTCGTGTTTCTTCAAAAACCTGAAAAAGAGAAAACGATGTTTTATCCGAAGTAACACATTACTGAAAGGGTTACTCTATAAATTCCAAAAAAGTGAAATTAGGGACTGCACGTTTAAGAGTGAAAATCACTCTCATTTTCGATTGAAATAGTCTGAAAAAAAGAACCACATCAGTCAAAGCTCGAGTGAAAACTCGATCTTTACGATTGAAGTAATTTCACTTTAAAACGTCTAGTCCCTGGTTTCCGACTGTGGGAGTGAATCTTCACTCGAATGCAGTGAATTTTCACCCTTTGGATTTAGAGAGTAACCATCAACAACCTGCAATGTTTGACCCAAACAAAGCATCTGGTCAAACTTGTTTCTTTCTTGGGGAAAATCATAACTAACATTAAGGGGGAGTCGGGTTGGCGAAGGGGTCCCCGCTGTGACCCGCGTTCGAATCCCGCCTGGGCCAACATGTGGATTGAGTTTTCAGACCCTACCGGATTCCGTGGGTTTCCCCCAGAATATCATACTGGGGTTTTCCTCCCACCTCTAAAACTGTAATTTTGTCTCATTGCCTTCTCTTTACTACGTTTGCTGGGACCATGTCAGGTCTGATAAATGAACTGAATCGGCTGCCCAGTATAAAGAATAAATAAATAAATAAATAAATAACTACTAGAGTACCTTCTCCACTGTCTGGATCCCAAGGAACGTGTCCAATTGACCAGCTGCCGACATTTGTTTGCCATCTTCCCCTGTTAGAAAGACACAAAAGGTAATTTTGACATGGGAAACGGGGAAAAAATGGGTGCAAGGGCTGGGTACCGCTCAACAGTAGCACCTTCAATTCTCATCAACCTGGTACCAGTAATTATTAAGCGAACAATCATGAACCATTATAATTACCGACTGCGGACGACCGGACAGCGAACGTCTTCTGATCCATCGAGTCGCCGAATATCTCCTTGAAAAGACGGGCTATTTCCCGCTTGTGATCCGAGGAAATATCGGTCTCGGTCAACAGAGCGGCGGTTCTGTAAACCAACAAAACAGTAACAGTATTGCGACGTTAATTTCGAGCCTTCAACGGAATTTGAATCTAATCAATTAGAGGCCATCCTAAAACGGGCTCGTAGAATCATACTGGGTGATAGGTCTGAGAATTATAAAGATGACTTGCAACATTGTAATTTGGATTCCCTATCTGATAAAAGGTTGCAGATTTGTTGTAATTTCGATAAAGGGCTCAAACCAATCCCCACAATAGCTCCCTCGTTCCTCCAACACGTTTAGAGAGTCATGAGGTGCGTTTTGGTGGTCATAACCAAGAATTGGTTCGATGGTTTCTCTTTGGTTAGGCCTAATTATTTTTGGGATTGGACATGATCAGGCGTAATTGTAGCCTAATTAAAAATGCCGAAGAAATTCACAGACAAGAAACCACCGAACCAATTCTTGGTTATGACCGCCAAAACGCACCCTTGGTAGATGTCTAAGGTCAAACAATACAATTTCGCTGTTACCTGCAAGAACTAGGCCTAACAGGTTTCAAAAAAGCCCAGTCCCCTCTTTTTTATAGACATTTTAAATAACTAGATTATCCAACTTTTCCAAGTGCACTCATAACCATTTCTTTACTACTTCAGTGTGTGTATATATAAACACGTTTATGGTTCTTACCGTTTTTGCCTTAAATGTTTTTAATATCCACTGTTTTATTTAATATATTCGCATTTTTATTTACTATAATGTTGAATGTATATTTGTTTATTGCATTACCATACTTTAATATGGCCTCAGGGCCACGATTGGTGTGAAAATAAATAAATGTTATCTAATCTAAATCTAATCTAAGTTCAACGGAAGTCAAATTTGAAGCATGTGCGTCGCAAGGGGGGGGGGGCAAGCGGGGGCGCTTTCCCCCTGGAAAAGCCCCCCCCCCCCCCCCCACAAAAGAAAAAGGAAAAAAAAAAAAGAAAAAAAAAAAGACAAAGAGGCGCGAAGTCATAGTGGTGTAAATTTAATGGTTGGGGGGGGGTGGGGGCAAAATGTCCCTGCCCCCCTCTAAAATTAATAAATCGAGAATTTGTTGAGAAATACAATACTTTTTTGGGGGGAAAAATATGTTTTGCCCCCTCTAGAAAAAATCCTGGCAACGCCCATGATTTGAAGTGTTTAAAAAAAATACTATTTCGGGGTTTTTAGGCCTTCTATTGCATCAATTAAGCTGCCGGGTCATGTCTGAATTAACCAGTTTCATAAATTAATTGGTTGCCGACGCCAGCCTTCGATTCCAAGCTCCTCAATTTATGGAAACTGAAAAATCGCCTGACGTGAAAGAGAAATATGGTGCCAAAAAAATTGACCTCTCACTTCCGAACATTCAGGCATTCATCATTGGGACCAATTGCAGTTTATTTACTGGTCTGGAACCTTTACCTTTGACGTGCTTCATCCAGGCTCCCAGAGCTCAGTGCGCATGACACAGCAGTCTGTCGCTTCACTGCGTCGTGTATGGCGGGATTACTCTGTCATGAAAGAACACATCAGCATTGGATAAAACATCCTCACCTAGCTTCTGGTTTTTCATAACTGTTTTATTTTTAGCAAGGACACACACTGAACGTTATGCAACAAAGTAAGAAACTCACACATAAACGTTTCCACAAATTTTCAAAAGCCTATATGCAACGTGAAAACATACGTACTACACGTACCTCAACGTGGCTCTGTAAGGCTGACGTCGTAATGACGAACCCTCGAGGCACTTCAAACTGTTAATTCGAAATAACAAGTCAAGACGTTTAATATCCAGAAATCACATGAGAAGAATAAGAATGTTGGTACTTTTTTATGGGAACCCCCAGATCCGCGGCGAGTGCGCAGAATCAAGCCCATAGTCAATGTTTAACGAACGAGGGCGGTGTGGCACCCCCAAAATTGGTAGGCGAGGCAGCTGCTTTAATTAATTGCCTACCTGAAACTCAGGTGGAAGGTGTCCCTGCAGTGACGTCAGTTTGGCAAGTTGGGATCCTTTTCCACCTGCTAGCATAGAGGACTGGCATGAGGGCGCCTCCAACGGCAAAAGATACGAACTGACCTCTGAATCCGGCACGATAGCTGTCAATTTCAAAATACAAATATCATATACCAATCAGCTTTTCGTCCAAGTGCAGCAGCACCACCGTCCAAAGACCGAAAACCCCAATTCATTCCTCTATAAAGAAAGGTAGCGACCTAAAACCTTGCAGACATCGACAAGAAGAACGGATATAGCCTGTTTGTATCTTCGCAAGTTTTCTTTACCGACCACTAACTGATTATTATACATTGAAATAAGCCTAAACGTGAAAATTATATCTTTCCCAATATACAGAATCCAAACGGTTGCATCCCACCGTGAAAAAAATACCTGGGTCTCTGTAGAGGCGTGGCTGTGCTTTCATTGACGGGACTGGGCAATCCTCATCCGATCTGCAGCAAGACACATAGACATTTTATATTAAGAAAAAAAACTGTACTCGTTGCCATCGAGTTTGTTCACTTTTAAGGTAACTCTTAAACAGCTTGATTTTAGTGTCTTGCTTCCTTTTGTTTTATTTAGGGGTAGGTGGGAGTGGGGTTGGGGTGGGGTAGGGGGTGGAGTCAGTGGGCGTGAAGTTGGAGGTATACACTGCCGTCGACTGTATATTCAAGATAAAAATAGCATTGGTTTGGTTTTACCAGTAACTGACTGCGCGATCAAGAGAGGTTTTCAAGGTATCATTATGGATGAGGTAGTTTTATAGCTACCGTAGACTTCATCAAACCACCAACCTTCTCGTCAGTTGGCACACGCCCCGCCCCTGCACACCGTCGACGGTAAACCGGCTCAGGCCTTCTCGTTGTCTCACACTCCAGTCGCTGCCAATATTAAAGCTCACGAAGTCCTCGATGTATACGTCTACGGCCAACTTCTTTCCGGCTGCAATGAAAAGCACAAACGTAGTCTTTCAAGTTATGATAAAAGCAGTATACGCAATGTGGTTTAGTGGTGAAACAGAACTTAGAAAAAACATTTTTTTTTTGTAAATAACAAATAAAGCCCAAACCTACTTTCAAGCTGAGCACTAAACGAGAATCCTATTGGCGGATCCTCAGCATTCTCCATCATATCAGCCAATGAGAGATCAGTTGACACAACTGGGATAACTCCACCAATCGCCCTAATCACGTAGCCAGATGTCGAACTGATAACAAAGTAAATATGAGAATTAGTCAATAATATCTGGTTACATACTGTATGCATATAGGCCTCTTTCGCACATCCCATATTCTCAATCATTTTTGTAATCATAAATTGTAAAAAGCCTTAACAACTATAAGGAAGAGAAGCATTTTGTATTTCATATACTTCACGTTTAAGGGAGACTGAGTGAATTCCACACCTTAAGGGGGATCCGCGTTTGCAGGAAGTTCCAACGTACACACACATTCCATCCTGGAACGCACAAGGATATATAATTCAAGTCAATTCAGAATCGTATTGTTTTGTACATATAATATATGTCTGGTGGATATGGACAGCAATCAGTCGAAGAGCTTACCTCCAGAACTATAGAGATGGAGATGCCTCTGTGAATATCAGAAAAATCGATGGTTCCTGTCGAAGATAAACGCAACCGATTTGTCACTGTTTGTCTTCTTTATTTAACGGTCATTATTGTTACGGCCGTTTCAGGGCTAGGCAGCCTAACTCGAAGGCTTTAACTTACTGTTGGTTTTGGGGGGTAAATAACTAAATTTATACTGTCATCTTGTATGATCATGGAATATTTTCTATTTTACTTTCCTGCCAGATTTGACAGTAAATATCCGGCTATAGTTTCAAAATTATGATAAATTTTTAGAGTTTACCTTCTTTGCTGCATTATTGTCACATATACACATGCAAAATTATGATAGCAAAACCTTGTATCCTATGATTCATATCAATGACACGTAATTCAGTTCTTTTGCAGTGACAACTTAAAAGGAGCTTCCGAACCTTTTCTCAGTGCCAATGTGAATCCGCGTGTTGTTCGGATAGTGGATGCGTGTCGATTTTATTTAGGCCTTTAAGTTGGGAAGATTTAAGCAGAGAACGACCTGACTGGTCGTTTGATTACCACGTGATCTATCTCGGACGCCTCTCATGAGCACTTCTCGTTCAGTTTGATCGTCGACTTGTACCACGCCGTGAAGCACTCCAAACTGCTGCAAGCGATGCTCCGTGGACACCCTGGTTCATAGGCGACACAAAAATAAACGCTGCCGTAAACTTAGAACCGGCTCTGCGCAGAAGTACACTCAACCAAAAAAGAAGAAAGAAAGCCCCCCCCCCCCCCCATTACAACCGATTAGCGCAGATTCCTCTAGTTAGCAATCCAGCCATACTCTTTGTTTGGCCGAAAACAGCGATAATCTGCTGCTGCTGCTGCTGCTGCTGCTGCTGCTGCTGCTGCTGCTGCTGCTGCTGCTGCTGCTGCTAGTCGGCTGCGCAGCAGCCGGTCACAATGTTTCTCCAAATGGCTCGATTTTGGGCGGCCTCACGGATCTCCTTAGGTGTAAGAGCTTCTTCTTTACTGAGTAGTCTGGCAATGTACTGTGGGTACATCAAGGAAGGTCTTCCTTTCCTACGGTTCGCATGGACAGGTTGGTAGAGGGCGTAGAGGTTGACCAGGTCGTCTTTTGGTTTTCTCAGCGCATGTCCAAGCCATCAAAGCTGCCGCTCTCAAATGGTGATGGAGAGGGTCTGTTGTCCTGTCATTTCATAGATTTCGTCATTGCTGATGTGGTCTGTCTGCCTGATCTTCAAAATGATGCAGTAACAGTTTGTAGCAAAGCTATCGATGTAAGCTTTGAGGTGTTCACTACCCACGACTCACAAGCATACATGAGAATGGCGAGGCATACATGAGGATGGCGAGGCATGAAGTTTGGAAGATGAAAGTGATAATGTGCACAAACCTATGCAATTAATGACAAGTTGTACCAAAAAAAGTTGCTCTTGTGTGCATGTGCAAGGTGAGTGTGCACCACAACTTGCACGTATACAAAACTGCAGCTGTTTTCAGTCACATTGGTCATAAATTGCATACATTCGTACTCATTATCACTGTTTTGGGCCAAATAAAGAGCATGGCTGGATAGCTAAGAAATGTTTGTACTGATTAGTTGTTATTTGAGCGAGAGGTGCTCAGTAGTTTTTGAGTTAGACAAAAAAGTATTGGAGGGGGACCCTTTTTCTTTTGATACTTTCCTCACCTATCGTCTATCTAATCAGGGTAATCCAGTCGACAAGGCGTGAATTTGGTTTTGAAACACCACTTTAAGGAAACATGCAAAAGGATATGTATGACATAAATACATCTAAAACAGCTATCTTGCTATGCTACTATGACTGTCCACCTCCTTTGTAGTTTGTAGCAGTAAAAGGGAGAAATGTCAACATTTTAGTTTTTATGCTAATGAAAATCTCCATATTCATGAGCCAAAGCGTGACGTCATTCAAGCAGAACAGTAGTGTCTCTATATAGCTTTGTGTACAAATATATATAATTATATCAAACTTTTATTCATTCTCTTGGACTTAGATCCACTTTTTACATGTCTATCGTATTAAACAGCTGGTTTGGACAATAACAGTGGCCAATATTAAAACAGGACTCGTTTATACTACGCTGCAAGGGGAGTCTTGATTATTACGTCACGATTTACTATGTTTTGTTTGCTGCCCCCAACGACGACTTTTACACAAATTGCACGTTCGGGTCGAAACAGGACCTGAAAACAGCTCTCAAAAGTACTTTTTGTACTCATTTCATGACAGACACAATAGTAGTTTTTATTTCATCACACCTTAGGCTACATATACCCGAAAAATGACGGGAATGTCTTCGAGCATTCCACAACCTCTTTAAACAAAGGACTTACTCGCAGCACTTCGTCAGAAACTCCTTCGTCCACGTTTCCTTGGCAATGCTTTCTGCTAGAAGACAAGGACTGACGTCAGTGGAGAAATTAAAGTAGGTGGTGAACGTGCTCCATCTGAAAAATAAAAGATATCAGATCAATGCAGTGGTACGCTGTGATTCAAAACAAATTGCAAACACTTTATAACGGAATGTCAGACTTATGGGCTTCGTGCACCAACAAAGAAGGCGCCCTTTTACCTAGCAACGACGTCCCATGGGCGGGACATTTAGCTGGACGTTGACGCGCACCGTTCCTTGTGTATGACCACAGACATGTCTGTGTGTGTGACGTACGTACACCAAGGGATTTGTACTTTGTACACGTAGTGGTACATGGTTCGGCCGCGCGTCGCGGCAAAATTATTGCAGTCAGGCAAGATGGCGTCGGTCGGTCACCCCCAACTGTGCTTTCTTTGCCGGTAAGGGGGGACTTGTGAACGGAGCAGATAATGTGTAGCCAGTATAGATTAGGCGGTTTGAAAGATACAGCCACCTTTCCACTATCAAATGAGACATCAAACGTCCAAATCTGATATCTTTTGACAAAGTAATGAGCAATTTCCCAAGAGAGGTCAGATTGACCATGGGACCAAGTTTTCAATTTTAGGCACTGGGACAAAGGTAGCCTTATGTTGCCTGTGTGTGGATAATTGCCAGGCCTATCAAAGAAATGTGTTTAGCGAGTAAACACAATTCTAAGCATTTTCTTGCTAAATACCATATATCCGTCCTCATGCTAAAAAATGTTACGCTTAAAATGTTTAGCATGTAAACATGTTTACAAACTGTCTGAGCGATGGCGTCACACAAGTGTGTCAATCAAGTACCAAATTCGCAACCTCGGGAGAATCAGGAGATTTATTGATCAAACAACATGTCACAATGCAGTGACTTGTGTTTGCTCTTCCCGCTCGCACTCATACCACTCCGCTAATACACGATCTCCACTTGCCTCCTGTACACAACTGCATCACCTTCAAAATTGTTCTACTAGTCTTCAAGTCACTCATGCACCTGACTCCTGGCTACATTTCTGACTGTTTGGAACGCCACGTCCCAACTCGCACTACCCGTTCATCATCTGCCATATCATTTATCCGCCCAATAACTAAAAAGCACGCTGGCGAGATGTCCTTTTCTTCCTCGGCTCCAAAGCTCTTGAATAATCTACCACAAGTTCTCAGGACAACTCCATCTCCATTTCTCTGTTCAGAAAGAACTTAAAAACTTACCTCTTCACGCATTAAGTTTCTATTTTTTTGTATGCGCTTTGTATCCTTGGGAAAAGGCGCTTTAGCAAATTCATCGTTATTATTAAGTATTTTCGTCCATATACATGCAGGTAGGCCTTTATCGGTAAAAAAAAAACACGAAAAAGGCAAGCCGCATTTCAATAACTTTCAGTGCCCTCTTGAAAAAATGGTTCACCCCAGGTGCCCCCTAGATGTTTCACCTCAGTTATGCCCCTGGCGAGATCCTTGAGCAAAGCCATTGGCAGTTAGGACGGACCGCCATATCAGTGGGTAGGAATGAGATAGCTCAGTCGGTATATAATCGGTACAGTACTCCGGAGTTGTCAAATGTTCGGATACACCTCGAGCTCATTTCTTTCTACGCGAAGATTTGAGATCACTAGGAATGGAAGTAAGTCAGTAGATGAACTTACATGAATGAGCATCTCAGATGCACTTGTGGCCTTCTGTCTTCATCATCCAACTCGTTTCTTTTGCCCATGCTGGAAAAAAAAAGGACATTTGGAAAAATTTGACACAGTTTGACATGATCTTAAACGTAATGAGTGTAAAGTGTCTATATCAGAATTTAAAAGGCGTGAGCTTAAGTTTGAGTTTTAGATACACTAGTTTCAGTTACAATCAGCATGAATAAATTGGATAATTTAATAGGCACCATAATATTTCTCGATGCATTGTCAGAGTCTGTCACCCGTCTCTTGTAGTCACGAAGGTAGAAAGTACCAACCATTTATAGTTTTGACAATGTGTTCGATTCGTAGGCCTAAATTCTCAAAATCATGAACGCTTGAGGGTCTTGAAATGAAACTGAGGCAGTTGAGGTTATATTTGCAACAACACAAATGTGAAGCTCACCTTGAAGTGCATGAGTTGTTAGGAAGTTGCCAGTTATGTATCACATGGTATACCTGAAGCACACGGGGTGACAGTCGGCTCAACCTCAGGTGCATGTGTATGTTTCATCCTAAGTTGAAACTTCACATGCATGAACTTGTTCGATTCGGGCGATTCACAATGTAGTGCGCCACCAAGAGTTTGCCGTGGAGAGCCAACTTTTTAAGTTTACGGTCGACAAAACACGACTCATTTGAATGAGTGTCAACCTGAGCTAATTTGTTATAAATTGGGCCAAAGCATTCTGCCGCCTTACAAAAAAAAAACACCATATGGATACAAGGGGAAAAAAAGGCCAATTATACTCGACACTTACGAAAATACTGACTGGAAAAACTAACAATTTCAAATGTCCCGCGCTACGAATTTGTCGACCATCTCCCACAATGCACTGGTAAAAATGAAGTCTCATTAGTAAACTCTTGGTGGCGCATTGCATTGTAAATGGCCCGAATTCACGTGCTTGACGTGAGTCACTTTTTATATTGTAGGCGTCGTTGGTTTTTTTTTTACGTACCGGCAGAGACCATTGAAGCTGATCCTCCAGATCTTTAATGGGTCAGTCACCGTGAAACTAAGCCCTGCAGCGCTGAATCCACTCCCATGAATATTGTCCACCACACAGTGTGGGTGTTGAGGGAGCACCAGATCCCCAAGGCCCGGTAGACGGAGTAGGAACCACACATCACGGCGGCCTTCCGGCCTGTTAGCCACGCAAGCGACCAGGCGCGTTGCACCCGTCTGGTCCGAACCGTTCACATAGAACGAGTTGTTACCCTAGAACCGAAACAAGTGCATGCGAGTGCACAATAAGCTCTGGCCGTCTCGCATGAAAGCCTTGCAGGAAATCTATCAAAATGATCCCTGCCAGAGCTTAAAATACGACGCCCAAAAAATGCGACGCCGATGGCACATAATGAAACACCATACTCAGATGTATACCTAGATTTATAGCGATGCTGTGAAAAATACCACGTGCCTACAACATTACGCATATTCTGCCTCCATTTACAAACTTTTAATACGCACTTCGAACTGTTACAAACACAAACAATTTTGTTAGGTATTTAATAGATTTGGCTTGTTTTTTTTTAATTCAGCCAATAATTTGATAGTTCTATTTTGTGGGAAACTTATGGGCCTTATTTTGATCAATTTTGGGGACAGACATAATATTATGCAAAATAAACACGCATGCGCATCGGCCGTTGAATCAAAATGGCTGTTCCAAAAGCCTTCTGCAAGAGTGCATTTTGCATGGCATTTGGTCAAAGAGTCAATTATTTTTAGCCAGTTTTCGGGGACATAATAGACTAACCGACCAACCGACCACCAAGTGGCATAAAAACTCCTGCAAGAGCTAAAAAAAAGGGGGCTCTAAGCTAACGTCGTTCAGACATTTTCTATCAGTTATAATTACCTATAATATAGGTTTTCCCGTCCAATTTCGCACTTAGTGCATGCAAAAGTAACGATAGGTCATTCAATTTCGCACATAGTGCATGAGAAAGTATAAATAGGTCATTCAATTTCGCGGATAGGACAGCCAAAATCACCAATCGGCATTCAAATTCGCTATGGGGCAGCCGAAATGGCCAATCGGCATTCAAATTCGCTACAGTGCAGCCAAAATGGCTAATTGGCATTCATAATCGCGTTAGGGCAACCAAATTCGCCAATCGGCATACGAATTCGTACATAGTGCAACCAAGCTCGCCCTTGAAACCCCCTCGAGCTAAGTTGGAGCATTCTATTTCGCCATAGGGCATCCAATTATACAATTTGTGCATCCAATTTAGCACATGTAATTTTTGTTCTATTTTTTTTTTATAGCTTTCCCATGTTTATGTCTTCTTCCACTTTATGAGCTTGCTTTGTCTGTATTAAGTCGCCGAATACAAATCATATTTATCGGATGGCCCAAAGGCATATGAATCAACAGAGGGAAAATGTCCTTACATTTCCCTCTGTTAATTCATATGTTTTTGGTTTAATCTTTGTAAATGTTCCTTCTTAATGTATATTTTCTTGTGGTCATTTGCACCATCTCTTTAATTATATATATGCATTGACTAGAGACATAAATCATAGCATGTATACAATATCATGATTTTCTTCTTTCATATTGCATATATATATGTACTTTTTGTGTTTTTTATCTTGTATCTGTTTTCATATGATTTTAATCATTTAAACAATCTTTCATCACAACTTAAGACATTGATTACGGTTTTCTTCCCTTATAATAATTCTTTGTTGAACGTTTTTAATCTTTTTAAAACATAATTATAACTAAATGTATATACCAAATATGATATCGCAACTGCAGATGGTTATATTTACTGATCTTTGGTAGGAAATTTACATGTTAAAGTTCAAAGCTCAAAACTCAGTCATTTTTTCAGCCATTGATGTTAATTGCGTAATGTCTGCCAATGTAAATTCTCAAGCTGCTGATAATTATATGTGGAAAGCAAAAGGTGAAATGCAAAGAATGCATTACCAAAGGAGATGAAAGAAATATATATACAAGCTGGTGAGGAACAAAATAACTTGCTCAATAAGCAGGCCAATGCTTCTATAATTTACATTTTACCTCTAGGAGACAAAACAAATACAACTGTCGATGCCCAGGCATCTGTAAAAAATAATGTAAATTGTCCAGTGAAGTTTTTTGATTGGTCATTGGTGGCACACATATTGCAGGTTGGGAAAAACGCGCAAAGAATATTTGAATATGTATTACTGTATACAAGTCATGAAAATACAGTGCTAAATTGAATGCACTAGTTATGAACGTGAATACCCTATAGCGAAATTGAAAGCTCTATCTTTAGTCACGTGTCCTTCCGTGGTAACTTGAATGCACTATGGCGAATCTGAATGCTGTTTTTACACTTTTGATTGCTCTATGGCGAATCTGAATGCCCATTATGAATTTTTGGCTGCCGTATGGTGATTCTGAATGACTGTTTTTCTTTTTTGACTGCCCTATGGCGATTTTGAATGACTACTTTGAATTTTTGATTGCCCTACAGCAAAATTGAATAAACTATTTATACTCTTGCATGCACTAAGTGCAAAATTGGACAGGAAAACCTATAATAATTACCCTGGATTGGACATTTGGGAGACATCCCCATAGACTTGTGCACAAAATGTTGTGACCAAAAGACCATGTTGCATAAAAAAAGGACACAGGACTTTCTAAGTGACTACCCCAAAACACTATACCAACACAATGTTCAGAATAGGCCTTTTGCTATCAACAAAATGGCAACAATGGGCATCTGGGCAATGAAGGCAATAAAAGAAATAACAGAACAGGACATCCTTTAAGGGACATTTATTTAACTTGAAACTGAGTTAAAGACCATCGTTGTTTTTCTGCTTCATATGAGGGCTTGGATTTCATTTTGTTGGCGAAATTCCTGCAGGGTGTTGGCACAATGCGGTACACCGGTCCTTGAGGTACCCCAAAGTAAACAGACTAAAATGGGTAAGATCTGGCGATCTTGGGGGCCCTTGTCCAGGTTCTCGCTTGCGCGCAGCCATTTTGTCCGTATTTTACAACGTTTCTGCGCTGTACGAACGTTAATAGGCTGCCGTACCTCTCGAAGGTGTTCTTCAAATTGACCTATCGATCGTGTCTTGTACGCTACCTTTTCCATAAAACTTTCTGACCATCAAGGCCCTTTTGAGACGGCAGAAACCTGTGGCCTCGCCATGGCTACTGTGAAACGTTCTGTCTTGCAGTTTGCTTGCTGTTAAATCAATATATATTTCCCTCAAGGGAGGAAGCATTGTGTGATAGTGTTTTGGGGAGTCACAAAGAAAGGCCTGTATCCTTCAAGTTTGCATGCATGGCTGAATATCAGTGAAACATGTACCGAGTGTGTCAATACCCGGATCAAATGTTAGCTGAAGAGAAAAAAACTGGTAACCTTTCCCGTTTTTGTGGGAGACAAGGACTTATGCAAATGGACTTCTTTTTTTACTCACCCTGTATATAATCAAGTCACCTCGGCTAGCGGCTTAGCCTTGAAGGCAAGGCTGCGTGTATCAGTGGTGACTGCTCTATGTTCCGACACCCCTAAGTTCCGACAACCCGTACTTAAGATTGTGTTACTCCCCGGTTATTGTCGAACATTAATCATGATATAGGTTTGGAACAGCGCCACCATGGGAATATGGTGTCCAGTCCCCCCCCCCCCCCCCCCATTCGAACCTCCAATTTTGGAGTTCAGGCATAGCTATTGAGCTATACATGTAGTCACTTCCTAAAGGCTCTTTGGGAGATTACTCTCATGTATCAGATGACCTCTGTTGTCGTGAAGGCGTTGGATGTGGTGACAAGTCGGACAAACTTTTCAACCCCCGTACACTTTCAACGAAAGTTCCACCATGATTACATGAATGAGGATTTACTAAGATATGTAATGCTGTATAAGTAGAGCAAAATAAAGCACCGAACACAAACATTGGATTATGTAATAATTCTGACGGATATATACGTCCGTTTAGCAGCTGGCTAGCTTGCACAATGATCCGACTGCTGGCTGGTAAGGGCTATCTCACGTGATCTCTGGAGCCGTGAAGCCATTATAGCGTGAGGTGGAATTAAAAATGGACGCCTAGCTTACGCACTCAACCAAAAAGAAAGTCCCCCTTTATACTTTTTTTGTCTAACTCAAAATCTACTGGGCACATGTTGCTCAACTTACGACTGATCAGTGCAGACATTCCTTAGCAATCCAGCCCCACTCTTTGTTTGGCCCAAAATAGTAATAATGTGTACAATATTAAGCAATTTATTAACTTTTTAGTGGTACCGAAAAAAAGTAACACTTGTGTATACGTGCAAGGGAGTGTGAACCACAACTTGCACGTACACAAAGGTGCCACTGTTTTCAGTATCATTTGTCATAAATTGCATAAATTCGTACTCATTATCACTGTTTCGGGCAAAATAAAGAGTATGGCTGGATTGCTAAGGAACTTCTGTACTGATTAGTCGTTATTTGAACGAGAGGTGATCAGTAGTTTTTGAGTTAGACAAAAGGGGAGACTTTCTTTTTTGGTTGAGTGTATGAAATCATCCAAACGCGAATTAGCTTGAACAGCACTAGGCCTGTAGTCTGAGCCAGTTCACGGTTTGGCTACAGTGGGTACATGCAAGGACGACATAATTTCACACTGTGGTGTCACTTTACCACCTAACAACTTTACCACAACATGGAGAGAAGTTTGTTATTAGATATATGGAATTCAAGCCTATACACTACTCTCACAATACAGCTTAAATTGAAGTGATATATCTTTCATACATTGAAAACACGTTTTGACAATCATAATGGATTCTATTTTTTTTTCTACTTGAAGGAAGAGTGTAGGCCAATTTTTATTTGGGTATTTCACAAACTTACGTGAGGAGTGAGATCGGTGTCAGTTGAGCAGTCGAACGTGGCCAGCTCGCGAAAATCCTTTAGCATAGCTTTATAGTCCTCGGCCCTTCTGCGAATATGCAACAACTTTCGCCGTCTGATCATCAGCAACACACGGACCAGGTAGAATTTAAAAGTGTACCAAGGCCATGGTATGGTGTGGCTTGCATCGCGGGGCGGTAGCCCCGGGGATCCCGCTGATAGTTTCACGGCGAAGTATATTACAGCGAGAAGAATCACACCAAGGGTAGATAACCAAATGAAGGCATCCATTTTGATGGATGTAAAGTTTCAACGGGTATACAACTTCTATGTATAAGGGAACGGAGGTTTTTAGTTTTTCTTTTCAGAGTCATACAGAACTACGTACGTGTTATTTCATGCGTACTGCCGATTGTCCATACACATCGGGGCCTACACAAACTGCAAAATCATACGCTATTGTATTCCACCATAGAGCATGAAAATTGACCCCTTGTACAAGGTGGGGCGCTACTGGGCCGGTCGATTAAGAAAATTAGCGCGTAAAAGTTGGAGTTTTAAAAGTTATGTTGGTATATTGATTTCCTAAGAAAATCACCCCCGGAAAAGGCAATTGTAAAATTGTTACTAGCATCTCAATTTATGGAGACTGAAAAATCGCATGACATGAAAGAGAAATATCGTGCCAACATCTGGACTCTCATTTGCGAAAATCTAAAATACATGTGGGCTAGTGGAACTCGGAGCACTTGTACAAAGATTATATAAAAAAAAAAATAAATAATTTTGCGGCGATCATAGGGTTAAAACTGAAACTAAAATAGGAGACTAAGGCCAAATAAAAAGATGTTGAGCGTCCTCGCCTGCCTCCTTTTTGGAGGCCGCCTCCTTTTTTTTTTTGTTTCTTTTTTTTTAACGAAAAAAATGACGAATTTGTATCACTCAGTGACATCATTTTGGCCTCTTGTCTGTTGCATCTAGCCCATATATAGCTGGTATGTCATTCCCGAGTCCAAGTGGCAGCCATTTAAAAAAGAAGATGGCGGCCATCTTGACAAGATAGCCGGTCGAGCAGCCATTTTGGCAGGACGCTAAACATTTTTTTTTAATATTTGACCTCAAATGTCTCATGGGACACACACTTTAACTAGAACTAAGAATTAACTAGAAGGACAATTTTTTATTTTACAAACAATAAAATCTACAATGACCGTTGTTTTCTTAATTTTTTTATTTTTTTTAACTGGGTACTTGGGTAGCCCATTCAGTAGAATCCACTGATCTCGCATGAGTCCCAGTAAAGAGAAGACAGTGTGAGGATATTACAGTTTTCGATGCGACAGGAAAAGCCCAGAAGCATATTCTGGGGAAAACCCACGGAATCAGGCAGAAACTGAAAGCCCAATCCACATATTGGCCAAGGCGGAATTCAAAGGCGGGTCACTCGAATAGCGGTGGAAGGCGAGGAAAGTACCACTACATCAACCTGACTCCCTCCACACCTACCCGACTCCCCCCATCAAGAAAGTTGATAACAAATGATCATATTCAAGCAATTCCGACCAAAATAATAATTCATAGGATATGTAGATAGGTGCAAATCTTCGGATCGTTAGCATGATCGTTGTCACGGAAGTACGCGATGTGAAAACAAACGTGGACGAGCAACAAGAACTTGGTACGAAAAACCGGATGTAAAAGGTCGCATGTACAATTTGTTGTTTACCCATGTCCATCTGATTTCTCATCATTTTTGGTGTTGTGGAACGCCGAGATAAAATTCCAACATTTTTCTTGTGATGAAAATACGGTTTGATATCATTCTGTCAAATATGATAGCAAAAAAAGGGCAACCCCGTGTAAAATGCCCACAGAAAGGTCGCGGGGGTCCGGAAGCTCAAAGACAAAATGGCGAACTTTTAGGCTCTATTTGAAAGGGATTTCCAAGGTGTGCAACAAGTTTCGCCGTCTGATCATCAGCAACACACGGACCAGGTAGAATTTAAAAGTGTACCAAGGCCCTGGTATGGTGTGGCTTGCATCGCGGGGCGGTAGCCCCGGGGATCCCGCCGATAGTTTCACGGCGAAGTATATTACAGCGAGAAGAATCACGACAAGGGTAGATAACCAAATGAAGGCATCCATTTTGATGGATGTAACGTTTCAACGGGTATACAACTTGTATGTATAAGGGAACGGAGGTTTTTAGTTTGTCTTTTCAGAGTCATACAGAAACTACGTACGTGTTATTTCATGCGTACTACCTATTGCCCATACACATCGGGGCCTACACCAACTGCAAAATCATATGCTATTGTATTCCACTATAGAGCATGACAATTGACCCCTGGTACAAGGTGGGGCGCTACTGGGCCGGTCGATTAAGAAAATTAGCGCGTAAAAGTTGGAGTTTTAAAAGTTATTTTGGTATATTGATTTCTTAAGAAAATCACCCCCGGAAAAGGCAATTGTAAAAATTGTTACTAGCATCTCAATTTATGGAGACTGAAAAATCGCATGACATGAAAGAGAAATATCGTGCCAACATTTGGACTCTCATTTGCGAAAATCTAAAATACATGTGGGCTAGTGGAACTCGGAGCACTCGTACAAAGATTATAAAAAAAAAAATAATAATTTTGCGGCGATCATAGGGTTAAAACTGAAACTAAAATAGGAGACTAAGGCCAAATAAAAAGATGTTGAGCGTCCTCGCCTGCCTCCTTTTTGGAGGCCGCCTCCTTTTTTTTTTTTTTTCTTTTTTTTTTAACGAAAAAAATGACGAATTTGTAACACTCAGTGACATCATTTTGGCCTCTTGTCTGTTGCATCTAGCCCATATATAGCTGGTATGTCATTCCTGAGTCCAAGTGGCAGCCATTTAAAAAAGAAGATGGCGGCCATCTTGAAAAGATAGCCGGTCGAGCAGCCATTTTGGCAGGACGCTAAACATTTTTTTTAATATTTGACCTAAAATGTCTCATGGGACACACACTTTAACTAGAACTAAGAATTAACTAGAAGGACAATTTTTTTTATTTTACAAACAATTAAATCTACAATGACCGTTGTTTTCTTATTTTTTTATTTTTTTTAACTGGGTACTTGGGTAGCCCATTCAGTAGAATCCACTGATCTCGCATGAGTCCCAGTAAAGAGAAGACAGTGTGAGGATATTACAGTTTTCGATGCGACAGGAAAAGCCCAGAAGCATATTCTGGGGAAAACCCACGGAATCAGGCAGAAACTGAAAGCCCAATCCACATATTGGCCAAGGCGGAATTCAAAGGCGGGCACTCGAATAGCGGTGGAAGGCGAGGAAAGTACCACTACATCAACCTGACTCCCTCCACACCTACCCGACTCCCCCCATCAAGAAAGTTGATAACAAATGATCATATTCAAGCAAGCCCGACCAAAATGATAATTCATAGGATATGTAGATAGGTGCAAATCTTCGGATCGTTAGCATGATCGTTCTCACGGAAGTACGCGATGTGAAAACAAACGTGGACGAGCAACGAGAACTAGGTACGAAAATCCGGATGAGAAAGGTCGAATGTACAATTTGTTTTTTACCCATGTCCATCTGATTTCTCATCATTTTTGTTGTTGTGGAACGCAGAGATAAAATTCCAACATTTTTCTTGTGATGAAAATACGGTTTGAAATCATTCTGTCAAATATGATAGCAATAGAAAGGGCAACCCCGTGTAAAATGCCCATAGAAAGGTCGCGGGGGTCCGGAAGCTCAAAGACAAAATGGCGTACTTTTAGGCTCTATTTAAAAAGGATTCCCAAGGTGTGTTGATTCGTCGCGAATTGAAGTATTTGTATGTAAGGGATTTTAAGCCCGAATTGCAGCCCACGAAATTAATTCTGGTTAAAAAAGGAGCATTTTGAAAGTACACTTTCAAACTCGAAAACTTTAGTACACGAGAACAAAGAAATTAGAAATTAAAACATTAGAAATTTGTTTGGTTGTTTGCCTGGCTTTGATTTTCAAAATGGCGTACCAAGCGAGTGGTATGTTGCTTTGTGCAATAGCGTGCAGGCAAGGGTCCTCGGGTGTAACATGATTACGTGCCGGAATTCGTCGCACTGATAATCACAACCTTCGTCGGGACAACAAAATGGAGATTTACTGGAACAAGTTATAATTACAGAAAACCGTTAAAAGTGTGGATGACAATACATGTATAGAGTAAAACCATGGCATTAAACAAACCTCTTTCCATGGGTGTCGCCAGTTTTTCTAGAGGGGGGGGGGGGGAGCAAAGCACTCACCAGAAGCAAAGGAAGAAATTATCGGCTGTGGATAAATCCAAAGGGGATGGTAGAGGTTTTGTTAAAAACCGTCCATGTTATTAAATATAAAGTATTATGATTCGCTCCTCTTCTTCTTTTTTTCATTTTCTTTCTTTTTTTTTTCATTTTTTTTTCATTTCTTTTTTTTTTTTGCTTTTCCGGAGGGGGGTTGCCCCCTTGCTCCTCCCCCCTTCGCGACACCCATGCAAGCGAATATTTGTCTATCTGAAGAGATTGAAGCATAACCATATTTTATAAAAGTATGTTAATAAATAGCAAAGGCGTAGCCAGCGGGGGGGGGGGGGGGTAGGGGGGTTTATTTTGTAAAGACTGCCTTTTTCCATTCAAATGCCCTTTTTTCAACGGGCTTAACCCCCCCCCTCCCCCCCCCCCCCCCCCCCCCCCCCATAATTTGTAAAGAGTGCCCTTTTTTACGAATCGCCCTTTTTTCTGAACCAGTGCCCTTTGCAAAAAAGAAGTGTTGCCCTTTTTAGTGGCATCTGCCTTTTCGGGTGCCTTTTTCAGAATTTCGCACATGTATCGCCCTAAAAAGCACCATATATTGGCCCTTTGTGTGCATAATTGTCGATTTTGAACAGCGCGGATGTGCAAGTGCCCTTTTCAAAAAAAATTACACCCCCTAATAAAAATGACCGTGCTACGCCCCTGAATAGTTGAGATGGCATTCAAGATTATCTCATCTCTCTTTTTCACCGTTGAAGAGGTACGTCTGCACGTCTATACAAATCATGTTTTCTGTTCAATGTAATCAGCAAGGGAACGTATGGATGGATACCTCAACAGATCCGTTACCTTGACATCAAAGGTTGTTTTCTGTCTTAGAAGCACCGACAATCTTACCAGGACGAGAGAGTGGGCGCCTAATTCCATGAAAGTTGTGTCACTTGGAATTCGACTTGAGTCTGGAAAGCCCATCGCTTCAGCCAACAGCATTCTCAAAGTTGAGACAGTTTTAGTTTCCTCCGTGTTATCCGTGGTCTCCTCCTTAGTCTCCATCTTGACAACATCATTGATACTCGGGAGCATTTTGTAGTTGACCTTTCCGTGAGCAGATAGCGGCACTTCGTCTATGGTGCTGACACGATTGGGCAGCATGTAAAGCGGAAGATCACCTTGTAGCTTTTGGCAAACATATCTGCGACCTATCTCGATACCACCAGTTTGGCTGTTCTCATCAAGCACCAGAAAGGCGCACAAAGACCCAGTACTGTCAGACTCTTCACTGGTAGTCATCGGTACAACACAGGCAGCCTTTACTCCCGGAACAAGTCGCAGTATTTTGTTTTCTATCTCTGTAGTGCTAATCCTGAACCCTCTTAGTTTGACCATGCTATCCAATCTACCCATCAGATCAATGTCTCCAGTTGGCAGCCAGTAAGCTGCATCACCTGTCTTCAGTGCCACACATTGAACATGCTCCAAGTGAACAAGCTCTGCATCCCCAGATGCCAAGACATCACCACTGATGTACAGTTCACCGACTGTACCCACTGGGCATGGTCGTAAGGTTGAGGGGTTCAAGACATGGAACCGAACACTAGGAAATGGTTTCCCAATCGGCACCATGCCACTCCTGGTCCTTGACAACACTGGTCCTTCAAAGCAAGACGAGTCAATGGTAGCCTCTGTCAACCCGTAAGTGTTGAATACTCTTTGGGTTGGCTTCAAGAGATCCCTGATTTTGTTGTAGATGTGTACTTGGAGTACATCTGATGAAATGATCAAGATATGGAGCGATTCAAGCTGATCAGGCTTGGCAGCCTCCACAAGCTGTCGAGCAAACTGTGGTGTGAACTCTGCCACAGTGACACTCTGCTCGTGGATGAGATCGAGTATGTGGAAGACATCCAACCGGAATTCATCTGGACAGATTGTCAATCGGCCAAAAGAACATACTAGGGCTCTGACCAGATCCCCTGTGAAGACGTCAAATGAGATGGGTGCCCACTGAAGACAGTTCACTGTCATGTCAGGTAACTTGTACATCTTTTTATAGGCTGCAGCTATAATACCAAGGCTCCTGTGAGAAATGTTGCATTGTTTGGGGATTCCTGATGAACCGGATGTCCTGATTACATATGCCAAGTTGTCTACGGGTGTGTTCCCGACCACTCTGCTTTGAACCATATCATCTGCAGGATACGTGATGAGATCTTTGACATTAAGGACAGGACATTGCTTCCTTGATGTGGTGGGGATGGATAAAGCCTCGAGTCGAGTGTTGTACAGCACAGCAGCTGGCTCACACCTCTCAAAGATTCCCTTCAATGGATTCTGATTACTTACTACAACAGGTAAGAAGTGACCTCCGGCTTTCCAGATTCCGAGTACCGATGCCACTGTGTATTCATCCTTCTGCATGACGATGGCAACCGGTCTCTTTTGAAGTGTAAGTTGGTCGGTGTTTTCAAGGAGACCCCGAGCAATGCTGGATGCCATGACATTGAGCTGCTTGTATGTGAGAGAGACGTCTCTACAAGACACTGCGATCAAATCTGGATTCTTGACAGCGTGGTCTTCAAATACCAAGTGGACTGGTTGTTCAGGGATGGTTTGACTTTTCTCAAGATGATGACTGAACGACTCAAGAAGATCGAGCTCAGATGTGGATAAAACTTGAATGCTCTGCGTGACATTGTCTGCTTGTTGATAGGCTTCACAGAACGTATGAGTAACACCTTCAGCCAATCTCTGAGCTACACCTGCTTCAATTAATTCGTCTGCCCATTCTACAACGATTTCGATTGTCTTCTCATCTCTCTTGAAAATGACGTCAAAGTCTACGGGCATCTTGGCGTGCTTTGCAGGTATACGCATCACCTTAGATGTCTGCATGGTGTAGCTATTTAACATCATGCAACAGAATGATGACATACTCATTCCATGCGCCTCTTTTACGATCTTAACAACCTCTTCAATAGGATACTGAGAGTGACTGTACGTCTCCATCCAGCTATCGGCAACATCTTTCACGTAATCTGTGAAGGTGATGTCGGTTCGCAGAACTTTTCGAAACAGAACTGTGTTGACAAAGAGACCATCGGTGTTTTGGTGTGTCCGAGGTCTTGTTGAAACCGGGACTGCAAGAGTAACGTCTTCAGTCCCGATGTAACGCTGGTAAACCAGCATGGTGCAAGCCAGATAGTACTTGAATGGCGTCACGCCAATCGACTGGCAGTACTTTCTGATCGATTCCATCGACTCTCTTGGGAGGATGATTTTGGCCTGCCTCGCCTTGTAGATATTTGCGTCGCTCCATTCACGCTCGCTCAAAGGGAGAACAGCCAAACTTGCCCGAGTTGGAATGCTTGAGAAAGTCTCTTTCCAGAAAACTTGGTCAGCTCTGTGTCGTGCTGATTCTCGTTCAGCACTCTCCCAGTCTACAAATGATGAATAGGGTGTAGCTGATAATGGAGCTCCTTGAACGTTGGAGGCGCCCGCTATAAGACCGTTGATGTTTCTCAAGAGATTGATGAATGTTACGCTGTCGACGATCACGTGGTGAAAATGAAGTACTAGGATGTTGTTTTCTCCCTGAATGCAGTACCGATAATTGACGAGGGGTCCACGAAAAATATCCATCAATGGTGTTGACTGCTTGATGTAATCCTCAACATCGATGTCAGCATCTAAGATTTCAGGTTTGACGTCGAAGGCCACATTGCTACCCAAAGTAACAACAAACTCCTTTCTAGTTTCATCCATGTCTATTTTGGATGTCAGTATGGGATGCAGTGAGGTAAAAGTCTTGAAAACATCCTGTGGTTCAATATGGTTGGTGGTGCAAACCGCAAACGTTTCAACATAAGCGGTCGATTCGGGGGCTGCTTGCTGCATCATGACCATTCTCTTTTGCGCGGAGGAGAGACCATGACAACCACTGCCTTTCTTTTCAGTCTCAACTTCTTTCAGAGGCTTTGGGTTCTTTACTTGGACTTCAGGTTCATCCATGATGAATACGCTCTGGTTGTAAGACTTCTTTATTGCAGAACCTCGCTATACCCACCACACTGTCGTTGTCGCCTCTTCCCTATTCTTGCTGTAACTTTTATTCTGATTTTGTTGCCCGATATCTGTAAAGATCGTGACAGAAAGGAAAGACGGATGATTTACTGATCACTCATAATTTAGGACACTTATAATGGTGATTGTATTTGTTAGGATATTGATCAACCGTAACACACCTACCTGTTAATTTTGCCAGCCGCTCTCTGCAGGATGCCTAAATACATTGCAGGTGCTCTGTAACGCTTTTCTGAGAATAGAAAGACACAGATGGAGACGCTTAGTACACACGTACATGTCTACCCCCACCCCCAAAAAAGAGAGAGAAAAAAGGGAAACAAAAGGCCTAAAAGCAGTAAATAATATAATCAATAATTTAATATGCAAACATAACAGACCTAGAAATATGGCGGCTTCAGAACCCTATTTTCGGGAGCCCAAGAGGGCTCGAGTATGTTTCTTTTAAAAAAAGGGAAGTGGATTAAGTTCGTGTTTTTTTCCTTACTGTTTTAAAGTGCCAGGCCAATTTCCCGAAATGTTCATTCATTTCTAAAATTCGGTCATTCCGTTTCGTCTGAATTTGAATGCACGTCTTTAATCCCATTTCAATTCAACGAAAGTTCAATCGTTTTCATTGTATGTGCATTCGGTTTTGAGAAACAGATCGACGGCCAATCACGTTACATGTGCATTCATTTACGCAAGCATAATCTTGTTTAAATTGATTTCAGGTACGGCTAATTTGATTGACGGTTAATGAAAAAGAAACCCCGAATTGTATCTGGAGCCGGTGACATTAAACTTAAAGTGAAATAGAAGGGTCAATGTTTGAAATCGACCTCTAAAAACGAAAAAGAAGTCATGTAAACGAATCTGTATGGACATAAATGAAAGGTGCTGCTCAATCACGTAATTGATTGAACAGAAATGGAACCGAAGGCTCTGGTAGCGAAAATGAAACGCGTGTTCCGAGCGATTCTCCCCTTCAGACGAATATGAATGACCGGTTTTCAGAAGTGAAAGAACATTTTAGGAAATTGGCCGGGAAAACCTATATTTTCTCCTATAAGCTTATTATTACTGTGACGAGGCCGTGGCTCCCCTATGAGTTATAGGTGTTGGTTCCACTTCTCCTCAAGAAAGGGAAAGGTGTGGACACAAACATGTAGATGTTGTTTCCAAATTTCCAATTTATTTTGAATGAGTTAAAATGACAATGTACTCTGTCTGAAGCAAAACTCTGTCAATGAAAATATTTGATTCTAAATAATTTTGAGTTGTACATACCGAAGATTAATTAACTTAAATAAATATTAAACACAATATGTGTTACTTTATAAAATTATAATGACATTTGTTGCTCTGTATGCAGTCCAGTGTCCTCCCCAAACCCTTATGAAAATAGCTAGCCTAATTGATAAATGAATAACCATGACTACAATATAGAAACCCAGTCTTAGCCTGGTGCAAAATAACCTTGGCTATATGCCGGTCCTTGAATTTGGACTACTGCATGTGAATCAGGAGTAGGCTAAAAAAATAAATGTAAACAAAAATGCCCTTACAAACCAGACATAAATCTTTGAGACAGCACGTCAACCAATAAAGCGTGATACTGATTTGCACTGTGCGCACGTACAAACAATACTGTTGTAATACATGTACATGTACAATGTCGCAACTTACAGATAAAACACAGCGCACGTAGTGCACAAGGCACGCTCGCACAACTTTGCAATGGCTTTGACATCACCAAAGAGTTGCACGTCAAACAAACACCATGACACATTAAATACACAATTATCACGCCAACCAACATGTTCTAAGTCTCTTAAAGTAACAGCTTATGACTTGATTTAAACTTAACTTACCCCAAAAAAGGCAGTAATTGAGTAAAGAATTCAGCGTTTCTTTAGCCCTCCCTCGGAAAGAAGCATTGCGAATGAAAAGGGACAAACCATGTGCTCGCTCTACCGAGTTTACCGCAACCCCCCATAATTCGCGACAAATAATTACAATAACCGGCATTAGTTTTGATTACTCGAACAATAATGGCATGAGGACAACATTTATACATATAAGAGAGAAGTTCACTCGCCTCCGAGACGATGTTTGCTCCTGAAAGGATCCGAGACCCCGGGCTCCCGCGGCGCCAAAATCGCTCCACGTCCGTGGAAAAATGCGGAGGGTGTCTTCCGCCGGGTCGGACACTTCGGGTCGTCCTGATTTTCCGGTACGGACCGGCGATCCGTTTCGTCGATTTTTCGTGACTGCGTTTTGCGCAGGAATTTGCCGTTGTGTGCGCTTTCACGTTGACTGCCTGGCCGCCCCCTGTGCTGGCTTTTCTCATTACAGACACACTCTCGGAAAAAAATGGTCCGGATAACATTGTTAACTTATTTCTTATGATGGGACTGCGGTTTGGCCGAAGTCAATTGAGCGTGATCGGCTGACTGATAAGGTTTAAACGAACAAAACCCCGAGCCAACGAGGTTTTTGTATAGAAAGCACCCGGACCACATTTTGCGAGAGTGTGTCCGTAATGCTTGAAGCCTGCCGGTAATGCTGAGCCTGCATACTGCCAAAGTTACCAGTGGCATCCCTACTGCAAATAGGACCCATTTTTTTACCCTAATTTTATCAAATCTGCTCTTAGATAATAGCCCAAAAGCTAGGGAGATGATCCTCGGCTATATTCGCACGATTCCACCGATTTTTAAACTAGACGGTCTCGTTTTTTACAAAAAATTGTGGGGGCACTTTTTATGCAAATGAACGACTCGGACGCGTAGAAATTTTTGAAACCCTAATCAAAATTATTGCGCCCGCTGTCGGTCTTATTGCGCCATTCTGATATATCTTCTGTCTGGCACCCCCCCCCCCCCCCCAGCCAGCCACTCCCCCCCCCCCCCCCCCCCCCCACCACCACACCAAAAAAATAATATAGGTTTTCCCGGACAATTTCGGAAAATGTGCGTTTGAATTTGTAAAACATAAATTCAATTTGGCGCCGAGTTTGAGAACGACGTACATCCTGGTTTCATTTTCGCAATAACTAGCATTCAATTTCATTTTGCATCAATCAAATGAATGGATGTGCATAGCGTTTCATTTAAGGGATTACAAATACGTGATTAGGTTTTCGGTTTGACGTATGCGTTGCCGATTATTACGAATGTGCAATCCAATTCGCAGAAAATCGATTGTCTATTGTGACACGGGCTGAATTGAACATTCTTTTTCATTTGTTACAATTTAAATTCGCATTTTTTGCATTCAATTTAAATAAATTTTACAGGCCTATTCAAATCATGATACAACTTTGATTCATTAATTAATCAATGTATGCCTTATTGATCATTAATGTGTTTGTTCTTATATACACAAAGGCCTATGTGAAATGTAGGCAAATGAAATGTGAATTTGATATAAATATGACCAATATGAAATCAATAAAAATAATCATGTAGCCATATTATTGAAACGGTAAAGGGACACATCACGTGCCATGTTACATGGGATCTGCATGGGGACTTTTTGTTGGTTCATTATCTTAATTGTATTTTAATTTCTTTATGTATTTCTTAAGGTTCTCTCTCGTTTTATCAGTTCGATTGTCTATCCTTCAATGACCTGTCTACCAAGACATCGAGGGAGATATGTCTGAGAATGATGTACCAGGCGGTGCACAACCAATGTTGAGTGCAGCCACCTCCTGGAGACGGAGGGATCTCCAGACTTGCAGGTTCACACCAGCTTGGACTCTTGCGTCTTGGTCTCCAAATCTGTCCTGCCATTCAGGAAGCCCCAGCGTGCGCTTCACTCCCGCCTTGAAAGCTGAGTGCGCCATTTCCGTAGGATTTAAGAATGGCGAGTATGGGGGCAGCAACTTGATGGTGAAATTGCCGGCATCAGGGGGTAGTTGGGCTCGGATATGAGGACGAGCGTTGTCATATATCAGATATATGTGTTCGCCTGCCGGGAATAACATACCGCATTCTTGTACAGTCGTCGCTAAGAAATCCTCAAAAGTCGCTCTCGTCACAGTCTCTGATGATATTCTGTGAGCCACAAGTCCAACCTCACCAGAAATGGCAAACGTGATGTTGACTTGCTTGCCTCTCTGGCCATGGACGACACGCCTTGCTGGCTCTCCACGAGGAGCGCGACCATAAGACCGACGGGTCCATATGTTATACCCAGTCTCGTCAATGTACACAGTGTGGCCAAGGACACCAACCTGAAGAAACCAATTTCCAAATATGACTTGTGCATCTAATATGCGTGGCTCATTCCTCTGTTCTGGAACATCTTCCGCTAGTTTAAGAGTTATAAGCATACCATCTAGAGTTCTAGCGATGGTACTAGTGGTCACGAAGGGCTTATCGGGAAGATCAGCTCGCAGTTGAGTATTGAGTTGACGCAAAGTTAGAAGGGGGTTGTCATCTAGATATCCTTGAAGGGCATCTCTCATGTCGTCGTCAACCTTCTGGTTTATGGGTCCTCCTTTCGGCAGCTTATTACGACGACCATCCCGAAGATATACGCCAACGATTGATCTGGCCGTTGAGTGCTTGATGCCCAGCGTATCTGCTACCTGCAGATAGTCAGCGTCGTCAGCCTCAAAGGCATCGATGAGGAGATTTCGGTCAACGTCCGAGATTCGTCGGTATCTCCCTCTTGCAGCCATTATTGGATATTTTAGGACTATGTGAACTGAGACTCTTGGCTATATGATGCGATTGTGGCAAATGCTGAGCAGAAAAAGAACGATTTTCTTAAGGTTAGGTTTTTATATAGGATTTATTACAATAGTTGGTATGTTTCAAAAGACTACACCTCTTGGTTTTAGCTCAATCATCATGAACTTTCAAAAATTCAATCATTCAATCAAGCATTCCTAAAATGTTACTTTAACACATAAATGAATTCCACTGCTTGACCAGGCATACGTTAAATAACACTGCAAGGGAAATTGGCTGCACATTTAGCGAAAAAGATTGATGACAAATTAAAAGGAAAATAGGATTGCGGATGTGCCTTCGATTTCGCGCTAAAATGAAATGTCAATACGCTAAATGCAGTGCACATTCGGGAAATCGTACGCTGATTTTTTACGACTGAATGCACCTTCACGGAAAAAGAATTATCATTTGTTAAATAGAAACAGAGATTTGGAAGGTTCATTCTATTTCGCACGAAAACGAATGCTTCTTTTACAAATTCGTGTACACATGTTCCGAAATTGTCCGGGAAAACCTATAGTAATTAAATACTGTTAAAAATGTGCTCGTTTATTTAGACATTCATGAAGCATATTAAAACTGATTGGATTTTTCCAAAGTGTCTTTCCCATTTGCAAAAGTTCTTTTTAAAAGCCCTTCAACCATTACAGACACACTCTCGGAAAAATGGTCCGGATAACATTGTTCACTTATTTCTTATGATGGGACTGCGGTTTGGCCGAAGTCAATTGAGCGTGATCGGCTGACTGATAAGGTTTACGTACAAAACCCCGAGCCAACGAGGTTTTTGTATAGAAAGCACCCGGACCACATTTTGCGAGAGTGTGTCCGTAATGCTGCGAGTCTAGACTGTGCGAGGTCAGCGAGGTCAACGTAGGGGTTTCGTTTACGTGTTCTACTCAGCCATTCTGCAAAAGTGTTCACAAAACGGTAGTCTGGGGTGGCCTTGGCAAAATATTTTTTCTCCATGGTGCGTGGCCACCAAGTGTCCCTGTTCTTTCCTGTGCTTTGCTTGCCGCCCGTGCGCCGAGTGCAACGAAAACTCAGAAGGACTACACATTAGTATGCCTTGCGCGGTCTGACTAATCGAAAGACTACACTGCGTACGTAGTACTTCCGGGCTATGCGTAAAACCGTCGATGGCAACGCGTACTGCAGCCTGCTCCACACCCTGGAAACGAGGTTGAGTCTACGGTGCTCGCTATTTGAAGCACAAGCATGTGACGTGATAGAGTGCTCTGTTGCTTCCATTGTGTGTTAATTCAGCTCCATGCTTCCACCAAGGCTGAGCTTTGTGAGTTCGCTGCCCGCCACGTATAATTCAGTGTCGCGTTATAATTTCGGGGGCCTGTTTGGGATCAACGAAGGATCGATGCATTTCTTCAAATATCGCAATCTTTAACGCAGTCACAAAAAAATCGACGAAAAAATGTCCGATCCGGCGAAAGACACCCTCTACATTTTTCCACGGACGTGGAGCGATTTTGATGTCGCGGAAGTCCGCGGTCTCGGATCCTTTCAGGAGCAAACTTTTTTCGGAGGCCGAGTAAACTTGCTCTTATATAGCCTAGATGGTTGAACCAACTTGAATAAAAGTTGAATCGACTTTTTCCTCGCAGACAGTCTCGCAAATTGTAAGAAGTTCAAGTTTACGTTTGTTGAAGAGTCCAATACTGAAACTTCATTATGACCTAATTCCTCCATGATTCAAACCGGAAACACTCAACATTTTCATTTCAAATGACACCTTCACGTTTTATTGCATTATGATTTATTGTCAAAACTGTACAATCAGCCTTCGCCTGTGTACTACGGTAACCTTTTCACTACGTTTTCCAAATGCGACTGCCTCACAAAATGCCAATTTAACAGACCAACGGGAACATTTACAGACAGTTGCCATGGTAAATAATTAGCATGTGTGTAAATCAACGGGGGACGGGGAACCCCCCCCCCCCCACCCACATTTTAAAGCGGGGGACATTGTTTGGTCCCCCCACACTTTTTCTTCCCCGAATAAAAATTGTAGCCTACAATAATGATTCTATTGCTCAGAATACATGTATAGCTGATTCAATTACTCCAAACTCAAAACTTTAAAAGATGATCTTTTGCTGAAATTGGTTTTAGTGGTCAGAAATTGCCTCAATTCACACCACAGAAATTGCTTTTCTATAACTGCATGTCTCCTCAACTATATCCCCCATTTACATTTAACTCCCCACATTTCCATCCCCAACACTACGCCCTACCCGATCTATGATCGGGTAAATCAGCTTGTAAAATAATAATTCTACAAATGGCACACTTAAGAGCTCAAGATGTGACCAAAACATTCCAAATTTGTTTTAAAAAGGAATATTACACCAGAGGGAGTCGCTACATTATGCACGAAATACGTACATGAATAATTAATCACCTCGCGTAAGCCCATAGTTCAAAGAAATGCATTTATAAAAAGAGACGGGAAAACCTTGGTCTTTGTGGAGCATTGATCGTCTCTAGATTTAAACCTAGACAAAGTAACATACGTACGCCACTATAACGAACATCGCGGAATCCACAGAAATTGTTCGTAATTAGCGATCGTTCTGTAAAGCGATTTTTTTTTAAGCTGCCGGTGCTCCGGTACTTACTTTTCAATAAACAGGGCCAGAACCCCTACACGCCCTGGTACTTCTAGTTTATACTGAAAGATGACTTTGAACACGTACCGACTATTCAGTAATGTAATTACACAGATTGTGTGCAACTACCTACAGCAATGGGTGGCTTTCGCCTTCTATTCCTTGGGGAAATAATAGCAACTTTTCGCTTTTCTGTTGACATTTTTCAACAACAATATTCGGTACATTTTGTACACAAAACTCGAGAGCCAAGGACGATGTTCGGTGTAGCCGAGTGTTCAGTATAGCGGCGTTCGGTATAGCGACGTTCGGTATAACAACAATTGAATTCGCTTACCTTGTGTATAAACTCTTTGCAGTGGTTGTCGTCAAAAAAACTGTAAAGCTCTGGGTTTCCTCGTGGTGTACCATACTGAATCACAGAGAGTTCACTCACAGGCAATAGAATAGTGGGCACTCGACTAGCCTATATACTGCATGCTTTACGAGACAATGGGGAAGGGCCATAGCGAGAACGTGACCTTATTTGCTTAATTCCCGAAAGTTACTAGGCCTAGTCCACACAACTCACTTAGGCAACTTAGGCCATCTGACGTTAGTGAAACGCCACAGTTAACAAACAGCAACGTGGTTTTAGTATAGCCTATTCAGCTCAAGGATTTTCCACGGTCTTTATGAAATGGACATAGTTGTATGATGAAGAATAAGGTCAGTTGTACAAAGGACAACTGACCTTATTCTTTACCACTATAGCCACCGAGAAGATTGATATGAAAATATTTGCCTAGTAAGGCCCCAAAAAAATATTCTCTGGTCATACCAAAGTTCCGGAATTGACGCGGCCACGCGGCTTTTTTTTTTTTTTCAAGCTTGGATTGTACAGACAAGGTGGGGTACTATTTTGCTTTTTTGGTGTCCTCATGTACATTGGTGTCCTCCATAATTTGCCTTGGTGCTTTCGATCATTTTCCTTGGTGCAATTTCCCATCCCTTGGTGCTCTTTGGTAAAAAAAATTGAGGAGGTGCGGAAATAGAGGGCGCTGTTGGAGCTACCGCGGAACATTTTTGAGAAAAAAAAGATCGATGCGCATGATTAAAATCGACGCGCGCGCTGACCAGAGACCGACTTATTTTTTATTTTTTTGGCCTAATATTGCCTCAGGCTGTTGCCTAATAATAAAATGCAAGTAGATGGGAATCGATGTGACCTGGTGTGATACAATATGGCTATGCTTCCTCAGAAGTGTTATGTCCACTGAGCTGAAATTTCAAAATCATTTGATTTCCAACGATCAGTCAATCGACTGATTTTTGGAAATAGAGAGTGCTATCGACGGAATCGTTTTTTGGGAATCAAAAGATTGTGCATCGTCTCAGAAGTGTATGGTCCACTGAGCTGAAACTTCAGCTGGTCAGGTTTAGAAAATTCTTTTTTTTCGGGTTTTATTATTGGAAACGAACAAAATGCACGGAAAAAAAGATCCTATATACACGCCTTTATAAAGGTCGACCTACAATCCTGGCCAAGATCGCTGGCCCCCAACCCCCGGCCCCCGTTCAATGTTGTCTCTCATTACGCGATTTGTGTTCCATCAGCTGGAGATAAAAACATTGACCGGGGGAGCGGGGGAGTGGATGACCGTGGCAGGCTCAGGAAGTGTCCCAACCATTTTGGCCGGGATTGTAGATTTACCCCTTCAGCTGTACGAATTAGACACATTTTCAACGTTGCTGACGTGCACCCCACTACGGAAGTCTCCGCCTACGTCATAAATCGATACGTCATAAATCGATGCATCGCTACATCGCCCAAGCCTAATGTTGTATCCCAGCATGCATCACTCATAACATGGTCCCTCCCATTAGGGTGCAACAGTGCAAAACATCCCATAGACACTAGTGCTAAATGCCCATAGTTCAAAATTCTTTTAAAAATACTCAGAACTCTCAAAGGTTTTAGGCTGCACAGAAAAATGATGATCAACATGTCATCCTGGTGGGTTGACCATTGACTTTTCGAGAAATTCTCGCCCAAAGACGACGACCCCTATTTTCTCAAAGCGGAACGGTATTGAAAAACGATCCCTCCACAACATGGCAAAATAACGCCACTTTCGAGCCCAACTGTATCCAAAATGCTCAGAATTGGAAGCCCCGAGTCCGGGCTAAAGGTTCGTTGCCACATCTCTTCCATTCCCCAATGTTATGGCTCTCAAAACTCTCTAATATAGATTATTTTGAGGGTATAACTTTTATGCATGGGCTCGGCGGATGGGTTTAGGCCTATTTACAGGTGTGCACCCTTTGATAGGCCCGACAATTTTTTAATTTACCCCAAACCATGCACTTTTACGGCAAGTTGAAGGATCCGTTACTCATATTCCATCAAAAAACAATTGAAAAAAAAATTATTCGAAGTCGATATTATGGGCCCGAAAATAGTGTGTGTTTTTTTGCGCCTGCTAGCTGTACAGCGCCCCCAACGACAATAAATTGAGTTTCAGCTTCTTTGAAGCTGAAAATACCCCCCCCCCCCCCTTTTTCGAATCGAATTGATGTAATAGGCTGATACCCTACAGTTTCCTTACGATTTGGGAGCATCTGTTGCGGAAAAATCCTGGTTGATACCTTTAAAACATTTTTTCCCCTCCCCGTAGATTCCGCCCACTGAAAAACCCCTGCCGCTGTAAAGCGCATGCGCGGCGCGGCCATGTTTGGTATCCTCTTACAGGAAGCAACAGTGCAAAAAAATCCCTCAGACACTTGTGCTAAATGCCCATACTTCACAATTCTTTTTAAAATACTCAGAACTCTAACAGGTATTTAAGCTGAACAGAAAAATGATGATCAACATGTCATCTTCCAATTTCTTATCATTTTTGGGTGGGTTGAACATTGACTTTTCGAGAAATTCTCGCCTATAGAAGACGACCCCTATTTTCCCCAAAGCGGAACGGTACGTAGCCATCTTGAAAAACGATCCCTCCACAACATGGCAAAAAATCGCCACTTTCGAGCCCAATTGTGTCCAAAATGCTCAGAATTGGAAGCCCCGAGTCCGGGCCAGAGGTTCATTGCCATATCGCTACAATTCCCCAATGTTATGGCTCTCAGAACTCTCTAATATCGAAAATTTTGAGGGTATGCTCGGCCCATGGGTTTAGGCCTATTTACAGGCGTGCACCCATAAGCCAATTCAGGTTGCATATGAGAACGTTGCATGACATGGCTGTTATAACTTCATCCAACAACCAGATGTTCATAATTCGTTTGGGTTTGCAGTAAACTGATGAAACCGAAAGAGTCAACTGTCAAATTAAATTTGACAAAAACGGAAACTCGACAAAATATATGTTTAGACACTGAGCACTGGTTCGTCTGAATGTACCTAACTAACTGCAGACTTCATGCACACTCGAACCATGCATAAGGAAACAATTTGTTGATTTTATACCACACTTTGAATTCCTTCCTTCAAATTATTGAGGCATCATTGGTCACTTTTTTACATCAGCGTAATTACGAGGTGAAAAGTACCTATCTTCCAAATGGGGGCGCTCTGCTAAATAGACCATCATTATGCAAGGTCCCCCTTGCCCATGGGCGTCGCCAGGATTTTTTCTACAAGGGGCAAGCACATCCCCCCGCCAAAAAAAAAACATATTTTCCAGCGTTTTTCCGATTGATAATTTTTTCGAGGGTGGGCAAGGACATTGCCCCCCCCACCCCCACCCCACTACATTAACAACAATATGACTTCGTGCCTCTTTTTCTTTTCTGTTTTCCCCTTTTATTTTTATTTTTCTTCTTCTTCTTTTTTGGGCTTGTCCGGGGGGACAAGCACCCCCTTCCCCCCCCCCCCCTCGCAACGCCCATGCTTCTTTCTCAGAAACAGTGCAATACTTTTTTATCATACTTCGTTCACAACACGGGTGTGTTCCGTCCACTATAGTGCACTGTGTAGTTATTCTAAGTAAAAAACATAAATTTGTTTTACAGATAACAGCAGTGGTCTACATCAAAATGATCTAGTTTTGACAACGAAACAAGCAATTGATAAAACTTTTCCCGTACATTTAACTTCACACCACGTATATTTACAGAACATTTCACTCTGATGTGCTAGTTAAGCAATGAAGTACAAAATGTAAATAAAAAGAGTCATTTACTTAAAACTCTAATACTACCATAACAATGCTGTTGAAAAAGAACATTATTTGAAACTCTTATTCTACCATCACAACTGCTGTTAAAAAAAACCAAATTAATCGAAAAACGAATTCTACAATCACAACTGCTGTTAAAAAAAGAAATGTAATTGAAACTCTAATTCTACCATCACAACTGCTGTAAAACTTTGGCAGCGTTGCTTTGTGAGCAAAAAAACATCAGAACCTTTTTTTTACAGTGTAGTCACGTGGTACTAGTACACTAAATCTGCAACGACTTATCGCGTTTTCCCTAAAAGCCTACCCCGGGTCGACCTTGCGACGAACTGACTTCTCAGGATTTTTAGCTGCACCTGAGCTACGGCGATCGGGAACAACTCAGTCGCCAATTGTTTTGTGAGCAGAGTACAACTGCGATGATACAGGGTGAGTACACACAAAAAAGCGGAACCCAAACCCCCTAAAATATATATCATAATTATGCGTTTTAGATCAAATCTGATGTATACATTTTCAACTTCAGAAACGTTAGTCTGTTCTCAATCATTTTGTACACCTCCATATTATCTTAGTTGGATATAACGCCGAATCAAATGTCATTGTCCTGCCTTTTCATTTGATTAACGTTGGCAACAACATGCGATATGCGCCAAAGCATTATCAAGTCAGAAAGCGCGGTGCAAGACTGAAAAGTTAGATTAAAAGTTGTCTAAACCATCACGAGAATCACGGGGGGGGGGGGGGGCGGGAGCCAGTGTCTCTGGCTTGAGGCTCATGTGCGAATGAATTTTGTTGGCAAGTGCATCTGTGTGGATGTCATAACGAGTTCAAGATAATAAGAAGTAGGCATATTTTCTGCCTTGTACAGGCCTACAAGCAATATTTAGGAGATGGATAAAATATCTTCAAAAGTAGATTCTTATGAAGCAGTCTTGTAATGATTATGTAACTTAGAATGTTGCACAGCAAGCGGGTTCAACTCCAAAGAGCATCATAGATAGTTTGCTGGGTCTCTTGGAACATTCATTTCTCACCATACACGCATAAAGGATTACCGAGTGCCGGTGCGAAAGCCAATGCATCAGCGTCAGCGTCGAAGCGAGTCGCGTTGTTGAGTTGGCAGATGGCTCCTGCGACGGCGGTCATCCTGTCCGAGATGAAGTTGACGGAGCGGCATTGGGGCTCGGCCTCGCAGGCGAGAACGCACGGCTTGAGGCTCGGTGCTCGGATCTCTCTCAGGACGTGGCCGGTCAGTCGAGCTGCCAGAAGGCTCCAACGCTGAAGCGTCTTGCCGCAGTTACCGGTGTCCGGAGTCTTGGGCAGGGGAGCGCGTCTGCAAAGTGCCGGCCTAAGAGGTTCATCCTCGCAATCAGCATCCGCCCATGTCCCGTTCAGCATGTACACGCAATAACTTTCACCGAACATGTACGGATCCCAGTTACCGTACTGTACTGCAATATCGCCGTCTGTGCATGGATATACTTCGACAGCTATTCTCCGACAACCAATCCATACTGGTTGACCGGGCACTGGCAAGAGTCTCGCGAACTCGTTTTCCTCCGGGTTACGAGGGACTGCCAGGTTGCCGCCAATAGCAGCACACCCGGCGGTGGCTCCGTCGCCGATGTAGCCGGCGCGAGTGACGGTTAAGCAGGAGTCTGCGAACATGCTCCAGTTGCCAGGGCATGCAAATTCTCCGTTAACTAGTATTACGGAGAGCATGCCAATGACACCAGCGCCAAGGAAATAGACGAGAGGACTTGCACGAAAAAGCATGATTCAATACAGTTTAGGAGTTGTTTTGATGATTGCGATGCTCGTCTTTGAGTGTCCAACTTGTGGTGCTGATTGCAAACGATGTTGAATGCCGCAAAAGAGAAGCCTTTTTTGAGTTGTTTCAGTAGAACAAGTATTTAAATCCGCCACTTTCTACATTGATGCAAGATGAAACACAGATGTGGACTTAGCCCGCGTCTGATAACCCGAGCCAGCTTCCAGGTGAAGTTTGACCGTCAGGTAAACGAAATTGCCAGTAACTGATCGGTCGATGGCGCGCTCAAACGAATTTTTTCTCACCAATAATCAGGAAAACCCAAAGGTCCTGTCTGCGCATGCGTAGTTTATCGCGCGAGGCACATTATACCATCCCTGTTGTGTAGCGTGTAACCATGATACAGAAGTCTAATTTTACAGACAGAATTCAGAAACGTTATTGACCTATAGCCGTTTGCGGGTTAGCCACGCCCCTTAGACAACCCTATGGAATTTGTGTACGCTAGGTTTTGTTTGTCTTAGATGGTGCGCGTTCTGCGTCCATTTGTATAATGTAATTGGACAATATTTCACAAGCTTCGTTGACGCGATTCTGCCGCGATAGGTCAATTATAATGAAGCGAAGGCCATCACCACGGTGCGTGCAGAAGACAATCCTCTAGCAAGTTAAACCACAGCTCGAATAATGTTTACGACATCAGATTTTATTATATAACTGACATATAGATCCTTGTCATTTGATTGATGGAACTCACAACACTGATATTCATTATTACTCCCATTCACGCCGGGGCTCAAAAAGACACAGTCTCCCATGGTGAATAGGATTATAACAGCCAAGTAAATCCTTCAAATTAGGTTTTCGCCCTTCAAGTAAATCCTTGTCATTTGATTGGAGGGTTGTAGGTCACGCGGCATTCATTAATCGAACCATTGCACGGCCTACGTCATAACCGTGCGTTTTTGGTTCCATTCACCGTGCATTTTCGTCCCATCCCTTTTGATCTTTTGCACGCCGCGCGCACGCTAAGACCCGCAGCGGCAGAGCGCTATACGATCTTTGCGCTATATGCGTTACCAAGTACAAAACTTGCCTTTGAAGTTGATGTCGTGCGCACGAGATATATGTTGTGCGCACGAGATATATGTTGTGCGCACGAGATATAAGTCGTGCGCACCAGGTAATTATGTCGTGGGCACGAGATATAAGTCGTGCGCACGAGATTTTTGGAAATATCCTTTAAGGGGCTCCGTACATGACAGCTTCCGCTGCGAGCAAATCAGAAAAAGCTATGCGGGCCTTATTCACCAGTCGGCCATGTTGAATTGAAAGTGAGGTAACATCTTCATTTTTGGAACTTGCGAAGATAAATGACAGCAAGTACATTATTAAAATAATTCAAGTCTGCTTAAAATAAATAATTAAAATTTGTAATAAACATTCCCAAATGTTTTAAGACAGATTTACAAAAAAATTAAAGTAAAATAAGTCTGCATAAATAGTCTGGCGCCATCCCATTCAACAGGTAACGATTAATGAAATACATTCAGGGAACACGACAAAAATGACTACCTCATGAACCACTGTGAAAGTTTGCAGTGCGGCCGAAAAAAGTGGAAATGGTTCGTTTACTACGTCGTGTTACTTGTTCGTTCAATGCCTCATTCAATAATGGACAACAATATTTGCTAGAAAAATAACATAAAAAATACCACGGATATAAATATATCTTTAAACATTTTGTTGTTTTTTTCAAACGGAAAACTATAATGGACGTTATCCTCTTCTTGTATTTGATCATATGTTTATGAAGAATATAAACGCAAGTCAGTCTTTACTGATGGGTTTTTTTTGGCAAATTGTGTCTGTGGGGGAATATAAAAACAAAATACCTAATTGAGCATTGAGGCACGAACTTAAAAAAAGCCCTCTTCGTGCTGGCAATTGTGAGAAAGCTATAAAGATCTAACACTTTTTTTCTCCGACCAAAAAAACCCTAGTTCACTTAAGCATACACACCTCAGTTCCATGATTGGATATTACGACAAATACGTCTGGTTGATGAGCTATTTTCTCAAAAAGGTAGGGAAGCCTTGTTATTGCGATGAATCGTGTTGCAGTCAAGTGTAAGGCTCAATGACGCTCCCTTAATGAGCCTTAATTGCAAACCTTGGAGGAAAAATCGATATTGGTCGAAACGTGTACTGGATCAAAATATTTGTATACAAAATGGAAAGGCCCCAAATTTACTCTCAACTTGCATATTTATGTCTAAAGATAGTCCAAAATACATGACTTAAATTTATCATAAATGGTATGAGACTGACTTTTTTTGTATAAATTATCCAGCAACAAGATATGCATGTTATACGCTGGAATAGGTTCTTACGATGTCATGATTATTAGGTGCACTGAGGCGACAATCGATCTCGTATCACACCACAATGCATTCAGTATAGGCCTAATAGCTTTTTTCTTGCATATGATTTGAAACCTTGTGTCCGTCATGGCCTTCAGGAATCAAAACTCGTTAATTCAAAACACGATGTGCGTGAGCCCGTAAAAGCAGACCTTGCGTTTTAGTTCTGAGTCCAAAAATATCCCCACGAACCCCTTCACTCAACTTTGACCGGTGTCTAGTTAATGAACTTCAGAGTGCCTATACTCAACTGGTGGGGAAAGGAAGTTGCCAGGGAATACATTTATGTTTTCGTTGCAAAAGGTTTGATTTCGCGATGTTTATTTCGGATGCAGCCTTAGAAATAGGCACCGATTTAAACAGTGTTGTTGTTTCTCTCGTACCCCAGCCCTGCAAACAGGGTGCTGGGAAGGGCAGATGAGCTTCACAGAATCTTGTGAAGGAAGTTGGGATGGCATTCTGGGTAATTTATCATGACCTATGTATAAAGCATCTGGCTGCAGCTGTAGACCGCGGTTAGCCATTGCGCGCAAATACTATCCGAAAAGTTTGCCGTAGAAATGCATACACACCATACCGGATGTGATTTCTTTTTCATTGCGGACCATGTGGACAAATTTTGAGCGTCGAGTGATATGCATTTCGACCCTTCGTGAATTTGAAAACGGAGCCTGAGCAACTGACGGGAGTTGAACATTTTACAAAACAGATACAATTTACAGATTTTCCTACATTATTATGCTTTTTCAACCAAAAAAGGGCGCCGCTTTAAGAATGGGAATAAAAGAGTGATGAATGACTCAGCCCCTGAAGGTCTAATTCTGCCTCCATGCTCAGTCTTAACGGCCGTTTCAAACCTTGCAGGGTCGTGGTCGTGATTACTTGCAGGTCACGGGTCACGCAAAATCTATCAAATCAGAGCGTGAATTCGTCAGCCCTTCCCAGCGTCCTGTTTGCAGGGCGGGGGGTACGAGCGAATGTTGTTGTCGAGTCACTAACGTCGAGTCCAAGTCCGAGTCAGTGGCGTACCCTGGAGTTATTCACAGGTAGGTGGGGCAAGGGGCAGCAGCATTTTTATAGGTTGGGGGGGGGGGCACCAAGGCGGATCCACGACAAAAATCAAAATTTTCAGAGGGCCGACTGGTTTGCCAGTTACTGCAAATACGAAAAGGAGGGTGGGACGGTCCTTATTTGACGCTAGGGGGCGCCCTTTATATCCTTTCCCCTTTTCTTTAATATTTCATAATATCGAACTGTAGTAAAGGGGATCAGCATTGAGTTGAAACTGAGATCATTTGGTTGAATTCCGATTCCGAGTTCAAATCTCAATTTTGTACGAAAATGGATGTGCATGAACATGAACGCACGTAAGCTATATTCATATTAGACCTAAGTTGAAGTATGGCGGACACAATAGGAGGGCGCTATTTGGAGTGGGTAGGTCCAAACTCGTTTGTATATTTCCCCGAATTTACCAACTTTAAATAGCGCTCTTCTATTGTACCCGGCGTCATGCTTAATGTTTGCGCTGTCGCAGCGGGAAAGTTGGGAGGGGCCTATAGGTCTTTCTTTTGTTTGTAAACATTGGCGCCATTTTATATGGGCTGCTGCAAGCGCATAAATTGAAGCCGTGGTTGGCAACACATTTTTCAAAAACATTAAAAAAAAAAAAAAAAGGCCCCATAACACCCTCAATACAAAGTAAAAAGGCATGTTTAGGAATTTCGTTGTGGCTTTGTTGACAGTGTTGTATTTCCACCAATCTAATAATATTTTGGTTATCTGCAATAACTCGTCTTCATCTTTGCAGCGCTGGACGTTCCATAGTTTTGCAACCCGTGGTTGGCAAAAATGCAGTTTGCCAACCAAGCGTAGAAAGGTCTAATGTTATTTTTAGCTGAAAGGCAGAAATAGACAGCGCCCTCGCTTGTCTTTTGGGTGAAACAGAAATTTGCAGGTTGACATAGGTTTCTTCACACCACGATCGCATATAAGCCTCAAGTAGTGAAATCAGATAAAATGTTAACATAAAATAGTGCGCTAAGAGGAGCTGACGGCTTGTCATGTGTTGAAAAACCATTATTTTTGGGGTTTTTTTTTAATTGCGCAAACCGAAAGGTTCAGTTGCATGGGCAAAATTGTAAGGAAACAGAGAGAGGGCGCCCTGCCACATCTCCAGTGTGGACGCGTGCCGCTGATTTTGCGAAAAGTGCAGTGGGCAAGTGAAGGGCTGCAATAGGGTTTCAGACCTGTAAATCGACTCCCGTAGGCCTAGGTGATAATAAGCTGTACTTCCCGATTTTGTTAATTAATACTCACAACTAATTTTATTTGGGACGGCCGGACAACCGTGAAAACACAATCCAGGCTGATGCCTTTCAGCACGGATGGGCTGTTGGCAATTTGTTGTCAGCCCCCCCCCCTTCAAAGTGGTCTGGCGACGCCCCTTTTTCCACCCGCCACCCAAGTAGAAAACAATTTAAGCACCTATATCATAATTCGATATAGTGGTTTCAGCCTGGTTTAAATTCTGATGTTTAATTTGGCGAGAATATTGGGCAAAGCAGAAGACATTTGCTGTTTGAAAGCAATATCATTGTTTTCCATACGCTTAACAGCCTTGACTTTCACAAAACCGCGGATGTCGGATCCAAATCTGGTAGAAAAATCTCACCCACTAAAAATTGCTAAGTCGCTTTGACAGGTATGGAGATCCAATGTAATTGTAAAAGCATGTGTAACTGACCCTTCTCTCCCCCCCCCCCCCCCCCCTCCCGCCCAACACACACACAAAAAATATGTTTCGGTTCCTTTGCACC